CCTTCAGCTGAGTGATCAACTCGCTCTCGTTGTTGTAGTATCCGCGGCCTTCAGTGAATGTTTCGAGACCTGGCAGAGGTTCGCCGTTGGGGTGGGTGAGCTGCCATGCCCATGTCTGACAGAAGTTAGTATGGGGGGATAGCGTCGTTCTTTCCCAGACGTACCTTGATGGCAAGAGCGGCTCCAACGAAACCGGCGTGGTAGCCAAAGGCAGCAACGCGTCTGCCTGACTCATCCTGCAAAAACTCGAGGTCATACAGGGTGCCTCCTCCGCGGGGGAACCTGGCCAAGACCTTCTCCCAGCCGCCCTGCTGCTTGTAGCAGTGTGCAAAGTGTACAAAAGTTTGCTCGAGAGGAAACTCGTCCTCAGGCAGTTCCTTCAGGCCGATGATGATGCGGTTGTCCTTGGGCGCGTTCTTGTATGCGCCCTCCTCAATGAGGGTTGCGCCTGCCTGTTCGAACTCCTCGTCCTTGAAGATGCGGGCATAGTTGGGGTCTTTGGGTGAGCGCTCGACAAGCACGGGGTAGCCAGCATCGAGCAGCTTCTTGGCGGTGGTGGGAGTGAGGCTGCGGGCATTGGTGAGTAATGTACATGCGCGGAGTTTATGTGTATACCTACCACGAGCGATGCTCGAGAGGTTTGGCCTCTGCGCGGGCATGGAGTGTGGGGAAGGACATTGTGTGCAACGGGCAATTGGAAGCGTGTCTTGTCGGTTCAGAACAGAAAGAGAAATCAAGATAGATATTTGTTTGCTTCTTCCTGTGCTGGAGAGTCTAACGGAGATCGGAGTACTGACAATGGTCGGCGCGGACTGAAGCAGCCCACGATGACTCCATGGCCAATTTGGCCGGAGGCTCCAGAATCGAGCTCCGAGAACGGCGCTACTGCAGGGCTGCTGCCGTTGATGCTAGCCATTCAGCGGCGGCGCGATGACATAGCCAGATGTGAGCCGTCTGGGTCTTGGGTAAAGTGCAGCAGCAGGACATGAGTGGGGGCACGTGCATTGCTCCATGGACGCTGGGCCGACATTGGAAGCTAGGTAGGATTCTCTGCCGGCGTTGAAAATGACCTGCTGCTACACGACGTCCATGCTTTTCTCTCGCCCATCTCACCTCGGGAGCGCTATGCTTCACGCTGAGAAAAGCTCGCTGTGCCTGTGCCTGTGCCGTCCTCCATAGCCGCCTGCTGCTGTTCCATAGCACGGCCATCACCCTCACTCCGATTCGCTGCCTTGTCTGTCGCACAGCATGGCTTCACATTCGCGCGACTCCTCAAATGCGAGTGCCCGCCACGCCCACGCTCCTTCGACGCCCAGCCAGCTTCGCCAGGCCCATGTGCCCTCGGACAGGTCCAGCTCGCCCGAGGAAACCATGCATCCCCGCCGCTACTACGACGACGACGAGCCCCAGCCCTCCAGCAGCCACGCCCCCCACGACCTCGACTTCTCCGCCCAAGGCATCCAGCCTTCGACAGATGCCACGTCAATCCACTCAACCCACGAGAATGTCGCTGCCCCGGGCGGCATCATCGAGATCGACCTCGAGCCCACGGCGCGCACCCGGCTGCTGAACCAGCAGAACTTGGAAGGCTTCAACCGGGGTGATGCAAGGCCCTCGGCGCATCGCAACTACGGCAGCTTTGCGGGCAGCGTACACTCGGAACAGAGCTTCGGTGGCGCCTTCCCGGGTATACAGGAGACGCCAGAGGACAGTGAGCCAGACGAGGCGCATGCGCTGCTCGGCGACGCCTTTGCCGACGGCGTCCTGAACAAGAAGAATGGGCAGAAGATGAGCACAACGCGGTGGCTCGCCGAGCGCCATGGTATCAAGGACAAGCGCATGATGTACCTCAAGTACTACATCCCCGTCCTCAACTGGACGCAGCAGTACAAGTGGCGCTACTTCAAGGGCGATCTTGTCGCCGCCATCACCATGGCCTCCTTCTACATTCCCATGGCGCTCTCGTACGCCTCGAACCTCGCCCACTTGCCGCCCGTCCATGGCCTCTACAGCTTCGCCCTGAATCCCCTCATATACGCTGTCCTAGGTACCTGCCCACAGATGATTGTAGGTCCTGAAGCGCCTGGCTCGCTTCTGATTGGCGAAATCGTGCGTGAAAACATCAAGAAGGGAACCACCGGCGACAACGACGGCAGGCGCAATGCTGAGATTGCTGGCATTGTGACGTGCATGGCTGGTGCTTTCATTCTCATCGCAGGCTTCTTCAGACTTGGCTTCCTGGACAACGTTTTGAGCAGGCCCTTTCTGCGAGGCTTCATCAGCGCTATTGGTGTTGTCATCTTCGTGGATCAGCTCATTCCTCAAATGGGGCTCGCCAGACTGGCTGCTGACCAGGTGTCGCACGGTAGCTGCGTGGACAAGGTTGTTTTCCTCTTCCGCAATATCGGTCGTGCACATGGGCTCACGTGTGCCATTTCCTTTACGGCCTTTTTCATCATCATGTTCTTCAGGTGCGTTCTAAAGTGCCGTCTTTATTCTACCTCGACTGATAAATGTGCAGAGAGTTCAAGAAGCGTTTGCAGCCACGATACCCAAATGTCGCATATATTCCCGATCGTTTCGTAGTTGTCGTACTATCTGCTCTGCTTACCTGGAGATACCGTCTAGACCAACAGGGGCTCGCCGTTCTTGGAGACGTAAACTCAAGCGCCAAGATATTTTCCATTCACTTTCCCTTTGAGACGTCGCATCTCAAATACGTATCAGACGCCATTAACACCGCATTGATCATTGCTATGCTTGGTTTCTTCGAGTCCTCGGTTGCCGCCAAGTCTTTGGGTAGTGGTGACCTGAACAAGGATGGTGTTCAGATGCCCCTGAGTGCGAACCGGGAGCTCATCGCCCTGGGAACAGCAAACATCACTGGCGGATTGTTCATGGCACTCCCGGCCTTCGGTGGCTATGGTCGTTCCAAGGTCAACGCATCCACGGGTGGGTTGACTCCCATGAGCTCAGTGCTGCTGTCAATCATCACTATCCTATGCACTGTATTCATGCTACCATACTTCTACTACCTGCCCAAAGGCGTTCTTTGCGCCATGGTCTCCGTTGTAGCATATTCGCTTGTCGAAGAAGCACCGCACGATGTCAAGTTCTTCCTCAAGATTCGAGGCTGGTCGGAGCTCATCCTTATGGGCCTTATCTTCTTCATTACCATCATCTGGGACCTGAAGCGGGGTATCGGGGTGGGTATTGGTCTTTCCATCTTACGCTTGATACGTCATTCAGTCCGTCCGCGCATCCAAATCTTGGGTCGTGTGCCCGGAACTACGAACCAATTTTCTAATGCCGAAAATCACTCAGGAGATGTTGAGTTCATCGAAGGGTGTCTTATCGTCAAGATACCAGAACCCCTGACCTTCGCCAACACAGGAAATCTCAAGACCCGTCTCCGCCGCCTCGAGGACCACGGTACTGACAAGGCGCATCCTGCTCTCCCCCGTGTTCGCCGCGCGGAGCACAACAAGAACATCATCTTCGATGTACATGGCGTCACATCGCTCGACGGTGCTGGAGCTCAGGTCCTGGCTGAGATTGTCGAGTCATACAGAAGCAGGGAAGTCAGAGTCTTCTTCTGTAGAGTTCCAAAAGAGTCTAGTCCAGTCTATCAGCTGTTCGACAAGAGCGGTATTGTTGAGATGTGCGGCGGTCCAAGACATTTTGTACAGAGCGTTGAGGAGGCACTTCGCATGACGGAACTAGAGCGATTGACCGAGGAATTTGCCAGCTCCGCAGAAGGGTCGAGAGCTGCATCCAGCCGAGCTTGAGTCTTCCGATGCATTTGTCTTTTATCCTATGAGCGATGGGAATGCGCGTGTTAGCACTGCATCTGACGGTATGGGCGTATTGCATTAGCGATTTGCTACGATTAGACTTTGTGTATGTTATTTGAGCATGATTTGGCGTTCTTGTATAGTTATGACTCTTGGTGTCAATTATGAAAAGCATGTCTATCCAAGTACCATCGTCGCTAGTTCCCGCTATATTCGACACACCTCAGGCGTCCCAAACAATCAGAAAGCATAGCAACTTTGCCGAACATCGCTCCGAACACGGACCGTCGGTATTACATTTATTTCCGTATGTGCAAGCGCTCGGTACGTCGCGCATGCGATCCATTTCTCCGTTCTTAATATCGTGCCTATGTCGCGATGGAGCGAAGTCGACTACTAAGTGCACCCGATATCTTTTCGGAATCATGGCGTTCTCGCCTTACCTTGATCACAGTTCGGGCTGTGGTTTTGGAAAGATGTCAGATTCTAGATTCCAAATGCGACCTCTCGGGTTCCCCAGGTGCGGGGATAAATCGGTGTGGAGCAGATATCGCTCGTGCCACTCGCCTAGAACGGTGCCATTTTTCTTCTACGCTATGCTGTGTAGACAATGCTCGCGTCACGACGAATACGCAATGCCAGCGAAGCGTACCTTGGAAGAATCATCTCTGGCATGCACGTTGAACAACCCTTTAATCCCTATGTGCTTGTAGTACTCTGCTCGCTGGTACCTCTAGCAGATTTAAAAAATAACGCCGTTGGACCGTTGGCAGCCCAAGCCTTTGACGTCGACCAAGCCTTTTGGCAGCCTTCAACAAAGCTTTTTTGTGCCGTGACTTCCTAGCCAAGCGACGCTTATCACCTCTTGACCACTCTTAGCATGCAGTAGCCCCTGTCGTATCGCGCCCCCATGTCGCGTGCTAACCCTCCAAGGATCGTGTTGCCGCCCTCCGCAAGGGTACTATTGGACACCAGAGGCATATGCGGAGTTGCGGGGACGTCATGAGGATGTTGAGGATGCATTCACGGGTGGTCGCATTGGTTGTCAGTAAGCACGCATTCAGTAAGTCGGACGATGATCGGATGCATGCCTGAGGTGATTAAAGAGAGTGTCGTGCCCGCAAAAGGCCTTATCTGTTTGACTTCGTGCCAACCGTTCTTTGGGAGGCGACGATCTGTTTCGCTCCGCCTCGCTTTCCTGAGCAGTCCGATATCGTCCATTCCACCATGTCGGACGAGAAACACGACACTACTGAGCAGCGTGAGTACGCGCCGCCGGCTCCAAAAATGACGGCTGGTCGCTACATCGCCACGCGTATTCCAACTCTCAAGCCTGCTCACGATAAAGTCGCCAACCCGATCGCCCTACTGCGCTTGCTGAATCTGCAACAATGGCTCTTCTTTCTAGTCGCGTTCTTCGCCTGGACCTGGGATGCCTTTGACTTTTTCACCGTGTCTCTCACTGTCACGGATCTTGCCGAAACATTCGGAAAGACCAAGGCCGACATCACTTGGGGTATCACGCTGGTGCTCATGTTGCGCAGTGTGGGTAGTATCATCTTTGGTCTGGCGGCCGATCGCTATGGCAGAAAATGGCCTTTCATCGTCAACAATGTGCTCTTTATCGTCCTCGAGCTTGGTACGGGATTTTGCTCCACCTACAACGAGTTCCTGGGGGTGAGAGCTCTGTTCGGCATTGCCATGGGTGGATTGTATGGTAACGCTGCTGCGACTGGTACGTATCATCTCCCTCGTTCAAACCGTCTGGTCGACTAACACAACCGCAGCTCTTGAAGACTGTCCTGAACAAGCTCGTGGTATCATATCCGGGATGCTACAGCAAGGATATGCGTTCGGCTACTTGCTTGCCACTGTCTTTGCCCGCGCCTTCGTAGATACCGTCGGTCACGAATGGAGACCACTATTCTGGTTTGGCGCTGGCCCGCCAGTCCTAATCATTATCTTCCGACTTTGTCTCCCCGAGACGCAAGCCTATCTCGAGCGCAAGCGAATCCGCGAGGAACAACCTAACGCCGCCAAAGTGTTCGCCCAGGAAGGCAAGGTCGCACTGAAACGCCATTGGCTTCTACTGATTTATCTTGTGTTGCTGATGGCGGGCTTCAACTTTATGTCTCATGGAAGTCAGGACCTTTACCCGACAATGCTGAGCAACCAATACAACTTCTCAGCCAACAGGGTTACTGTCACACAAGTAGTCGCCAACCTCGGCGCCATGACTGGTGGCACCGTCATCGGATATAGTTCGTCTATCTTCGGTCGTCGCATCAGCATAATTGTCATGTGTGTTATCGGCGGCGCTCTGCTCTACCCCTACACATTCACCTCTAGCAACGCTGTCATTGCAGCAGCCTTCTTCCAACAGTTCTGTGTCCAAGGCGCTTGGGGTGTCATTCCCATCCACCTCATGGAGCTGTCTCCGGGATCATTTCGAACGTTCGTTGTCGGTACATCATATCAACTTGGTAACCTCGCGTCGTCTGCTTCATCGACCATCGAAGCGACGATTGGCGAGAGATTCCCACTTCCGCCCAAGGGCCATACGAGCCGCTACAAGTATGGTCTGGTGATCTGCATCTTCATGGGCTGTGTGTATGCATACGTTATCCTGCTGACGGCATTGGGTCCGGAATACAGAGGAAGGAACTTTGACGTCGCTGCTGATGAAGATATGGCGGTTGTGACGGGGGCAGATGAGGGCAAGTATGTTGCGAGACAGGACAGCGATGTGGAGACCAGAGGACATGTGTAGAGTTCGCGTATCATAGTTTGCAGCCTCACAGAGTGATCATCGAATTCAAACACAGAAGGTACAATGCCCATAATGCCTCAGACATATTGTAAACCTTCAAACCCGATTTTATGAGTTCGTGTGGAAGCGGCATCGACACCCCGCATTAGCAAGCTCGGTTGGCCTGCATGCCGAGTTTACCATATAGAGAATCAACTTCTGCCTTTGTAAGCGTGTGATCGCCTCTCATAAAATGTAAAGTGTCAGATCCATGGCGATGACGTGGGTAATTTGGACATATCAAGCAAGCTTAGTGCTACTATTGGTCGCAATCCAGATCGGAAGTGGCATCCGTCTCTAGCGTTGTGCTATTGGTAGCAGCCTCACACCAAATATATTGTGTTCATCTTTCGCAATCTATGCAACACTTGGCTTCATCCAGTACATTTTCGTTTACCATCATCTCGCGCTCAACATACGGGTCTTTCGTGATGTTAACGGCTCCTTCAACTTTATTGCCGGTGGGTATCTCGTAGCGAATGAGCAAGCCCATGGCGCACGACGAAGTATATATCTCGCTCGGGAGTGATCGATATGCCGGTACCAACTGCATATCCATTGCATCTCATTTCGACAATCAGTCAAAGTTCTTGCCAAGATGAAAACATCCGTCGTTCTACTCGCTGCCGCTTCTTTGGCCAGCGCTCACTGTACGCTCTGTTGCACTACGTATGTCCTATCAGCCGAAGCTAACTACTCGAAGACACGCTCCCAAGTGTCAACGGTGATGCAGCCTGGTCTCATGTCCGCCAAGCCAAGAATTGGCAAGACAATGGATTCGTTGGTGATGTGACTAGCAATGACATTCGCTGCAACCAGCTCAAGGCTGGCACATCAACTCTCAGTGTTGCTGCGGGCTCGAATGTTAAGGTCAGCGTCAACCCCAACGCGTACCACCCTGGACCTTTCCAGTCATACCTCGCCAAGGTACCGGAGGGTCAGGACATCAACACCTGGGACCCTACTGGCGCTGTTTGGTTCCGTATCTACGCCGAACAACCCAAGTTCGGCTCTCAGTTGACCTGGCTGAGTAAGTGATGTGCGTTTCCATCCTTGTACCGATGTGTACTGACTGCTGTGCGCACAGGTGCTGCCAACTACGACATCAAGATCCCCCAATGCATTGCACCCGGAAAGTACTTGATGCGCAACGAGCACATCGCCATTCATACCGCTCAGAGCAGGGGTGGAGCGCAATTCTACCTTTCTTGCGCACAACTTGAGGTTACTGGTGGTGGCAGCAAGGCACCCTCGAATCTCGTCGCCTTTCCTGGCGCGTACAAGGCTACCGATCCGGGTATCTTGATCAACATCAACTACCCGATTCCCACTAGCTACACCAACCCTGGTCCCCCTACGTTCACTTGCTAGGTCCCTTCTATGGGCGTGGAGATCGGTAACTGAGGTGTATCAAGTGTGACAGTGGAAATAGAGAGTATGGACCGTACCCAGGATGTAAATAAACTTCCAATACATATTTTGGCCATTCTGAAAGTATCGAGAGATGGTGTGTATCAAGATTCGTTAATGAACAGAGGTATCCATCACTAAACTTCAGCTTACTCCGACCGAGCTGATGCCTTATCCTTTCCCATAACGCATATACCACCGAATTGATTCACCTGCACGTTGCGCACTGACAGGAAGAAGAGCATACTCCTCAACCACCTCAAATAGCATGAAAGCGACTCGCCAGCTCCTTGGGATCGTACATCTTGGTCGTCGCCCTCTCCATCTCATCCGCGACATACTTCCAAAAGTTGCGCTCGCACTTTGCTACCGCTTTCATGAGCTGCTCAGTCTTTTCCACCTCCTCCAGACCTTTATCCTGTAGCTCTGCAGTGGCTGGCTGCCGGATGTTGGCTTTGAGCTCAGTCCCGTTGTCGTAGTCTTTGATGCGCTTCTTACCCGCCTTGCTGATGACTCCTGTTCCTTGAGCTTGAGTGTACTGATTCGGATTGCGAAGGTGCATGTAATCCTTTGGGTCAAAACCGATCTCGCCGATAGATGTCGCAACGCGAGGTGCATTACGGACATAGCGACTGTAGACGGCCGTTTCTGTGAAAATAGCTGCTTCGCCCTTGTTAAGGCGCTGCTGGTTGAGGTGGTCGGCGATCTCGTTCCAAGACCACTTTTGCTCTTGACGCAGAGTCTTTATAGCGACGTTTTCAGGATCTTCATCGTCGTTGCGGCGGGTGCTGACCTTTTTGTCCTCAGGCGTGAGGACGGAGATATTCTTCTCGATCTCACTTTTGATTACCCGGGCGCGCTTGAGACTGTCCATGTTGATTCGAATGGGTGTATGTAGAATACGGATGCTAGATTTATCTTTATTCTCGCGTTCAATCAGTGGACTTTCTCGTTTCTATCCGTAGATTGAAATCAAATGGGTGTTGTGGAGAGAGAAAGTGAAGCCCAGTGAACGCCTGAGCATCGCAAACACTAGTCCATTCAGGTAGCTTTTTTACAACTCACCTTCACCCCGAGATTAGGTTGCAAGTGAAACAATTCTATAGGGTGCAGGTAGGTATCGAGAGCTGTTTGTGGTGCGAGCTTAATGCAACGAATTACTGAGCAGCACATGACCATGGTAGTGTATGATCATCGTTAGGCACTCGGTGTGCCAGTGAGTTGCAGCGATTTCGCGCCACTCATGTCAGGGCAAAGAAGAAGGGAACTCAAAACTGAAACGCCACGAATTGGATTCAACTACAGGTTCACCGACTGATCAAAAGTGAAACAGAATACTAATTTTCTTCTACATGCTAACCTATAAGCATGTTCTCAGGACTACTGCGCATCGCGAAAGCTAAATTAAAACCCGGTGAATTGTATTCAGCTGATGGTTGGGGTATCTCCGATGGTAAGGCTCAAGGTCTTTATTCCTACTTGTATTGCGCCGAATGATAGAGGGCATCCGCGTGGTTCAGGTCTCGCTTCGCCTTCTCCTCTGGTGATTCCGTTTTCTTCGGCTCAACAGCCTCCTTCGACCGCTTGTGTGGGAGTATCGATCGAAGCAGGGACTTTGTGGATGCCATTGTTGTATTTGACGTTGTTGACATGGCGTCGCTCTTGGATGGTGTGCTTGAACTAGCTCGGTTGGTTGATGTCATGGTCGAGAGTATGGTATGTCCGCCGATATCCGTTTGTTCGATGATAGCAGTTGGTGAGCTTCGGATGAATCAAGGTGAATGTGAAGATGCTTTGAGAGATGAGGTTCAGAGAAATATACAAAGTCTTGATGATTGCGATGCTGTGCGATGCGGAGATGTTTGCTTGCTGATGGTCGACAACAGTGAAACAATTTCCTCACTCTTATACTCGTGGCCGGACCATGAAAGAAGCATCACTGTAGAACATGGACAGCACAGTCATCAGCTCCATTACCAAGCTCTCATGGCGCACAGCACGCATGCACCGTTGGCGTTTTCTCGTGCCATCCCCATTTCTGTCCGCAGACCGACCAGCCGCGCCAGTACGTACGTAAGTACGATGCATGTGAGTCAAGAATGTTATAAGCATGTGCATTGGAAGGGCGTGTCGCTTTTTCTTACTGCGAATAGTCAAGGTTGAGGCAGGGTGGAAGAATGTAGAAGGGCTGAGCCATGGTTGAGTCAAAATGTGGGTCCGGTGGTTCCATGAAGGGCCTAGTGCGTCAATCGGTTGTCCCCACATCTATCCGGCAATATCGTCACTCTTCGCATACCTCGCATTCTGGTCTCAGCAAACACATTGAACGGGCGTTTGAGTCATCATATCGTCGCGCAACAACGTGATAGCAATGTGCAAAGTCATGCTTGCTGATAAGGGTCATACGCCCTCAATCGGCACCAAGCCATCGCAACACTCGCGAATGGAATGCGGCCGCTTCATCACAGGATAGGTGTAGCCGAGCACGGTCCCTCAAGAAGCAGCTAGCATATATATTGATTGGTCATCTACCGATATCGCTCTCTACGCCTTCCAACGGAAAGCAGTAGAGTTCTTCTCAGCAAACGTAGACCCAATCTCACCCCACTTGATCTGGCTAAAAGTGACTGTAGGTGCCTTCTCAATCTGTCGGATAGCCTCTGGGAAGCCCTCAGTCGCGTTGCAGGGACCAGCACCGTTCACAGATCCATCGAGCCATTGCATAGCACCACCCTCATCCCACCAGATGCTCAGCGCGAGAACCATACCGCGGGCCATTGCGTCACCCATACCTTTGTGGCCACCAAGCTTGGTGTACATCTCGGCGCCGGGCTGAGCAGAGCAGTACTCCTGGTCCATGGTGATGTTCTGCATGGCGTTCTCGATGACAACACCGTCCTGGACATACTTTCGCACGATAGCCTGGAGAACGCCATCCTTGGCTGGGAACTGGGTGACAACAGTGAAGGGCTTAGTGGTGTCGACCTTGAGGCCAGGACCATAGTAGTCTGGGGAGTTTCTGTGCTTATACGGGTTGTCTCCGCATCCGTTCTTGTCGCACAAGCCAGCCTTCCCGCACTCGTCGCCGGTGCAACCGAAAACACCGGCTGTACTGCAAGTATGGGGCGCGATTTGGTTGGCACGAGAGTTGGCCTCCCAGATATCCATCTCGTTGCAGCAAACACCTTGTCCCTTGACGTTTCCCTACAAAGAGTCAGAAACATCAAACGAAGGGGAGGTTTGTACTTACTACACCATTGATCCAGGGAGTGACGTAGCACTGAGCATCGCAGTATCCCGTACCATAGGCGGCACCGCCTGGGTTGAGCTGAGAACGTCCGCCATCAGCTTTCATCTCGCTAAGATATAAGGCGCCGTTCATGCCGCATGGCAGCTTCGACATGTCGACATCAAAGGCCAACTCGTTACCCGTAAGTTGCAACATCTCGTAGTTCTCCTCGTCCTCCGCGAGGATATAGACCCTAGGGCTCGCAACTCCGCCACTGGGGTTGTACATGTCCAAGCGGAGCTCTCCATCGTTAGTGTACACACCCATCGTTGAGTAGTCTTGGATGCCTTCCATGATGCAGTTCTTGGCGCATGTTTCCTCATCTGGGCATGCTGTTGGATCAGCTCCACTTCCCCAGCTTCCGCAACCCAATGTGGAGTTGCCTTTCTGGTGAATCCAATGGGCCGCTGAGTCGGTGACAAGAGCAGTGTTCTGAGATTTGCATCCTCCAGCCTTGGTGCACTTCCAGGTGGTAAGCTTGGGGTGAACTTCCGGTGTGCTTCCTGGTGTTTGAGCAGTGGCTAAACCCAAAAGAGCAGCGGCAACGAGAGCGTAAGGTGCCATTGTGATATGACCAAGGGAGTGTGATCTTGAGAGAGTGAGGTGCAATGCCTACAGGGAAGCAAACTCAGAACCTATATATACCTACCTCAGTAATCAAGTGAAGCCAAAGAGTCTTCCCGTGTCAAAGGTCCTGTATGCACACAGTAATTTAGGATACCGCGGACCACCAGAGCCGCAATATCACAAGTAGAGGAGCCTCAATGTAGTAAACATCGTCAATGGATCTGGCGGCTGTGTCTGTCATTGGCTGCAAGCTTGGCCTCGGCCTCAATACCAAGGCCGACTTTGTTTCGAACCCTCGCTGTAAGAAGTCGACATCGCAAAACGATCCGGAAGAACATGCATAGAACATTCACCAATATATTTGAGACATTGCTATTTGTTCAAATAAATTGCATTTGATTACGGAACCCCAGATGGAGGTTGAATGCGGGGCATTTACCCGGTGTTTACTCGGCGCAAAAGAGCTTGACTTATACAAGCAGGTGCGAGTGACTTTGGCATGCCTCTCACGACTACAAGACCACCGGTACTGCGTCGCGGGGCGCGTAGCTGCAAGCCGCGACTGCAAGCATGGAACCAAGGCAATGCGTGGCTGGGAAAACTAGCCTTGTTTAAGGGTCAGCGGTCCGACACCTCTGGTATACCGCGGCACGGGACTCGTCCAAATTTCTTCTCTTCAATGCGCCCTTTAACGACGTCCATCTCCGCAAGCCTTTCGTGAAGCGATCTTGCTCAGCTCCATCTTTCCTTTGGCCCAAATGTCTCTTGGACATAGACCATGCCTGCCCATCATGTCCTTACCGGACCTATGGTCAAGGCAGGCCCACAGACGTGGTACTAGCGATGAGACAGTGTTCAGAAGCCCGGTGCAGCGACTCTTGTGCGCACACTTGAGTTTCATATTCGTCAGTTCCCTGATTTTGCCACAGCGGCAGAACAACGACTATCACACTACGTTCTTGTCGTGCCTCGTTGATCGGATTCGAGATTAACAAGAGTAGATCGATCATCTCTAGATCTCCTTGAGCCGTGTACGATTCGTGATGGCCCTGTGTGCGACTGTGCACGTCTCGGCCAGCTCTTCCATGAATTATCGGTCGGATGCCCCCGGATGCTGGTCGGATATGAACCAGGAAGATACGAGCTTGTCAGGGCGCTCCTCTGTCGCCGTATCTCAAGGGAGGGTTTCCTTGTGCCTGAGGGAAGGAAGCCAATCTCTTTTCATGGCTGACATATCGAAATGACGTTGCATCCGTCGCTCGCTGTTGCACGGAGAGATATCTGAGTAGCAGTCGAGTAATGGAAAGAACGTAACGTTTCGGATGTCGGGTATGATGTTGGGGTATATCGACTGTCCACTTTTGCCCAGCAGAGATTGTCGCATGAGCTAGTCCGATAGGGTGGCATTGCTGCCCAGTTAGAGCAGTATCCACTTATCGGGGCATTAGTCAGTGGGTCTTCGTTATGGTGAAACTCCCAAGAAGCATCCCTGCTCCGCAGTAGTGCCGAGAGAAGTTCTAACGCTCTACGCATGCCAAATCAGGGCACACCTGACCGACGCCCCTAGCTCTCCGCATTTGCGAACGTTGACGGGATTGCCGTGCCGACACCATCAATTGCGCCACGATATCTAGATTGGCCAACAGGGCTGCATTGCGACCTTTCCTACGTGTAGACCTAAATATGAGATAGAAAGCAAAGTCTTAATGATTGCTTCTGGCAGCAGTCGCCTTCCCGCACCTCAAAAGTCGGGTTGCCATGTATCCCTACGAACGGTCTCACTTCGGTGACGTCCGGTTAGTGCCAAAGCTGTGAACCGATCCGGCCATGTTCTTTGGCCAATGTTGGACAAGGAATGCCGGATATTGATCTGCTGGTGACATTCACACTGCACAGAAGACTCAGAAAGCCCACCCTATCCAAAATGAGCGAGTCGACTATAGGCTATATTGCATATAGAAGAGCCAATACAAGGTCAGTATGATTTTTCTTCGTTTTTGTCGTTGTTTTTTGTAAAAATGTCGCTACTTATGGCTACGCAGCCAATGAACGCCTATATAAGGCTTGACGCCATCATAGACCGCTACAGTCTGGAATCTGATTTCGCATCGTAGTCGAAAGCCACTTCTAAGCATATGTATGTTCACCGGGGAACTGGAAGCACTTTGTGTAGCGTGGAGGCGGAGGTTCGGCACGGCACGGGGAAGCTGCCATTGATTGCTAGAGTTTGCCTCCCACATCTAGTTTTGACGGCGTGCATGTAGTAGCACTTTTCGGAGGACAGCACAAGTATGAACGCGCAAGCCCGCAGAATCTTTTCCTCCTCTGGATGATGAGGCCAAGCAAAGCTGTCAGAACACGGAACGGTTCGTGAACCCTAGAGACCCGCCAAAACACGGCACTTGAATCTGCATGTACATCCTGCAAGGCTTTAACACTTCAAGGTCCAAAAGCAGTTTGACATGGAGTCTGATCGACCTCTCTCCTTTCGCTCCTTCGGGCAAGGCAGGCCTCGTCGGAGCTCCTTCCACGCCACAAGCGTCGTCCTCGACGCGGTGACGTTAACGCTTGCATGATCCCGAACCCAATTTGACTCGCTAAAAGCTCCCGACTCAAGCGTCCGCTGCACGCCTCATAATTGCAACCACCATATCCTGACAAAAGTAGCGAGTAACTTTCCATACTTGGGATTTAGCTGAGCACTAATGGCCACTTGGATTTCTTTTGGCAGCAGAGTGGCTGCAAGTCTGGCCCAGGCAACACCTGACAGTCCCCTTATTTGCATGGTTAAGGCTTAGTGAAGCACGTTGCCGATCTTCCAGTGCCTGGCCATATCGCTCTGCCCCACAAGGAACCTGGCTCGAACAGTAACCTGTGTCGACTACCGTCGCAGGGATACCCAGAGGAGCTTCGGTTTTCTTGCTAACAGTATTCTAGCGTTCGCAGTGCCAGGAGAGACACGGCTCGGAGAAAGTGTTGAGACGTCTGTGAGGCAAGATCGTCGACGAGGGGAAGCTACAGATGTCAAAAATACAATATGCTGCGAGTTCGTGTTCGAATCGTGGTTTTCCAGACTCTTAAATCCTCTTCTTCGCCTACATAACCTTATTCTGACGATTCGCACCGACGCACCGCCGAGTATGGAGGACCGAAGTGGTTCGGTGTTGGCGATAGCCATCACATTCATGATCTTAGCATGGGTCACTGTTGGACTTCGGTGCTATGTCAGGTATGATCCACCTCGAGTTCACGTTTCTCACCGCAATACTGACCGAAGATGTAGGGTGTTCATGGTCAAAGGTTTCGGCATCGACGACCATTGTATGGTCGTTACCCTCCTCTGCTTCACAGGATATCTGGCATCACAAATTGGCGGCGCAGTCCATGGCACAGGCGTGCGACGTGAGAAACTTTCCGACGAACAAGCGCAAACGGCCCTTCACTTCTGGTTCTTCTGCGAGATATTCTATACACTGTCGACATGTATGCTCAAGATCGCCGTTGGTTTCTTCTTGCTACGCATCACTGTCGCACCGATGCACATCTGGCTTATCCGATTCATCATGGTCGTCTCTGCAATTGTGGGTGTCGCATACACATCGGTGGTTATCTTCCAGTGTAAACCCATCTCCTTTTGGTGGGACCTGAACCCTAATCACACTGGAACTTGCCTGTCAGGTACCCTGGTCATGAACTTTACCTTTGTGGTTTCTGGGCTTAACGCCTTTGCCGACTGGGTGTTCGCGATGCTTCCCGTGCTCATCGTCAAGGATCTGCATATGAAGAAGCGCATGAAGGTCGTAGTTGCTGGAGTTATTGCTCTTGCCGCAATGTAAGTATTGAACTCCCTTGTATGCTAGCATATCTGACCTGGGTCAACAGTGGTTCGACAGCAACGATCATCCGCCTTCCTTACACGACCTCGCTGAAGGGATACAAGGGAGATTTCCTCTACCGAACAACCGACTTCGCGATTTGGAGTACGGTAGAAGTAGGGTTGGGCATAACAGCTGGCTCTATCGCCACTCTTAGACCGCTCATGAAGCAGGCCCTTGAGATCACTCGATCAGCCTCAGCTCTACCATGGAGTAAGCCTTCGCAGGGCTCACAGCCGCTGCAGTCGGGACATCAACTCAGCACTGTCAAACCGTCGATCAAGAAATCGATCACAATTACCACCTCCAGAGCTCGAAGAGAGAGTGCTAGCTCCGACGAGGAGATTTTTCTAGGCGGTAAGAGCCTACCATCCGAGTCATGGCAGCAACAGCAAGGACTGCCTGGGTATGTCACATCCACAGTGCTAGATGAACGTGGGCAGCGGCAAACAACAGAGAAGAGCCGTAAACACATAGCCGATCTGGAAAGGAGAGGCAGTCCTGGTGCGGCTAGCGACTCCACGGTTGACACGAAGTCATCGGGAAAGGCTGCAAGGGTACACGAACGCTTCTAGACGATGGTCTTATAATACAGTACATAATAGATACCCCTCAACGATATAGTTCAACATAGTCCACTATTCTTTCTGCGCATACATTGAAGAAAACTACACGCTGTTGGTTCAGTGGCAGCTCACTGTGACTTGCCATTGACCGGTTACCGGCATAAGCACTCCATAGCTAGCCTGTTCGACTTCTCCGCTCCCGCTGTTCTCCACTTCGCTCCCGTGGTCTCCATCGCAGTGTCTTCTTAGCTTTCTCGAGCCATGCGACATGGAAGTTTGCCTTGAGCATCTGGCGAGTCACCGCTCGCATTAGTTCACCGGTGGACATGATCACATACTTAGCTTCATCATTCGAAAAGTCTATCAGTAGGTCGAGCTATTTTACTGCACTTGTAACCTCGGTAAGAAAATCTGGGAGGGGGGACTGTAGAGCTCGTTTATTCGTTTTTGATTGCTATATGATCATACTAGCAAGACGAGCCCATCAACGTCTATATGGTTTATCATGCTCATGTACATATGTACATGACTTGTCTTCGTAAGTAAGCCTCGAACAAAAATCGTTGGTGAGGCGAGATGTTAGCGATCATGTGATAGCAACAGGCGCTGTAGTTCTTCTCGTTGGTGATTGGCCAGCGAAAACTAAAGAAGTATACATGATTAAGCACGCTAGGAGATTCGCTCCGGCAGACCGAATATGCCGACGGCAGAGCAGCATAAAAGCAATGTTGATGTATCAAATTACATTACTTAAATAGGTGGGTCGACGCTGTTGCCACAGCTGTTCAGATCCTATATACATATAACTACCATAGTATGTCCGAAAATGCAGTCCTGAGAACCTCGGTCCTGGTCTTCTGCATCTCTGGTGCGATGCCCACGACATCCAGGATATCAAGACATCTTCGCGCATCGTCTTTCGCGTCCTTCAGCAATGGGTCCGCGGAAGGAGGTAAGCCGTTGTGGGTGGGTGACAGCGGTTGTGCTTGCTGACCGAGGATGCGTGCCATGAGAAGCTAAAATGGGTGTCAACAACCAAACAACACTACAGACCGAGTACAACTTACTGCTTCTTCAAAGGCTCGGTGCTGGAACACCCACCACACACTAGCATCGATTCTGAGGTATTCCCAGAAGTGGAAGAAAGATTGCAACGCCATCCTGGCTGCGTCCAGCGCACCTTTGACGTCACATGGCACACCCTCAGCGGGGTTTTCATCGGCCTGTATCGCCATGACGCAGTGCCAGAAGTTGCTTCGAAAGAACAAGTTCTGTCGTAGACCGCGCGGATTTGTTTCTGCCATATGTCTTATGGTGACGTCGTCGGATGCTGTAAGATCTGCAGGAAAGGTTTTGTGAAGAGTAAAGTATTCGTTGACAAGCTCAAGTTTATGCTTGATTGATGTAGTCAAAGGCGTTGCCAGTGACCGCGGTATGCAGACAGTACGAGACACGAGGTTAGCCATATGCCACATGGAGCGGATATATCTCCGATCGGAAAGTTCGTACAGAGGATAGAGATCATGGTTCGAAGCGATGTTGCTGATGCTCATGGGGTTGATTACAGGGTCTGTGGCACCGTTGCTCGAAGCACCAGTCGGTATATAGTCATCGAGATCATCGCTGAGGGACTCTGGCTGTATGTCTGAAAACACACTGGTTGGCGGAAGCTTGAGCAGAACAGTAAGGAAAGTGTCCTGGAAATAAATAGCTTGCCATAGCTTTCGCCGTTGCTGCTTGTCACTCTTTGAACATCGGGGTGCAATGACATCTGGATCGCGATGTAATCCCATGGCGTATGCTTGCCGTACGAGAACACCTCCAAACGCCCATGCATCAGAGGCATGGTTGTCGTTCATTAGGAAGTATCCTATCAGAACCATGGCCTGCAGTGTTCTCACTGAAGCTCGACTAAGATATGACGATATCCGTAAAGCTTGCTGGGCAGCTGATACGTAAAACTCGGCAATCTGCGCCCTGTCGCCACCGTCGGTAGTATGAATGAATTGCGTACCCATGGCATACACAACAAAGTGTAGAGCTACTAACACGGGGTCCGCAGTATGCTTCTCTTCTTGTGACAATGACCAGAAACGTTCATAATCAGCATAGAAATTCCTACGGTGAACCATAGGGTATACGGGGTCAACAGCATCAAAGTATTTGTCAACGAGGATATCTGCTTGCTCTTTGGCTGGCAGTACGCCGACAACTTCGGCAAGGCCGCCACGACTCGTCCAGTAGTTGGCAAAAGGATGTTCAGTCCCTAGGCCAAAAAAGGGTGCAGGCGTATGATTGGAATACGGTATGTTGGATAGCAGGAATGGTGAGGATCCCGAAGACGACAATGACACGCTTCGGTACTGTGTTCTGATTGGTGTTGGTGGCACCTGGATATGAACCTGGTGAAGCAGTCAGAAAAAGCAGTCCAGATAGTTGTATCCGCCAGGTGGTCACTTGTCGTGAAGCACATGTACTATGTCACAACTTGACACGACATAACATTGGACGGATTCCCGACGCCCCACCATGGCAAAAGCACGCCCGACGCTCCGAAGAGGTGGGCCGAGATGCGTTCGCAGAAGCTCGGGAATGGTACGACAGGAACAAGGGATTTTTATTACCTGAACAGGCGGCTTGCCATGTGGCTGCGGGTCACTGCCAAGCTGCAACGAAGGCCTCGCGCTCGTTTTCCTAGACCGACCCGCATTGCGACCGGCGCCAACCCTGTACACAGCTGTCAGCAAAGCAAGCGCATGCCAGGAAGCCATGGAAACTTACTTGTCCGCCGAAGAGGCGATCAGGTTGGCAATTTCAGAGTATTTACATGTCGACTGTCGCTTGATGCAGGCCAGGCAATGGGGACGAGTGCGATCGCACTGGCAGGAGTTTAGCCTTGCACTACAATTGCGCGCGAGCGATGCAACTCACCTTGGTCTTGCGCTCGACACACTCCTCGCAGCTCAGGGTAGGTTTATTGCGCTTTTGCTTCTTCCTTGGTGGCGCGTCGCCTTGAAGGGCCGACGCGCTGGTGGTGGATGGATCGGGACTTGTCGAGGGCTGTGTGCCTTCGTCATCCATCGTGCAGCTGCGGGCGGGCGATCGGGGCGCGCGTGAGCTTGGTCCGAGTGCTTGACAAGCAACAGCAATGCGACAGGATCCAAGCGGGTGCGGTGGACACGACGTTGGCGGGAATAAAAGTGAAGGTTGAAGTATTTCCGCCGTGGAGCGACGCGCCCCATAAAGGACACCGAGGATTGCGTGGGGACGCCGCTGTGGAGTTCACACCAGCCACTGCTTGGCGCTAGATGGGACAGAGGGCCCAGAACCTATATCTCGCTACTACGTCAGTCCTGCCAGTTACGCGTCGTCCCTTTGAGCTACAGATCATCTCGAATGCAAACACACCGGCCAGCCCATATTTCAAGCTGGTCAATCATTTGTTGGGCAGGGCTGCGTCATACCCAGCTTTGCGCGGCCTCGAAGCTTCGGCGTCTACTAGATCGGTAAAGGATAATGCCGCGGAGTTCACCTCCGCCATGCTGCAGCATATGAACATAGTATGGCAACCATATTCGTTCTTCCTGCGCGTCCCGTTTTCCTGACGGGAGATTGCGTACGTCGAGTTGTCTCCCGCGCCGGGTATAGTGCTATACCCGAAGCGCCGGCAGTAACTACCGGGCCTCATGACAGCATCATGATCGATGCAGAGATTCTCGCCCCTCCGTATCGGCCATATCGTGGCTGACGCACTCCCCGAAACCACCTCAAATGCAACCACGCAGACTTGACACGAGCAACACGTCCGATGGACAGCAAGGTCATCTGAACATGTCTTTGATATTTACCAGACCGAGTACAAGATGAGACGTATAACCCAAAGAAAAAAGCCATTGCACGAACATTCAGCCTAGTAGCATGTCTTTCGTCAACCTTTGGAGTCAACTTACACCGCCAATAGAAATACCCGCATCAAGTGTACTGTCTCATCGCATCGCGGTAGCCCTTGCCGCCACGCATGTCATCCTCGAACGCCTCAGCGACCTCGAGTACACGCCTGACATGCTCCATGCTGAACACCGACTTCTCCGAGAGCGCGATCGATTGCGACGTTTTGACCGTGTTCTTGATCTGCGGTTATGTGTTAGTTGACCTTCCCATCTTTTCGATGCAACCAGAAGACGTACCTGTCGACCATTCATACTCTTCTTACTTAGCTCGTCAAAGTCCGCTTCCGTGAACGGCTTCATCACCTCCTCAATCTTCTCTACCTTTGTCTTCACTTCCCCGCCTTCTTTGGCGCTATTCTTGCTCTTCTTCTCCGCCTCGGCATCCCGACCCATCTGCTCCACTTTACCAACATGGTGCTGCCAGATCTTCTTCCTCGCTTTGGCCTGTAGATTCTCGTACCGGATACCCATGTGAATCCTGCTCTGGAAAGCTTCGTCAAATGTCTCAACACGATTGGTTGTCAAGAAGAGGATGCCTTGGTAGTACTCCGTCAGACGCAAGAAGACAGACACGAGGCTGTTACGATGGATATCGTGGGGTTGACGCGCTTCGAGGAAGACATCTGCTTCGTCAAGGAGAAGGATAGCGCCCCAGGAGTGCGTAATATCCATGATGCGATTGAGATCCGTCTCGAGAGACCGACTGTTGGTACCTAGCTCGCCTGCCGAGACAGCATAAAGCGGACACTTCAGGTATTCAGCGATAGATTCGCCAGTCAATGTCTTTCCAACACCCGGTGGTCCGTGTAATACAACATTGAGGCCCTTCCCCTTGCCTTGTATCACGTCGTCGATCGTCTTCGCAGCATTGAAGCGGTGCGACGAGACCAAGCCTTTCAGATTCTGCTTGATGCGACTAGGCAAGACGAGACTGTCAAAGGCCTCAGCATTCCACTTGATCTTGTCAATTCCAGAGAGCGAAAACTCTAGCCAGAGTTTTTCGGAAAAGGCGAATCCAAGCACGACTGGCGACGCAATGATCAGCTCCTCTTCCGTAAAGACCTGCTGCTTGACCTCATTGCCGTCCGCGTCTGTCTCGATCGAATTGTCTGGACTGTCACCCTTCTCCTTGTCGACCACGCTTTGTGGCACACGGATGGGGTGTTTCTTGCCTTTCTTGTCTCTCCACATGACGATACGCATTTTGTCTTGCTCTTCTTTCTCTTCGTCTTCGTCAGATCCACAGCAGCAATCATTGTCGCTCTCTTCGTCATCACATTCGCCATTCTCCTCGTTCTGGGCTAGCTCATCTTGCTTGAGGTAAGAGAGCGGATAATTGGGATTGATGCGGCGGAAGATAGCCGGATCAACCATGACGCGGCCATTGATGATGAAGCGGATGATGTTGTTCTTGTGCTTCATGTACGCGATACCCTTTTGTAAGCGGAAGTTCATACCTTGAAGAGCGACGAACTTTTTGCCCCGCTCGATCAGTTGATTCCTGATACCCTGGATAATCATTAGTTAGAGTGCTTCAAATTGATCGGTTGCCTACTCACCTCCGGATCTTTGTGGTACTTCAACGGATATGCAGAGAGACTAGTAATCTTCTTGTGGCCCTTGAAGGCCTGGATTGTGATCTGATGGTCTCCGAGACCGAAAGACTTTCCGTCGTACTCCAGATACTTGCCGTCTACATACCAGGATTTGATTCCTGTCATCCAGCTCTCGTATTCATACGCGGTGTCAACCTTGAAGCAGCGAGGGTCATCTTTGTTGTGGTATGTCGGTGTATAGGCGATAGTGTTCGGCTTGAACAAGGCCCATACGAGATCATACGTGATTGTACCTGCTTTGAGCATTGGTCGCAGCGCTTTGCGTGTCGCGGAGTAATCTTCATCGATATAGCTCAAGAGAAGTTTGCATTGCGCAATCTGCTGCTTGAGGCGCTTCTGATCTTTCGTCTTCTTCGCCTTCTTCAGCTTTGGTTTGAGAGTCTTCTTGATGAAGATCTTCAGCTCCTCGTAGTAGTGAAAAAGTGTGTGAGGATCAATTTGCGGTGTATCTTCCACAAGACTGATGCTCTTGCAATCCTTGAACACTTCTTGAAGTGCATTGCGAAGTAGCTTAGACTTGATGTCTAGTTGAGTCTCTTGATACTTGCCTTCCCAATTGAGTCTTCTCCGTACTGTAAATACGCAATCAAACTCATCTTTCTGATCAGAGTTACTTTCAACAAGTTTCCAATCACGAATCTTCATATCAAAAACTTGATCGACACGCTTGAATTCAAGGACATTCTTCTTGACTGGCTTTTCAAGTTTCGTAGTGGATACGGCTGCCGCGGCTGCCGCGGCGTTAAGAGAAGCCTTTTGGGCCTGAAGATTGCTGAGGATACCACTGACTTTGGCCACCTGGGTGTCGAGATCGTCTCCCGGAAGTGGGGGCTCCGGGGGAGGAGTTGGTGGTACGGTAGTATCATCATCGGATGTTGACGATTCTGATGATGATTCAGAGCTATCAACCTTCTTTGCCTTCTTAGCCTTCCGCTTTGCCTTCGCTTTCGCTCGCTTGCGTTTCGACTTTTCGTCTTCAGAATCAGAATCGCTGCTAGAGGAGCTCGAAGTATTTGATGCGCTGTCATCGCTGGAACTTTCGAGCTTGTTGTTTCTCTTCTTCCTGGCTTTCGCTTTCAAAGCTTTGCTTCGCCTCTTCTTATCATCATCCTTAGATTCAGAGTCGGAACTCAAGTCGGAAGAATCAGATGAGATTTCATCCTCGCTCACGGTATTGTGCTTTCTACTCTTGCTCTTCTTAGCTTTCGCCTTTGCCTTCTGCTTCTTCTTCTTTTTCGCTGCCGCTCGCTTCGCAGTTAATTTCCGCTTCTTCTTGCGCTTAGCCCTCTCGTCCTCGCTACTGTCCTCAGACTCGGTACTGCTGTCAGAGTCACTAACGTCAGACACAGAGCTCTCGTCAGCTTTCTGTCTCGACTTCTTTGATACGTGCTTCTTCTGTCTGTCGGTATTTTTCTTTGCAATAACCACGTCAACTACTGGCTTTTCGATTTCAGATGGAGAAACAGAACTCTGCTGCTCTTCTGTCGTCTTGCCTTTGTCAATGGTTTGAGTCTCTATAGTTTCCTGTGATGAATCCATCCTTCGCTTGTGTAGAGTAAGATCGTCTGGATCAGAAGTTACTGATGGTGTCGCTACAATGACTGGTGAAGATGAAGAAGTGTCGGAAAGCTTTTTGTTTGCCGTTTCAGGTAATGGAGGGATATCGGAAGACTCCTTGGACGTTTCTGGATCGTTCATGAGTGTCAAACTTGCCGGTCTGTGAGGCTGGCTTTGTTTTATATCTTGTCCACTGAACTTATCGTGTGGTGTGAGGTTGTGGACGAATTTGTAACACTCCGAGCTGAGTTTCGAGATGTATGCAACAAAAAGCAGTTACAGGTAAGACAGTCTCGAGCAAGGAGAAGAAAGTGGAGGACCTGTGTCTCACACCTTTTATCCACAAGCAGAGCCGCAAGTGAGGCCTGACCTCGCTCTGTTTCTGTATCCGACCCACAGCACTTGCTAATCAGATCTCTATCCCACCCAACACTACTGCCAGGCTACAGCCTTCTGTAATACCGTCCTCAACTACCCCGCAGTGACTTACCGCGGATCTGGCAAATGGCGAGTTCTGCCTAGCCGAACTCAACAAGGCTGATATTGTTGGGAGCGAATTTGCTTGGCTATACCGTTTATTTACATATAAATACCGGAATGCCCTGGAGTGGAAGCCTCACATACCTGGTGAACACGGTGGTTCGAATCTGCTGCCTAGCAAGCGACCTTCCTGAGCGAGAAACGTTTCGTCAAGGTATTGGCCCGTACATGTTGTGGTGCATAGATCGGCTGAGAAGATGGCGATATCGTGACCGGTGAGTAGGTAACCAATGTTATGGTGAAGCGTAGCTCAGCCTCGTCTGACAAAGACTTCAGCCTCGCAGGTGTGTATGCGTGTGTGGATGCGCTCGCTTTCCCCGGTTCCAATCAAGCGTCCGAAGGGAATATGCACCTCTAGTGCTGGAAGCCTTGGGCCAAAGTCTCGACACACATCCATCGTGACTGCGTACCGCTCTTATACTGCAGTAGCTCGGTGGCGCTGCGGCTGTCATCTACATCAGTCTGCGCTGCGCTGCCGGTGCCGCAGTACTACCTTGTCATCGCGGCGCACACGCATCTTACCACAATGGCCCGACGATTAATGCTGTGCTACCATGCTGAGCTGCAGTGGTGATGGTGGTTCGTGTATCGTGGTCAGTGGCCAGACGGCGGAAGGAGTGCGCCGGGTGCATTAGCGAGCACCTCGACAGTTCGCCTCACTCTTTCCCAATATATGTGGTAGATTCGCATATGCAATGAGCGCCACTGTGACAAGAAAGTTTTCATCGGAAGTTTTCATCGGAAGTATCTAGCATTCTCTAGTGGCTGGAAGGCAAATGGTATATCTGAGAAACAGCGAAGCCAACCTCAATCTTAGAGAGTCGTACAGGACCAAAGCAGTGTCTGACAACGAAAGAATCGCGTTTTACAACGCCCCATCAATGCATACGGCACCATGCAACATGCGCCAGACACGCTTCGTGCACACATGTGATACGCTGACCAGGCGCCAAACGCAAGCTTCCTAATCTGTCATGCAAGTTCTCCAAATAACGCCCCGCGTTCCCCAAAGCCATGTGCAGCTTTATCGATGCAATGCACGAGTTTTGCCGTCGCTGCAACGATACAAGCACTCACGAACTTGATTTCTTCTTGCCAAAAGTCATGTGTCCCAATCCATGCTCCTTCGCATCCTTCATTTCATTCTCGGGCTTTCCATCAGGTAGATCGTTGGTGTGAGCTGCTCCTGAGATGTGATACTTGAGGCTCTCCGCAACTCCACTGACATGACCCCCGCTCTTGTGTGACCCAGTAGGTTGGTCGATGGCCTGCGAGTCACTAGCAGCATTGCTAGAGTTATCTAGGCGATTTGATAGTGTAGGGTGCGAGGCTGGCGCTGTCGACCCACTGCCGCTAGCCTCTGTACTTGCGCGGGAACCATTTGGCTCTGTCAAAACTTCTTCTCCATTTGGACCATGTGACCGGACATCCTTGGTGTCACTGTCTCCACTATCTCTTCGTCCGGGAGCGTTGACGATGTTGGCGCTGTTCTTGTTCTCGCTTCGGACGCTATTTGCTCGACTGATGTCTGAATCAGCGTTAGGTGGACTGGCTGTACGAACACCTAGATCTTTGTCTTCGGACGGCTCCACACCCTTAGTACCCCTCCAATCTGCGGGTCCCGCTTGTGAGACCGGCTCTCCCTCTTTCGGTTCTGTGATGACAACACCAGGTCGACCTTCGTCGCTAGAAAGCGCGCGCCAGACTACTGCTATACGCTCGAAAGCCTGTGTGCCTTTCCGCGATGAACCTTTGATGCCGTCCATGGCCTCCCATGCAATCTCGAAGATGCCGGATTGGTCAACGTTGCCGTTCTGCTCAGGGCCATTACCTTCAAAATATGTATTGAACCAAACGTGCGCGACAGCGGTGACCATGGTCAGATCGAAGGCGGCTTTGTTGCGTCGCTCAACATCGATGTTGACATCGTTTGTGGGAAGAACTACACGCTTGGACGGACGGAAGACGACATCGCCGGTGCCCATAGGCAGGCTCTCGCGCGATGCTCTCGGCTCGGTAGTGGTGCCATCGATGTTGTTCTGCTGTTCCAGGGAGGACGTAGAAGCATTCTTGGAGCTTTCGCTAGTCTTTGACGGGCCGAAGCCGTTCTTGTACATGACCTCTTGCACCGCCTGTGCCATGCCGGTAGTCTTGACCTCACCCCGTACAATCTCTCGCTCGTCGCGTGTGAAGGTATGGAAGTTCTTGATGAGCTTGCCGTCCTCGACGAAGCCTTCGACCTGGATCTTGACGCCGTCTCTAAGGCCCCAGCAGTGCACTTCGAGAATCTCCACCTGTCGCTCTACATATATCTTGCCGTGCTTTGCCCAGCGGTCCACGTAGTCTATCCAGCGTAGTTGACTGGGAATACTGACGCCTTTGCCCATGTTCGGCCGCATGCGCCGCTCAGTGAAGCGGTCCAGAGCCTTGTGCACCGGCCAGCCTTCCTCGCTGATCAGATAACTGCAACTAGCAGTGCCCGACCGGCCCTTCCCGGCTTTGCAGTGTACTACGACGACTCTGCCCTTCTTCTCATGCAGCCAGTTGCGCATGCTGGCCATAATGTTTGGTATGAGGGCGAAAGGCGGCGGGTGGTGGTCGGGAAAAGGGTAGTGGTAGACGCGATTGTAGACTTCTGAGTCTGGGTAGCCCGTCCCTTCGGCGCGGAACTCCCATATAGCCCAGTCTTCGCCATGTTTGGAGTCGAGAAACTTGACGAGTGAATCGAGCGGGTTGCGATACGCGCGCTGGGGGTAAGTGCCGCTGGGGCCTGATGTAGCGATTACTGGCTGGTGTCAGAGCGCGAACAAAGCTGCGAGTCGTGGAGCGGCTGTACTGTTGTCTGTCACATAGCACAGATCGAGGCCGGCTTCAGCATGCCTGGCGCGAGGCCCGGCTACAAGTTGTCGCAGTAGCGATGCCTACGGTCATCAGTTCGAACGTCCACCATGTCATTTCCCTTTGATGCGCACCATGATTCCGGCAATCGTCTGTTGTGTTTGGGAGCAATATTCCGTGTTGGCACATGGCGAGAGTCGAGGCGCGAGGGATGCTGCCTCTAGGCGGGCAGGCGCGACCGAAAGGTGGGTACGTCACCCTGCACGGATTATGCGCTAAGCTTCCGGTTCCTGCCCAGACCCTCACCATTCCCCGCCACAACACCAACTTTTTTGCTCGCCACACACCTCTCAGCCACACATTTTTCAGACGCTGATATGTGTCTTTCGTTGGTGATATGTGCAATGACAACTAGTTGCGTTCGGTGAACCCATCGTGCATGTTGAGTTCCTTTTTCCTCGCCCGCCTCCTATATCCTTCCTGCTCAATCATTCTCATCAGCGTCTGTGGAAGATCCAGATGAGGACTTCCTTCCCCTAAAACTCTCAAGCTTGTCTCCAAGAATCTCGCCTTAAAAGTCTCCCAAAGTTCATCGTCAGCTGCTTCAGTGCCACCTGGTCGGGGGTAGTAAGGATCGTTTCTGAAGAATGCAGCACATGCTTGCTCCAGTCCATCTTCGTCCATAGACATATGCTTCACACGATCAAAGTCCAGAACCCACATGACATGCTCGCCGAGAGACTCGGACGCGAAGGTTGGCGATGACATGGGTCTGGGAGGCGCAAGAACGAACTCGACATCATCCACGTTGACTCCAGCACCCCAGTACATCAAGGCAAGCGCATCCGCCATAGTCATCGCATAAGCGACAACATCCAGCCCTAGGTCTTCCATTTGATTGATATGCAGCGCAACGTTTCGGAGGCTGAAGCGCTGGAAGCGCGATGTGCTTGATGATCTGTTACCTCTCCGCCGCCCTAGGTAGGGTCGAATGAGACAATCATCATCATCTTTATTACCCTTTACAAAGGCGGCCATTGTTGTGTTCTCAGGCAGAGATAGATCTACGATCTTGTCGCTGACTGATCGGGGCACTTTGGGGATTCTTTCTGATATGAGCGCTCTGCACTCTTCATAGCCAGTTGGGAAGCGATGGAGACACAGGTCCCACCAGGACAGGTCGCTCGGCTGGATAAGCTGATAACATTGAGGTATTGCGAGCGGCATAGAGGCGAAGTGTTGTTCAATGCTCTGACTGATCTTGAGATGCATGCTGTAGTCGTTCGTGATAGATCGTCCAGGGCCTCCGTCCTCGCGCTTGACAACGCTTGTGCTGTTCTCCTTGGCAATCCAAACGCTGCCGCAAAAGCCTTTTCCGATACATCGATACGAATTGTGCCCGTCGAACATGATGACAACACCAACAAAGTGGTGACTTGCTTGTTGATACGATTGTAGTGGGAGAAAGCGATGATGCGAAGAGTGGTCTTATATAACGAACGCGATTGACTCAGAGTGGTACCATGGTTCTCCAGCGATTCTACCGTGCAATGATATTGTAGTTTATCATGTACAAGACTCTTACAACCGCTATAACACCGATGACATAGGTGATACTATAGCTTTCCTGACTACTAGTCAAAGATAAGAAAGTAAAATCATGTCAAGTATTTTCATCTACCCTTTACCCCACGAAGTGCGCAACGACCATACCGAGCCTTGCCAAGATTGCACAGCCTGGAGAGAATGTATTTCGGGCACGTCGCACACTCCCTGGCTCAAATGCGCCTTGAGACATTGCCGTGCCAGACGGTAGCGTCGTTGCCTAACGACCGTGCCGCGGGTGGCCTGAGCTCGTAGACATATAGCCAACACCCAACACCCAACATCCAGATGCGTCTCAGTAGCCAGAGAACTGTAACTAAGCTCGCTTCTCACCTTAGAGAATCTCTAGCCCTTCATCAGCCTATCTTTTCTCAATCGCCGTAAGCATGGGCCAAAGCCAGTCTCAAGCAGCGGATCAACCTCTAGAGCCGCAACTTAGCCAGGAGGAACGCTCACAACTGCAAGCCGAGGTAACAGTCTTGATCGCTTAATCTGTCTTACATTGTTAACACGTCTAAAGATGCGCGCAAAGCAGCAGGCGGCCCTCGACAAGCGTTTTACCAGTCAACCAAGGTCAAGGAAGCCCTCACCCACAGGCGCGCAAGCTAAGAGGAAGCCAACTGCGCTCGAGGAAGCGAGCAAAGAGAACATCGGGTGGCGCAATGTCGATGCACAGGCAGAATTCAGAAATTGGAACTGAGGGATGTTGCGACCGGACCGTGACGAAGGAGATTGATGTAACAGGCGTTGGCGACGATATGGAAGCTGAGTTGTCCATGTATGGGCTGCTTATCACCCGGATCACCGGGTTCAATCTGAGAAGGCGTTATAGAGTGGACGGAGAAAGGGGATAGGATTGGCTTCCACAGGCGAACATGGCGTTCTCGGAGTTCCCAAGCAGAGCAAATAAGCAAATTTCATCCTTTTCCTATGGCATGCCGATTCTGTCGCATCCTGAGTCCAGAGGCGTGCTTCCTCACGGAGCTATCAAGAGTGCAAGGAGCCAAGGGGCCCGCGGGGAAGCGCATCCGCGCTAGCGGATTAGTCATCATAAGCCGCAACCCAGCCCCAAATCATCGTAACTTTCTATTGCACTCATGCACCCAGCTCGTCATCGCCACTATGACGGAACAGCGCGTCGCAAAGCGCAAGACTCACACCAAGTCGCGAAAAGGATGCTTCCAATGCAAACAGAGACATACCAAAGTACGTGTCCACATTCGATCCTTCCGCTTCGTTCTCCAGCCAATCACAATGTACTATCCGATATGCTGCCTCTACCCCAGCAAATGGTCCCTCAAGCTCAGATCCCCCGAGCGCGACAAGTACGGGAGGGCTGCGAAGCTTCCATGTTATGATCTGCGCCTCTATACTTACCACATTTCATAGTGCAATGAAGCGCGCCCCCGCTGTGGAAATTGTGTTCGCTTGGACATTCATTGCCATTTTCCATCAATGCCAGACAGCTACTCAACATCTCCACAAAACAGCCCAGGTGTCTCCTCGCCTTTTGTTGATGCACATCATGCCGAAAGTCCTGAAGCAAGTCCGACTAATACCGAACTGCCACTCGCTGATCTGCGTCTGTTGCATCACTGGACAAAGTCGTGCGCAAAGTCGTTGCATCCAAACCCTGCAATCCGGAGTGTCGTTTGGCAGGTAATATTCTCCACTCTTTGCCGCCTTGTTGAGGCTATGAGGCTGATAATAACTTGATTCGCAGAACGAGTTCATCGAGTTGGGCTTCGAGTACCCTTTCCTCCTTCGCGGCTTCTTGGCTCTTTCAGCAGTTCATAAAGCATCCTTGCTTCCGCCCAGCGAAAGACAGGGCCTCCTGCTCCAGGCAGACTCACATATCAGCCATGCATTAGATACCTATCGAAAGAATCTAGAGACGCCAAACGTTGAGCTGGCGATACCGATGTTTATGTTATCCTCGGTCATCCTAACTTACAACTTCGGTTCAGCACAGCTTGAGCGTCCCGAAGACCCCATTCGTGCGCTTCACCACTGCTTTATGCTACTACAAGGCATCAAAATTGTAGTAATTCCTCACTGGGATCGGATCAAAGATAGCTCTGTATTCGCTCACATGACGGACATGGCGCCCCCAGAAGCTTTGGATGCACTGGACACGCTTGCAAGGGAAGAGAACCCCCAAGAGATTCTCCGGCTCAAAGAGCTTACCGAACTTCTGCTGGACAGTCAGGATAAAGAAGCCTGTGCCACCGCTATCGACGAACTCCACGTAACCTGGCTGCGCTTTCGGCACATATCACCGGACCGTGATGAATATTCCCTGCTCTTTCTTTGGCCTGCTAGGCTAAGCAATCGATTCTTCGACCTCCTTGCATGCCACAATCCAGTGACCTGTATCATTACGACACATTTCGCTGCACTGTTGGCCCAATGTCGTCCAGTATGGTGGGTAGTGAAGTGGCCTCAATGGCTGCTCGTTGCGTCCGAACAATTGCTGGCGGCGACACCGGATCTTCTGAAATGGCTTGACTGGCCGCAACAGATCATCCATGCCCAAGCCTGGACTGCGACAACCACTCCAGCAATTTCTTGAGGACCGGAGTTGGTACGAACCTTGGCACCATGAACACCGCGCTCATTGTATCATACCATCAGTTGTTGGACTTGCGCAGGTGTCTGTACTAGCATAGCCCACCTCCATGCGCTGTTGATGGTTGTTTGTCATGCTAGCAACTGGTCTACGCTGCGAGACTCAGGCAGACTCAAAGAAGGGCATAGCTTGCGAGTTGCCGCGTATTTGAAGCAATGTCAATGAGGCGAAGCAATCGAGAAATCCAATAATGGAAGGGGTCCTGCACCGTTTAAGTCCCAAATCCTGCGGCTAGTCCGGCAAGTTCCATACGGCCGATACGGGACCCACCAAATCTCACCAGGACGGTAAGGCGTCTTGGCAGCGTATTTCGCGAAGCGTATTCCGTACAATAACTTCAATGCGTCCTAGGCTTAGGCTAAGGATCGCGCTGTGGGCTCGTTCTTTAAGATGTCTCGACGACGCATTTTGAAATGTAGGAGGATCGATTTCAAAGACGCATTGCTTTGTATCACAACTGAACATGTCCGACAACACATACCGACCGGCACTCGACGACCCTAACGCATACGTTCTCTACCGGTACATTCCCTCAACAGTAGCGGCGATTGTTTTTGTGGTTGTATTTGGTCTCACCACCTTGGCCCATGTTTTCCAACTCATCAAGAAGAAGACATGGTACTTCACACCTCTCGTGGTCGGAGGTCTATGTAAGACTCGAAGGGCCTTGCGTCCAAGACGGCATCGCTGACGAGACTATACAGTTGAGGTCATAGGATTTATCGGGCGCTACCTCTCGCATGATGATGTTTGGGCACTCGGACCGTTTATCATGCAGTCGCTACTCATTCTACTTGCTCCAGCACTGTTCGCGGCGTCTATCTACATCATACTAGGTCGAATCATCCTGCTGGTGGATGGAGAGCGATATTCTCTGGTGCGACAGAAGTGGCTCACGAAGTTATTCGTTACAGGAGATGTGCTCAGCTTCCTGATGCAAGGCTCAGGTACGTACATGATGCATTGCTGCCATTAAATGGCAAGCTAATGTCTGATATAGGCGGCGGTATCCAAGCGATGGGTACGCTAGACGCCTTACATACCGGCGAGCAAATCATCATCGGCGGTCTTTTCGTCCAATTGATCTTCTTCGGCCTTTTCATCGTCGTGTCGGGAGTTTTCCACTACCGCCTTGTTAGAGATCTTCCTCTAAAGAAGCGCTATAGTCCGTTGTCGCTGTTCAAATCTCGGAGATCCAGCCCAAGCATACACACCTCATCCACCGTACCCAGGGCCAGTCTATCTGAATTACCTTGGAAGCGCCACCTCTACACTCTATACCTCGCAAGCGCTCTCATTATGGTGCGAAGTATCTTCCGCGTCGTAGAGTACATCCAAGGGAACGCAGGATATCTACTCAGCCATGAGGTATACCTCTATATCTTTGATGCCACACTTATGTTCTTTGTCATGCTGGCATTCAACTGGACCCATCCAAGTCAAATTACAGACGCGTACCAGAAGAGACTACGAAGCGGCTCGCCCATTGAGCTCCAACATTCCCATGATACAGCGACAGGCGCGGATGAGGAACATATGCTAGAGAGTCGGGAGGCGAAGAATAGTGTACGCACTGGTGGCTGGGTTCCTTCTCAATGCTAAGAAGAATTGCCAGCGACACCACCTATTTTTCATCATGAAGGTGGATTCGTTAATCAACCAGCGATACCCAGGAAGGATGCTAAGCAAGGGATTATCTTATCAGAACAAGACTTAGTAATATAGATTCATGTCAACGACTAATACAGATATCGTTATTCCCATATAAGAATTGCCTCATCGTAATACAGCCATTAATTGGAGATACTGCTCAGGCAGAAACACCACATCAAACACAGCCATTGTAGGCACATCGATCACAAGATCTTGATTCTAGCAGGGGAAGAACGTTCAACGCCACCAGGGCAAAGCCATGTTGTTTATTGAATTATTGAATTATGTGAAGGAGAGCCCTCATGATGATGATTCGCAGGGCCTGCTCCTTCCTTGTGTCTGTAGTCTAGTCGTTCTCGAGGACCAGTGCCATTCTGCTCTTGCTGATGCTCAAGGTCCAATCGCCGGTAGCATATGAGCTTCGCCTTGATTGGCGGGCCCAACTCCACCCCTCTTGCGTCGGCAAACATCCCCAACTCTTTGACCAATGTGGACAATGGGGCCTGCGTTCGAGAGTATGAGTAATCCCATAGCACGTGAAAGATTATAGTCTTTTTTATCCATGTAGGTGTGACGTAGGTCATGCAAGATCCCGAGACTTGCCATGCGAATCATGCTGCACGAAATTTGGAGTTGCATGGTGGAGCTCCGACGTCTCTCCGCCTTCATGCCGAAGGAGACTCATTATTACTAGAGCGCAAAATTCTCCTCGGCGCCGAGTGATACAGGAAGTTCAGATTTTCAAGATAATCATCTTAGTCCTGCTGTGAAGGGCCCGTTTGTCGTCGTGAGCCCAGCTTGTCTGCTTGGTTCTGCAGATAAATGGCTATCCTTTGATCTGGACAGTTCATATGCAAATTGGCGAGCTCTAGCCACTGCCGTCGCTCTTGTTCCAACAGATTCAACTCTGCTTTCAAAACACGGTTTCTGCGCTCGGCTTCCCGGGATGTCTCAACCAGCTGTTCCTGCTCCTGTTTTTGTTTGGTCCGGCATTTGCTAGCAGCTTTGCGATTCTTTTCGAGGTAAATAGCCCGCGCTGAGCCTGGCTCAGCGTACTGATATCTCGGTCTCCGTCGCCCTGATGGAGGAGTTGTCATCGGCGACGCAGCTTCTTCCTTTGGGTAAAGACTGTCGTGTCGTCCTTTGACATCGGTGTCTTCGTGGAATTGCGTCGCATCGTTGGCATCGAACTGGGTTTGCGAAGGAGAGATAGTTGGTGTAGTGTGTGAGTTTGTAGACCGGTTGGATGGCGTGAACGCCGAAGCGTGGTCTGCGACGGGGTATGCGTTCGCAGTCGATGTTAACTTCGTGTTGACATCTGCGCTCGAGCCAAAAGGCTGTGAGTTAGACGACTGGTGGATGAGCGGCGCATAATTTCCCATATACTGGTATCCTGCGTGTCCCTCATGGTGTGGGGTTGATGTAGTAAGATTCGACATAAGCCCGTAATGATCGTAACCAGCGGAATCTGGTGTTTGCCCTAGCTGTGCTTGGTTTGGACGATACACGCGGTATCCTTGCTGTCCGGGCATTATAGAAGTATGCCCGTCTGGGATGTGGGAAAAATGTTGATCAGAAGGCATGAGTACTAAGCTCATGTTAACAATCTTCTGCCTGTGAGGTCTTTTGTTCCAGGGTGACCCGCTACCACCTTCGCAGGTTTAGCACTGAATATTGAATGTGGTAGCTTAAACCAACGCCGGACGGTATAAATTGGCTTGTTGAGAGATAACACAGAGTACTGCGGTATTTCCACGTGTCTGGAGGGTTCAGAACGGCTGAAATTGTACAAGGTGATTGTGAAATGAGGTGGGCGTCATGGGAAAGAAATAACTGACTGTTTATCCATGGTTGGCGGCTTCCACAACCGTGGATGGCATGATGACCCTGTCCAGAATTACGATACCGAGCGGGGCAGTCTTGACTGGTGCGCTGAATCGAACGCGTGGTACCGGTGCTAGGCACGCAAGTCTAGGGTGTACTGTGGTGTGTCGAGGAAGCCCATGACGGTGCGGAATACATGCCCGAGCAGGATCGACGCGACATGCCAATTGAGATAGCTGTGCGGCAGCGTATACCGCGACCAATAGAACTAAAGTCGCATTGCAGGGCACTGCAAAGAGACGCGCTTTACGAGGTTGGTATTGATCACATCGCTGGGTATGCTAACAAAGAGTCGTCCGCTAGCTAAGCAGTCGCGTTGAGAGGCGGTGGTAGAAGAAATAATTCAACGAACACGATTAGGCAGCGCAGCTGCCGTCGACGAATCAGATCACGAGATGAAAGCGGGCCCTCGGCGGTGGTAGGAACGGCGCGCTGGCGTTGCAGCGGGGAAAACTAGCCAGCGGCATGACGTCGGTGTGTCTGTTCAGAGGTTCTCAACCAAACCAAGAGCAGCAACTGTTGCATCAGGTACAGTTGAGTGGTCTGCCCTAGTCGTCTCGGTGGATGTTCGACGTTGAACCACGTGCCGTCGCTAATGCGAGTCGCCAATTACTATAGTATGCCACCAGCCACCATACCCTTGGAGCCCCCACCAACTGCTCCTGAAATTATGGCTCCCAACCGGCTGCACAGTCGTAAGCGACAAGCGAGAAAAGAGAAGGTCCTACATCCTACAGCTCCACACACGCACGTCTGAGAGATGACAAAATTTCAAATTCCAAATCCAATGCGCTCACGAGCTCGTTGCTTTTGCGCGTCCGTCATACCAAGATTGGCGCAAATTTAAATTCGAGAAGGATGCCGATGCCGCTTTAGGAACATTCCTCCGCGGATGTACGTATGTGTCATATCGGCAGTTTAGCTCTCGAGCTCGTGGTACATTTACTGGGTTTGGTGTTGCACTGTTACTGTACGTTTCTACGCCGACGTCATTTTGCTTGGTGAATCCTCTCGGTCAAGTCTTCCGGCCCCCTACGAAACCTCCGATAGGCTGTTCGTTCTTGACCGCAAGCATATTGCTAGGGTCAGGGCCTGCGGAACAGGAAAGGTTGTGGTGAAAGGCATCGTTAATCCTAAGAGAAGAAAGTCCTTGCGAGCCACGATTCTTAGCCGACAACAACGAACAGAGCAGGAGTGCCAAATCGCAAGGCTGTAGATTGACTTTGTCGACTCTGAACTCTTCATCACAATACTTTGCGCGAATACTAGACTGGCGGGCAAAGCACGTTCAATGATATGAAGAGCTCGACAAGCATATGTTCGGAAAGAGGCTTCTGGCCCAACCAGAATACATGATTTTACTGCCTCCAGCAAACCCATAATCTCTGGGATAGGAAAGGGCTTCTCATGGCATCGATCGATCACATCTCCATACATGCAGCCAAATCTGAGATCCCTACCTGTAGATTAGGTACCTCCACTGCATCACATCTTCAGGCGTCAACGCTCCGCGGAGTAAGTATAATAGCAAACGACCATCATGCAGCTGTCGGGCCCAGATCTGCCGAACTTGTAAGACCCAAAACATCGGAATCGACGTTGATTACAACTTTACGACCCTGTCCCTTCGTTTGGTCAGACACATGCTGTCATGAACACTACAATGGAGCAGTGAAGACGTAGACTTTCACTTCTCGAGGTTTGACCGAACCAAGATGGCTTTGTTGGGAGAAGGGATAGTGCCGGGCAGCAAGAGGACCCTTGCGCTCCAGATGCATCGCCGGCGTCTATCTGGACCTTGGTTCGCCCACCCTCTGTTTTACTTTCGACAATACCGTAACCAAACCTCAACGTAGACACTGCTTTCTGGAAGGCGCTAGACCTGCGCCATTGACACGTCGCATTATTCCCGTCACGGGCATTCGAATCAAGGTTTGATCTTGTTGCGCACCTACAGCATATACGCAGCGCTGTTGCTTTAGCGTTCTCCTTGCTTTTGTGGGAAATCTCTTACCTCGCGTGACACAAGGATGTGCGCCAAAGCTCCTCATATCTATCCCCCCCTTCTTTCTCATGACTTCTTCTATTTGATCTGAAGCTTCTGTCGAGCGATGGTTCAATTTTTCTGATTCTTTCACTGTATCCTTTCGCGATGATCCATCGATGCGACTTTCATGCATTGAAGATACAAGTCAATTTTGCAACATATGTCTTACAGCAGTTATATGATTCTATTGAGGTTGACATCTGTATTTATGTCCATCGCGGTAGTCGTATACTTAGAGTGCTGATCGCAATGCTGCTCTCAAGTCGCAATCGGACGCAGGATATGTGTAAGGTCGGACTATAGCAAGAGCTTGTCAAGATGCTATTAGGCTCTTTTCAACCCCTAGATATCCCGACATCCGCAGTAATGTACCGGACTGGTTTTCAGGGAAGAAGGGTAGAGATCACATCGGTTCACAGTTTCCTGGCCGAGGGGGCGATTGCCGTTGGCGAGTGCGAACCTAGTCTGTTCACAGTCTGACTCCGACTCCGACATCCGACGAAACCACAAGGCGAATCTCCGATTACCGGGACAAGTAAAATTATGATGTTTGCCAGAGTCGCAAACGCTAATACGGTTCAACAGGCGTCATGCGCCTACCCAGACCCTTAAGCGACCGTGGCGGGTAATGTTTCCCGGGTTTCCTCCCGGCTCGCCAACGACTATCCGACCCTTGAAGATCCACTTTGACAACCAGACACAGTAGCTAAACGACCCTGCTGCTACAGGGTCTCACGATTACACCATCTTCGACAGGTACCCAAACTCTGTTAATCGAACAATCGAAACGAAACACTCGTAAAATGCGCGTAATTGTTTTCGGTGCATCTGGTGTCCAGGGGCGACATCAAGTTCACGTCCTGGCCCGAGCAGGTCACTCAGTTGTCGCAGTGAGCCGCAACCCCAAACCCGTTCTGGTGGACGAGAAGTCCGTGGAGACATTTGCTGCAGATTTCACCGACCGAGATGCCATTGCAAAAGTGCTCGAGGGCGCCGACAGAGTCTTTCTCAACCTCCCGTCTACATCCTTCAACCAATCAGAGCCTATCATTGCTGCAGCCAGATACATCGGGGAAGCCGCGAAGAATGCCAAAGTTCCGCTGATTCTTTTCAACACGAGTATGCCAGTAGCCAAAGAATCCCAAGGCATTGTAGCACAGGACGACCGAAGGGAAATGAGAAGGCTGTTGCGGGAGTCAGTACCAACGATCAGTATCGAGCCTGTAGTCTACCTCGACAATTTGCTCGAAGGCTGGGCCCTACCTCCCATCCGCGACCGCAGTACTGTTGTCTACTGTCACAAACCCGACCTCCGCGTATCATGGATCTGTCACCACGATGTCGCCCAAATCATGATGGCAGCGATGGATCACCCTGAGCTCGCAGGCCGCGACATCCCTATCGGCGGTCCTGAGACCGTGATGTTGTTTCAGCTGACTGAGAAGTTATCGAGAGCCTGGGGCAAGCAGCTGAGTTATGAGAACCAGACTGTCGCAGACTTCTGCGACAAGATTGGTAAAGCGATGCAGGGACGTGGTCTTGAGACGGATACAATTATGAACCAGATGTTCAAGGCGTATACTTATTACAACGAGGCGGAAGACGAGCCGTTCAACGTTGATATGAGACCCTTAGTAAAAGAGCTCGGTGTGAAATTGACGCCTATCGAGGAGTGGGCGAAAAGAAGGAGTCCATGGGATGACAAAGGGCACTACTAGATGCCGGAGAGGGAGACGTTTGCGAGCTGCAACTCGTGCTTAGAACTGATCAGTTTGCAAAACTCTGGAGGGGTTGAAGGATGCTTGCATGCAAAGCTGATCGATTTTGCCCAACTACTACGATCTCAGTTCACGATATTCCTTACCTGTCAAACACGGGTAGAATCACGACTTCACTCATGAAAGGAGATATGATGAGATGAATATATGGGTATTCCTTACCAAGTCCAATCGCTCGTTCCACTACCCCACCACATTAAACCCACCTCCCATCATTACACTACTACTGTCATCCTGCGGCATACCAAACTTCCCAATCCCTTTCCCCCTCCTCCTCTGCACCCCCAGCGCCACCTCGTTAGCTTGCTTGAGCAACTCTTCACTACTACTTTTCCCCGGCACAAACACTAACCCCGAATCCGGTGCCGGAGTTCCCGTACCCACAAAATTTCCTTCCGCATCTTTGACATAGTGGGCCAGGTACTGCGAGCGCTTCATTTGACGGATGATTATGGATTGTTTCACTTCGCCTTGTTTGCGGGAGAAGGGGTTGTAGTTGTGGATTGAGTTGGCGACTGTGCGGGTAATCATGGGAACGGGAATGGTTTCATCAGGGTCACCTTCCGAGAGAGTGGTTAAGGCGCGGGCGACAGATGTATAGGATGGAGGGTCTCCTTTTTTTTCATTGCAGTAGCTTGGAGGTAGCTCTTCTTGGTTGATAGGAGTGGTGCTCATGCTGTGTGGCTTTGGGTTTTTGTTTTTAGGGTTGTAAATAGTGGAGGACTGTGGGCTGTGGACTGTGTTGCGAAAGAGTTGATAGCCTTGATGTGTCTCGTATGTTGTAACAACACCCTCAAGCCACAGCGCAATGAATGCTTATATATTCAACTTCACGCCATCGCGAAAGCAACTCATGCCTACATTCTGCTTCGGGGCCTCCAACTAACCCGCATCACATGGCTTAGACGCCGAATACGAGGCGTTGCATACATAGCGCCAGGCTGTGATTAGCGTACAGCTATTGAAGCTTGACGATGGGCAACCAAAGTCTCGCACCACTCAACAGAGCTGGAAACGCAAGCGCGACATTCAGGGCTGTTGCCAGACAGGTAAATTATTGTGGTGCTCGACCTATGGCAGTGCCTCGGGGGCAATGGCAAGGCGGGGTGGCGGAGTGCGGGCTAGCGTTGCAAGCCTTTTCTCTGCAGATCATTTGACGTCATATGGGGAAGCGTCAGAGTAGCTTCATGTCACGAATGGAGCAGGAGCAGCATGTTGACTATGGTGCTTACAGCGCTAGAAGAAGCTTCCTGCTATCGATTTAAGGCGTCCTGCTTGGCCACGAAGGGGGCTGAAATTAGCTACTAGATAGATGGTCGATCTCGGGACTCTTGCGGCAATGGCCAATCCTGCGGCCCATCTTGTTCTTCGTGTGTTCTTGATCGTCTTGTGATGAAAAAATCGCAATCGCTTTGCTTTGTGCTTTCGATGTGCACTGCCTTCTTCTAAACAAAGAAACAATAATATAAGATGTAAATGTAGGCTTAAGGTACCCTATTGCAAAATTGATCAATTCACAAATTTAAAACTAGAATACCACTCACTCATTTGAATGTCTTACTGTGGTGTAGGTAGGATCAACTTGTTCACGAATCGCATCAATATCTGATGATGTGTGTTAAGTAAAGCTCTTAGACAGCACAACATGTTCCCTCATAGAGCAAAGCTGTAATTAATTCGTAATTCATTTCATATTCATAGCATCGCCTTTATTCGCGATGATCTAGACACTTCCGCTCCTTGGACTGACAAAATCTTATCCTCTACAGAGCGCTCAGCGCGCATATTCCTCCTCATCCTTAGCGACCTTCTCGAGTACATGGTCGGTCATGAGTCCACTAGTAAAAGGCTTCCTTGACATCTTGACGATGTCGCGAACGTTCTTGCCTTCTGTGAACATCATCTCTAGCTCCTCCAGACTGCGACCCATAGTCTCGGGGTAACCGAACCAAACAATGGGCAGGATGATAGCCGAGATGATAAGGAAGACAAGGTAGTATTGCCAGCCGATGGTTTCGATGGCGACAGGTGTTACCATGTTGACGACGAAGTTCCAGAGCCAATGGTTAGCAGTGGAAATACCCGCCATCGGCACACGAAGCCTTGTGGGCGCGACTTCAGTGCAGTACAAGAAGTTCGCTCCGAGGAAACCAATCGGGATGAAGAAGTTGAACAGGAACACGAAGAGAGCACTGGCGATCTGTGCAGACTTGTTCGATTTGGGAAAGCTGGATGCGACGGCTAGAGCCAGCATGCAAGACGCCATACCCGCTCCGCTGAACATGAAGAGCTTGCGTCGACCGAAACGATCGATTGTGAAGAAGGCGACGAAGCAGGAGAGGAACTTCCAGGTGAGGGCGCCACCGGACAGAATGCGGGAGGTTTCCGAGTCAAGACCGAGACCTTGTTGGAAGATGATCTATTGCATGTTGTTAGTGTGTGATTTTGTAGTCGATAAGTAGGACTTACAGTCGAATAGGTCGAGATGAGGTTGCTACCGCACATCTGCTGCAGAAACTGGAGGAAGATACAGAGCGAAAAACGGTAGAAGAGCTTGTCTTTGCCCATGGTGAAGATGTCGCTTATCTTCGCTGCACTGCGACCAGTCTCCTCAAGCGCGAGTTCGATACCGCTAATCTCAGTGGTGATCTCGGGGTCGTGCAACTCCAAGCCCTTGAAGCTCGACAGACTGACGCGAGCTTCCTCTACACGGCCCTTGGCTACTAGCCAGCGGGGTGATTCAGGGATGCTGAATACGGCGAGCATAGGGATAACGGAGATGACGGTGGGAATGGCGAGAGGAATGCGCCATTGGAGAGGCAAGTTGTCTTGTTCGAAGAAACCGAGGTTGATCCATGCTTCGAGCAGGTAGCCGAGAGAGATGAAGCAGCCGTCAAGGACAACGTGCTTACCACGGTTGGCAGACGACGAGCACTCGGACTGCCAAACGGGAACGGTAGCACTGAGAGCTCCAACTCCCCATCCTAGGATGAAGCGACCGACGACGAATTGCGCGAGCTGGAAGCTGGTGCACTGTAGGATCTCACCAACCAGAGTCAGCAAAGCGGCACCGAAGATGAGCTTTCGTCGACCGAGGAAGTCGCCAATCCATGAGCAAGACAGAGCGCCGAAGAGAGCACCAATGGTGAAAGTAGCAACAACAGCACCTTGCTTGGTCGAATTGCTGCTCTTCTCCGCGCCGGTGGTATCGATAGTGTTGATCTCCGGGAAGTGGTCGTTCCAATCACGAAGTGACAGGAGACCACCAACACCAGACTGGTTGTATCCGAACAGCACAAAGGCTGGCAGAACGACGAGCAAAAGCTGCGCCGTCTGGAGAGTCTTGCCGCTGAGTCCCATGGTGAAAATTGACAGGGGGAAATGAGACAGAGGAAGGGGAGGAGAGGGACTACAGAAGGAGACGGGCAGGACAGTAGCTCAGTACTTGTACTCCAGTCCCCTTCTCCACAATATCCTGCAGCGTGGGCACTATCATGGAGACACTCCAGTCAGTGCAGTATTGAGCCCTAACCTGTCTCCACCTTGGGGTTAACCACCGGAGATACAGTGAGTGTAGCAGCTGCAGCGCGCCGGATGCCTCGTTTTAGCACCGACCCCATACACCGACCCAACAAACCTCCACAAACGGCATCTGATGCTGACCGGTATGGAGTCCGAGCTTGCGGGAATTGACTCGTATGTGACCAAAAAGCAGGGCGCGTCGGCGGCCATAGTTCGGCGTCGCTCGCCTCGAGACCAGCGGCTGAGGAGTAAAATCCTTCGCCATGTCGCAACGCTATCATGCCGGTTGAGGCTTGATGTGGGCCAGATTGTACGAGAGGCTCTGCGGTAAGGATTGGAAGGATTTAAGCTTTTCCAAGAAGGCCCTAGTTAGCTTAAAAACCTTGATTCGCGTGACCTGCCATTGGCCAAGGCACAAGCCTCGGTAGTTGTTCTATCCCCACCATTGTCGTGCGCGGTCCGTAACGTCGGAGGATGGCAGCTTGTGCGAGTAACGCAAATTGCTCAACGTGGGTAGTACGCGGCCCAGATTTGATGATGAAACGAACAATAGAATCAGGGAATCAGCCTGCAAGCTCCACACCGTGGGGTCGGCTAAGAGTTGGTGAGAAAGCAACTTTTGCTGAGGTGATGTAGCTGCGCATGCGGCGAGATAAGAGGTAGTGCAAGACGATAGCATAGCTTGTTATTCTTGGCCAAATCGCATGAGATGCCACTTTTTGATAGTCCCGCGTGATGGTTCCGATTCTAGCACCGTTCGGCGCCCTTGCTAGCTTTCATAACCGCAAGATCATCGGCCTCTATCCTTCTCCGTCTCCGTACTCGCACTCGAGCTTCTTCCTTAAGAAGGCGCCCCACTTCGTTTCTCCGACAGTTCCGCGTCAGCTCCAGCTTCTGGGGTTCTACCAAGCTCCGACGTTGACTTGACATGTTGATCTTCCACAACGTCGGATGCTGTGTTCTCGGTCGCTTCTCGTCCGATGTCCGCAGGATCTGCGCTTCGTATGATGCCATACTCGAAGCGATCTACTACTGCCTTTTCTATATTCCTTCGCGGTTCCTCAACGCCGTCTTTGTAATCATTCAACAGTGCGACTGCTCTCTCGTCGCCTTGCTCGATGCACCTATAGATCAATGCCTCCCAAGTATTCCTTCTGGGCTTCATAGGACCCTTTTTACCGGCTGTAGCACCTGTTGACACCATCTCTTCGTAGTATAGCATAGCATCTTCCAAGTCGCCAGCTGTGAGGCAAACCAGGATCAGACGGTCATATGTGAGACGACTGGGTCTGAGACCCAGCTTGACCATTTCGTTAGCCAAGAACATAGCAAGCTCTTTGCGCCCTTCCACATGACATCCTCGAAAGAGGATGTTGAAGGTGCCGGTGTTGGGGCCAGCATGAGAAACAGTATGCAGAGCTTTGTAAATTTCAATGGCTTCGTCGAGGCGCCCGCGTGCGATACTGGCTTGAATACATGCGTTGACGGCTGCGGTAGGTATCTTACGGCCCGCAGCCTCGAAGTCTTGCAGATGCCTGAAGGCTTGCATAGGTCGGCTATCTTCGTCGGGTATTCCAGCCGACAGGTACCAGTAGAGAGGATCACAGGTTCCAGGGCTGACCTTCAAGTTGATATCGACCATGATGAGAATCACGGACAGGGCTGCTTGTAGGTCGTTGGCATTGAGATATGCGGATATGAGCAGCTCGTAATGGTGCGTGCTCAATGTTGTCCCTCGCTCCGTCAGGATGCGGAAAACGTCGGTAGCGAGAAGGACGTCTCCGTGGCGCGAGGCGAGGTTAAGGACGGACAGACAGGCCCCGGTCCCTGGTTTGAGGTAACCCGGTTGAACTTGTGTCGTCCATACGAGGGTTGTCTCGTCAAGCTTCTCTTGCGTCAGTACGTTGTCTTTGGAAAGAAGGGCTTGGCAGGTCTCCCACTTACAAGCAGCTTGTGCGATGCGGCATCGAGTAAAGCTCCCCACAGAGCACTACTGAGCTCCACAGCACCTGTCCCGCTGCTCTTGCTCTTGGCAGCTTCCTTGAGGCCCAGCACGTGAAAAGCTTCCTCGACTTCCCCAAATTCCAGCAACATCCACATAGCTTTGTCAAACAGCCAGCTCTCGACGCGCGCCTTGTTCCGAACCATTTCTTCCAATGTCATGAGTGCGTGTTCGAAGTGGCGATCGCGCAGCATTCCAGCTACGACAAAATTGCGTGCGCGATCCGAAAGATTGAACCAGCGCGACTTCATGTATTCGAGTATTTCGTCGCGGAGGAGGTAGTCGGGATGGACTGCGAGCACTTCGAGAACGCACTCACAGCCCCGTGCATCCAGCTCAATTTTCGGCTGTCCAACCAGGGCGCCGTCCGTATCGTTCCAAAAGCCCATTTCTTCGAGCACTTTGCGCAGCTTGCCCGCCGTGCCGGTTTTGGGGTCGACGAAGCTATGCAGTAACGCTGCATACATTTCCTTGTTTGGCTGCTCTCCTCTGTCTTTGATCAGGACTCTGCAGATGTTCATCACCTCGTCCCAGTTGCCCTTTGCGCCCTCATCTCGCGCATGTTCGTAGAGGATATATGTTGGTTGCTGCGCGAGTGCAACATTGTCTCGGGTACCTCGGAGGCGCGAAGGGCGCAGCTTCTCTCCAAACGGGCGGAATCCAGTCGCAGAAGTTCCAGGCTGTGAGAAGAAAGAGTCGTTTGCGGTGAAGAGAGGGTTGGAACTGTTGTAGGCTCGGGATTGACGGCTGCAGTGGGATGCGGCATCTTTTCGCGATGCATGACCATGGGGCAACCTAGGTCCTCCCCTGGTTATGCATGGTGTTGCTACAGCATTTGACGGAAATCCCGGACAGAGACATCGCCATAGTCCGTCGTTGACGAATGGGCGGGGTGGCATTGGCGTTGACGGTGTACAGTGCCAAAGTTTCAATGCGGGAGCATGAGATGCAGCATCCGTGCGCGCGCCTCGGTTCGGCGCTGCAATACATCATACAGGATCACTATCTGCATACGAAATCACAGATAGGAGCTTAGTTTATTACTATATGCACACACTTACTGTTCCAGTGCTTTTCAAATCCAGTACCGAACCGCAAAAGGGTATATACGCCCAAATACCATCCTATCTCCTGCATAATCCGTGCCACTCTCCCCATCCTATTATGTCGAAACAGCATCCTGCGTAGCGTTTCGTACCCTCCCTAAAGTGCCAAAGAAATAACTATTGAAATCTTCACAGCCATCTGCTCATCTCCTTACGATTTGCTCCGAAAGAAGCTCCAGTACCTGTACCAGTCAGCTCATGGTCGCATGCAAAGAGAGTTAGCACATACCTTCGGTGATATTACGTCCTGGTTCACCAAGTGCTTGCTCAGGATCTTGACAACATCCATTTGCTCCTCGTAGGTCAGTCCGGTGACGGCTGCTTCGATCACTCCACCGACGGTAGTGTGGTGAACAGCGATGAAACTCGAGTAGTAGAAAAATGCAATAGAGCCCATGATGAACTGACAGTCCATACGGTCAGTCATTCCACCGTGACCGGGAATAGAGTCACCAAAGTCCTTAATCTTGAATGTGCGCTTGAGACCAGAGGCGAAGAAGCCACCGAAAGGCGCGATGAGAGACGCAAAAGTTCCGAGCATGATGACGTGGAATTGCACAGGCATGATGCTGAAGGTGCGGGGAATTGGAAGGCCCTCGGGAAGGAAGGGGACAGAGTAATCGCGCGCGACGAAGACAGGGTTGGGTCGGCACTCAAGGCCAGACCAGATGTTTGCGCCAAGGTCGTTGACAGGGCAGATGAAGTACTTGTAGCGTGCAACAAAGTGGGTAACAAGGACACCCCAGAGAACGGTGAAGAACCAGGCGCCTAGGAAGCCTTCCCATGTCTTCTTGGGCGAAATCTGGATGAGGGGCGTCCTTCCAAAGGTGATGCCGCAAAGATAGGCCCAGATGTCGTTGCAGATGACCATGGAGACGGGGAGGATGAACCAGATGAAGCCTTCGAAAATGTTGTTGATGACAAAGTGTGCCTGCCCGACGATGAGGAAGAGAGCCATGTGCGTCCAGGCGAACTGGGTGAACTGGAACTTGTAGTGGCCCTTTTGCAGTGAGAAGACGAAGAAGATGAAGCCTGGCGGAGTTAGTTTGGGTGGGATGCACAGGGTTCTAGGACATACCGATAATGTACAACATAAAGGAGATGAACCTGTGGTGGGTAGCTAGGGGAAGCAGCAGACGGTCAACCATGAGAACATGCTTGAAGTAGTATATGACACTCTCGCCGTAGAGAAAGTACATGGCAGTGCCCAGGAAGTACCAGTTGAGCGACTTGGTGAAGCGCAGGCTGCGGGCCTTGCTGGGAACGTTTGCGATTGCGATGACCTCCTTGAAGGATATGACCTGGACTGCCGTGACGATGATGATTATGAAGAGGTGGCCGGCACCCAGCGCCCAGAAGAAGCCGGCAATCATGACAAGGGTCCATACGGTGCGCGTTATGAAGTTTGCCTTTTTCTTCTCGTACTCGCTCTGGGGGGGTTGCTCGGCGGACTGGCGCGGTCAGCTGGTGGACGGGGAGGCAGAAAAGCAGCAACATACCGGAGGCGTCGGCTCCTCCTTGATGGTGGGACTGCCCGGGTCGCTGAACTCGGACATGCTCTGCGAGGGTCTCCGGGCTCTTCCATTGCTGGCGCTGCGGACCTGGTGGTTGAACTTGACGTCCTTTCTCGGACGCGCCATGGTGGGCGAGGGAGCGGCGGGTTGCGCCGGGTGTGGTGTGGGAGGATAGGGGGCAGCCGGGGGAGGACCGGACTGGGAGGCGCGATGGCGTGAAGGGAGTGTAGGGTGGGAGGAAGGCGGGGTGGTGAGGATCGAGTGTTGGCAGCAAGCTACTAGTCCGACTGACTGGGCAGGTTGTGAAATTGCGGACAAGTAACATCGGGCAGACGTCATGGCCGCCTGCGCTTAGCGACACCCTGCATGTGAATTTCCCAGCCCAACACCGCAAACTACACAACGCGTCGCGCCCCGCATTGCGACCGCTTTGGGACATGCACACGCGGACGCCAGCTGGCAGATGGTCCGACAATGGCTGACGACGACCTCGACGACCTCGACGACCTCGACGACTTCTCCGACCATGACCTCGACGACCTGCCCGCCAACGCGCTCGACGACCTCGAGGCAAGCGCCATCAGGGCCACACAGCAGCCGCAGCAGCAGCTACTGTTTGACCCAGAGGCCGACTCGGACGACTACGGCCTTGAAGATGGCGACGAGGTAGTCAACTTGGACGACGCGTCGGGTCCCCCGCGTGCGTCGCACGACTACGACTGGCAAACATACAATGGCCAGATGCAAGTGGAAGAGCAGCCGCGCCCATCGCAGGCCGACCCCAACGCGCTACTCCAGCGTATCAAGAAGGTGCGACGCGTGCCCCTTCCGTTTCCACTCGTCTCACTAAACATCGCAGTTAGAGCAAGACAAGGCGCGCGAGAGAAGAGAAGCCGACGAGCTGAAAGGGAAGCTACAGACGAAGTCGGGCGAGGCCGACACCCTTCGAAGACGCTACGATGCCGAAAGTCGTCGACACGAGCGCCAGCTGGCCGACCAGCAGCAGGCGCACGGTACTGAACTCGCCAAACTGCGTGCCGAAATGGAGAGGCTGCGCCAGGAGAAGGAGTCGGCACAGACGGACAACATGTTCAATCAGCATGACGCACGAGAGACGAGCATCGCGCGACGGCCTGGGAGGACCATGCCGTCACGGCCAAAGTCGGGTCCGCCCGTCGTCAGTCCAGCCGGCACCCCGAACAAGGGGCAGAAGACAAGAGGTCCACTGGGCGATGGCTTCGCCGATGACGATGCTATCATGGCGTCACCGTCCAGGCACGGCGAGAGGCAGAAAACGGCGACACCCAAGCAGGCGGGCAAGAGGAAACGACAGACGATGGACCAGAGCCCCATACCATTGCCTGCGCTGTCGCTGAGCCAGCCACGAAGCCAACCAAAAGAAGAAGAGCCAGCGCCTGTCGCAGCACCTACGCTAGACGTTGGATTACTCGAGTACTTCCGACGCGACGACCAACGATTCACCCTGCTTCATCGCCTGCTCTCACATACGTCCTCGAATGGCACCGATCGCATACTCGAAGCACTTACCCTGCATGCATTTCCGTCTGACGTATCCAAAAAGCTGTCTTCGATCGTGTATGATGCACTAGCCAACATAGCCACTGCTGATGTGCACGAGTTAGCACTACAGATATGTCACATCTTTCTTGATCTATGGAAGCGCTGTCAGACTGAGAAGTACTATGCTCCGATTTCGTTAATCCTGGATGCGCTGCACTTCGTTCTGGCATGTGAACCGACCGAGACTGCAGTCGGCATAGCAGACCGCGTCGTACCGCTCATCATCGCCTCCGTTGATCTTGTAGCCGACCCCATCTCGAAAGCAGCCAAAGGAGGTGAGAAAGCTATTGCCGATCTCTACTCTCCAAAGCAACGGGAAATCGCGTCTCGCATCGACGTCGAGGACTGTCTTGAACTGCTGTATCTCGTTGCGAGCAGCTGTCTTTCGTCAGTAGACCCTGAAGCTATCGTCCGTTTGTGGCAGGCAATACCCTCGACCTTCGCTATAATGCTCCTTGTCAAAGAGCAGCCACAATCACAGATCATGCTCATGTTGCGCATACTTGATACCTCTGCACTACCTACCTCAGTAGGACCTATAACCACTGCGGATTCTCCACAAGATAATCAAGCAAACAACGAAGATGCTCTGATCAATCGCCTCACCAATCTTTTCACTGAGATACCCAGGCTCATCCCCGATCCTGCGGCTTCTCCCGGTGCACTTCCAACACCCTCCGAAGCAGACCTCTGGGACCTCCGCTTTCTCGTCATCTCAGTACTTACACAATTCTCTGTTTCAGAGTATGGCTCTAGTCGTCTGGCCCAGAATCGCCTTTGCATCGGCCGATTGATCAAGTACCTTGATCACTGCGTTACAAGCCTCTATCGGCATCCCATCTCGCCGACTCAAGACCGGAAAGTCGATTCCATCAATGCCACGATGAAGCTGATCTATCACGTCGCGACGACGAATGCCAACTTCGATGTCAAGAGCAAGTTGGTGAATACGCTGGGCGGGCAACATGCCTATCTGGTTGCACTTACTCGCTTGGCCTTTAGCGAGGGACTAGTGCTAGAAGCGGGAATTGAAGACGAGGTCGTGAACATGGCGCATGACATCCTAGATGAGGGACTGAGCATGGAAGAGGGTGATGCTTTTGGAAAAGTGTTTAGTAGTGGAAGCACTGTCTAGACGCATTGGGTAGCCATCCTCCGAACATGCGCCGCAGGTGTCAGACATGCAACCCAGCACCCACATCCTCGACTTCCAGTAGTATCACGATTCCGGCGTTTCCCCTACAGGAGCAAGCTCACACATGGTTACCACGTCTACTCCTTATGGTTGTTGGCAGCAGACATAGACATCGACATCTTGTATAATCACTCATCTGGTTCACACATAGTTGTATTACTAGGGCTCATGACGGTACTGCATTGGGCGGCGTTCAGGACATTGGAAACATTCTTTCATATCCAAACAGCGAATGTCCAACACCATCTTCAACACTAAACATGTTCCTGCGCCCATCCCAATACCTTCTTCAAAACCTCATCCCCACATTCATCATGTAACAGCTCATGCCTTCCCCCTGCATAAACACCAAACTCTTTATCCTCACTTCTTATCTCCTTCACAAACCTCTCACTACCCCTCCAGTCACAATACGTATCTGCATCCCCATGCAGTACCATCGTCGGCACAGTCCAGTCTCCCACTTTCGCCATGACAGCATCCGTAACATCCACAGCCGTAGCAGCAGTTAAGAAGCAAATTGCCTTCTTCGAAAACAACGGATCAGCCAGATACTTCTCAACCTCAGGTTTACACCGTGTAAGGCCTGAGATGTCGACGTGGCGACCTGGTATAGAAACTGTTGGCATCGTGCGCGCTGCTACGCCTACCGCTAATCTCGCTGCGTAGGGGAACGGACCTGGGAATGCGGGACCGGTGAGAATTACCCCCTTTATGCCATTTGAATTCAGTGTTACGCTCCCAGCAGTAATGAGGCCACCGAGTGAATGGCCAAACAGTATCACTGGCTTCCCCAGCTTCATGGCGTGGTCGCGTAGTTCAAGGTGATCCACGACGGCTTTTCCCACGTGAGCTACTGCGCGAACATCACCTGGGGAGGAACCGTGACCCCAAATATCCATGGCGTAGACGGAGTATCCGGCGGCGAGGAAGTGTGTGATGAGGTTGTGGTGCGAGTGTAGGTACCGGGATGCGTATTCCGCGTAGCCGTGCTGTAAGACAGTAGTTGCGGTGGGTTGGGTATTGGGTGTCCATGTGTGCGCTATTGTGCCTGATGAGAGGGTTATGGTCGTGTGGTTGAGTCCTTGGTTCGGGTCGGGGTTTGGTGCTGGGGTTGGGGGCATGTTGTCGTGGTGATTTGGAAGAGTGGTAGATCTCCGATACAATGAAGGGACGTTCAACATGTTGACGATTGAAGTCGGTTCAAACTTTGTCCATATATCAGTCTTGCCTGGCTGGTCGTACGAGACCACTCTGTCGCTTGTCAAACTAGGCTCTCGGTCGTCTTAGGCTTCCGGACTGCCGATTTTGTGGCTGCGCTTTGTCGTTAGACATGGCAGATCATGTCACCATGTTACTATTTGTACAAACGAGCCGAAGTGTAAACATATCATTTTCGTTGGGGACAGACGCGATGTCTGTCAGAGTGAAGTAGATTCCGCCCATGACAACCACGTGGGGAGGGGCACAATGATGTCTAGACAGCTTTAGGACTAGCGTGTGAGGCGCTTGCTGCGTCTCTACTCTCTGGAGCTGCAAGTTCAATGTATTGTCTTTCGACACAATCGGGTGGACTGACGTATGCAATAAATCCTTGGGTCACAAAAGATGTACGGGCAGCACCCTCACCTCCCCACTCTTAATGCGTTCTTCCGCGTTCCCTTCGTAATATACCATACCATTAACATGAGCTTCACCAACAAGCTTGTAAGCATCTCCTCGGATGCCAACTGAACAACGCTCCCAGAGTGTTTTGTCCTTTCTTCTTATGACCCATGACATGGCTTTGAGGGGATAGGTTACAATTTCTTGAGAAAGGTGTGCGAAAACAGTTATGCAGTGGTTCGGTCGAAACACTCTTTCGTGTTCCGCGTTTGGGGACGGGGCAATCTTGTTGTGAAAGTCGTAGTCCGACGTTTTGGACGCGAAAGTCTTGTACGAGGAAGTTGACATTCTAAAAAATATTGATAGTAATAGATCCTTTCGTCGACTATCTGCAATGCTTTGTAGGTTAAGGGCGCGGTGAAATCCCTGGGGGTACAAAAGCAACAAGAATCAAGTCTGGGCATCTACAGCAAAGACCCATACTGTGGTTCGAGCAAGCTCACATCAACAACTCTATTTGTTAGGTGGTCCGCCTCAGGTTGCTCGAGATGGTGGGTGTGCTGCGCCTTCCTCGGCATCCAGTAATACCACCCACCACGTCGCCGCCAACATAAGCCGCCACTGACGCACTAGATCTGCACGCTTAGTCCTGGAAAACTCGCTTCTTCCAACCGCATTTATTCCATAGCGATTGTGATGAGAGGGTGTGTAGAAAGACCACAAGGAAAGAGCTTCGCTAGCATTACAACGTAGGGGCTATGGCCTGATCGTGCTCGAATATGTATTTATAGATATAAGGCGTGCCGCGTTGCTCGCTCCATGCAAGGCCTGCGATCATCGTTTCAGCATTGGTGCGAAATCGCGTTGCTATGAGCAAAGTATGCAACGCATGCCGGATCGATTGTTTGAAGGCCTTCCACTTTCTCGAGGTAACATGGGATTGCCTGGTGGAAACTGTATGATAACGTTCATGGATCTTATATCAAATTGAAAATCTTTGGAAACAGTCGCTTTTGACCTCTTCTGATGTTATCCCTCATTCATAATATTTTACAACAGGAGTCCTCCAATCACGCCAGCAACAACAGTAAGAAGGCCACCACCGACAACAGCATTGGCATCCGCAGCGCCCGTAGACTCAACCACAGAACCTGAGCCAGTTGGACTGACACTTCCAGAACCAACTGCAACACCAGTGCTTGCCACAGATTCCAGCTTGGAACCAGACATGCTGTGTGGGCTCTTCGTCGTAGCAGAGGACTCTGCAGCCTCTGTGGTAGTGGTCTCCGCTTGAGCGTTAAGCTTGTCTGCACCAGCTGTGACCACTAAGCCAAACGTGCTAACCATATCCGCGTCATATGTCGTCGTGCTGCTGCCGGGGAAGTTGGCTTCGGTACCACTAGCACTTTCCTTGCAAACCGCGCTCTCAGCAACCACGCAGTCCATCGTAGCGGTGAAGTCCGAGTCTGGGCTTGGATCCCCCATATTGATGTTGTAAGTCGAAGGACCGACGACGAGAGTTTGAGCAGGGAAGAGACCACAATCGAGAGATTCAGGAGCACAGGCAAGCGAAAGAGTAGTGGCGGTGGGATTCGCCGTAATAACGGAGGCGTAGAAGTCGGTAAAGACAGACGGCGCGTCAGTGGAGCCGATACCAATCCATGGGACTGAGATGGTTGTTGAAGCCTTTTGAGCAGCAACTAGACCGATGAGGGAGGCAAAAGTATATCTTGAGGCCATGATGATATATTGGTAGTATGTAAGTTTCAACGAGAGTAATTACTGATGCAGCGCACAGGTAAAAACGAGCGACTTGGTTGGCAGAATGAGCGACGAAGAGCGATGCTTGCCATTGAGTTGCTAATGCGACTTCTTAAATACAAGGCTTTCGCGAAGTTGTACAAGCTATCATGAATCTAGCTCTTTGCCGGTTGTGGCGTTCTAAAGGGGCTGGCGCCTGATGTTTAGCGGCCCTGAAAATTTCCCCCTCCTGTGGACGCCTACAACACGCCAATTACCGTGCTCAAAAGACCATTAGGATCGTGAGCTATCAGGCGAAGCCGGGCCGTGCGGCCATTGTACGCCTGGTGCGACTCACTGGCTGTGCAGAAGGAATGCATGCCTGTCTACCTGGACGCACGTGAGATACGACGTGAAATGACCGGGAAAGGTTCGTACGCGGTCATTCAACATGTTCTTTTGGGCTATGTCCGACTCGGTCCAGAAGGTTATCCCACCAGGTAAAGTATGGCTCGTAGCCTCCGCCGCCTCGTGCATGATGAAGACTATGCTTCCGCGCACCACCGCCCCAACCCTTGGGTAGAATCTTCTCATAACCCCATGGCAGATCGAGTCCTGAATGCAGTTCGACTAGCAGCCAGACAAATATAGGCACAAATAATGTTCGTGTGAAGACATGACTCTTGATTATATTTAGGCTGAAGTTGGCCAGCAGCACCAAGCCCAGACGCTCAAAAATGTGCAGCTGATTCGTGATCTGGGGGTGTATCTCGGCGTGTCGATGATGTGGAGCGTGCCACCGCTTGACTACAGGTATGACGTGTAGCGAGAGGTGGAAGAGGAAGAAGAGGGCGTCGTAGATGAAGAAGCTTGCGGCAAGCTCGAGGGCGACTCGTCGACTTGAAGGAGGGAGGTCTGGTAGAGCACGTTGTGTTTGCAGCGGCGAAGAAATCGTCATATTATGCAGGGTCGGCATCAGAAAGGTATTGCGATATGTTGAGGTGGAGTTGTTCGCAGCGATTGCAGCGGCTGCGGCGTGATAGTTGCCCGACTCAAGCATCGCCGTGAGCGACACATCGGCAAACTTCTTGATCATGGTCAGGTCCATCAGCAGCAACGGCGTCATGTACGTGACGGCCTCACCCCATCGCCGCGAAGGTCGTCGCATGCCGTGTGGCTTCTTTACGTCTTCCCCGTTCTTGCCCTTCTGGACGCCAAACCTCCATTGCGGGTTTTGCAGGAAGACAACTGTCATAGAAACTTCGATCGCTGCATATAGAAAGACGGTCCAGATAGTCTCGAAGGTCGAGAGGCGGTACACAGGATTCTGTATTAGCCATTGCCACAAAGGCGTAAGGACAGGCTGATACACGGCCGGGAAACTGACAGCAGAAAAAAACAGAGCTCCTAGGACGGTTCGGTATGTTGAAGCCATGGATTGTAGTATCTCAAGCGACGAAGAGCTCCATTGCGTCTATCATTGTTCTGATGATTGCCTTCGGTAGACGTTGTCTGGGCATTCACTCTTGACGTCATCTGAATTGGAATCGGAATGGTTCCGACGGGCCTCCGGTCTCTCGCCTGAACGACGATTATAGTTCTACGTTGAACTGGTACCTACAACAGCCATGCTGGACATACAGCTTCGACCGATCAAAGATACGTTGTTCGATTCTATTACGCATCTCGTCCCCTCCTTTCTTTCCCCGCTCGCTATCACCATTCTCGCGTTTGTCTCTGGTGTCGTTTCTTGCATCTACGCCGCTTCCAACAACATCCTACTGAGCACCACATTCTGGGCACTCAACAGAGCACTGGATTGTCTCGATGGAGCCGTCGCCCGAAAACGTAATCAGTCTTCAGATCTTGGTGGTTACTTCGACCTTCTGGGCGACTTCATTGTCTATTCAGCCATCCCAATAAGCTGCGCCTTAGCACAGAACGAGGACTTTAATGCGAGGGGGATTTGGTTCTCAGTGGCTGTCCTAGAAGCCTCTTTCCATGTCAACAATTTTGTCTTGTTCTACATAGGCGCCATTCTGGAGAAGCGTAAAGGCAGTGGCCGAGGTGAAAATACGACCAGGGTCAAAGAGCTGACGAGCGTCGCAATGCGACCAGCACTCATTGAAGGAACTGAAAGTGCAGCTTTCTTCACGGCCATGCTCGTATACCCCGTCTACTTACAACAACTGTCTTGGACAATGGCTCTTCTAGTGTGCTTGGGTATCGCTCAACGAACAAAGTGGCTGGTGGAATCGCTTGGTTAGATAAACAAACAAGCTACAAAGATGAAGAGGATCTTTCCTGCTTTACAATACCCTTCTCGCGCAGCCGCGAGATAACACTTCGTGCGTCTCCTTTGCACGCTGCAAGCTCTGAGTTGGTCATCACCTCCGTAAGGCTACCGCTGGCTCCTTTCGATATAATGGTCGGGTAGCGGATGGTATTGGATTCAACGAAATCCTTTACCTACGCACATTCAGTGTGCGAGCTCAAGAGCGTTGCATCTTTCATAAAAGTCACATACCTCATCAGACAGCTCATCCCGGTGCCACTGGACGATCTTGTAGCCAGACTCGGCTTCGATCGCCCTCTTCGCTTCAAGCCAAGCTGGTGTCTCCTTCAGTGACAAACCGCCATGTGTGATATCACCTGATCATATCAGTATACTATATTTTCTGTTAAACACCGTAGTAAGTGAAGCATACAGGCTGCACAAGCTGGATTCTCCTCAGTAGAATGGCAAATCTTTCGATACCCATATCGCAGCTTGCCAATGATGGATGCGTCGGCATTGTATAGGACATAAAGTGTACCCGACATCCTCGAAAACGCCATGTATTGAGAACCGTGAGATGGTAGGCAAACCGATGTCAAGCCTACAGGTGGTTGAGATGCAATAATCGATGACGTATACGCTGCACGGACCTTGAGTGTCTGTCAGCCGAGCGGTCTCCTCAGCAAGCCACCAAAGTCATCAACCTAGCCGTCAATACTCTCCTGAACGCATAATCGACTTAACGCCCATTCTCTTCAACCGAAGGATCAAATCCCGCTTCAATGCAATCTTTTGGTCAGACCATTGTCATGCCCTCAGATCCTGTTAATCTCAACAAGGCCTTCTCAGCAGCGCATGCTACGACAACTTCCATCGCTGCATTACTGTTGTTACGATATGCATCATGGCCAGTACTTCCGCCGAGGAGAACATCTACGCAGAACACGAATGAGAAGGAGCAGCATCTAGACGACACACAAAATCCCATGATCAATGGCCAAAACCGTATGGCTAACGCGCTGACGGCGTGGGAAACGGTGTACCTACTATACGATACCTACGCTATGGTTCGCACATATCGTATAAAAAACCGCTTGTCATATCGCACTGCTTTGGGCGTTGCGGCTCGCTCGTCGCCTGTCGCTTTCGGCCATCATGTGTTGCTCTCATCCGCATTCCTCGTATTGCAAGCATATATTGCAGCGGGCAAAGAAAAAGGGATGTGGGTGATCACTGCATTCTTGCTAATGAATGGCAGTACACCATTGATGCATGCTCGATGGTGGAATCGGCAGCAGACAGGAACATCGAATACTGCAATCGATGTTGCTTTTTTGACTACGTTCGCTGCTTCAAGATTTGGTGTTGTTGTTTGGATCTTGACAAAGTACGGCCAACATCATGGTCTCGGCCCATGGCAATCATATACAATGCTGAGGAAACGATGTCAAATCGGGACTGCTATGCTAGTAGGGTTGAATGGTCTCTGGTGGGCCATACTGGCTGTTCATGTAGTAAAGAGGAACATCAAACGACGACTATATTGAGATTGTCTCATGTAGAACTACGCGATACACGAACCATGATAGGCTCCGATGGTCTTTGCGTGGGCAACTGCTTCATATGCTGAGCCCAATCCTCTAGCCTCACCGAATCGTTCGGCTCCCACCCCAGCCAACCGCGCACCCCGCGCGATGCAACATTGCCATGTATACCGATTCCGAGACGCACAAAGGTCTCTGCTACAACCAGAGCAATCTCGCGAATCGCGTCGCGACCCAAACATGTCTTTGGACCCGCCCCGAAAGCTACACCGGGCGGTACACTCTCGTCCAGATATCGGTTCGCGTCGAACACATCCCAAGACGATCCATAAGCCGTCGGATCACGGCCACTGCCTACGAAGTAGAGCCAGCAGTCCCATCCTTTTGGTATCTTAATGTCAGCCTGATCTCCTGGTGATGAGATGATATTATCTCTTGTGGACCGTCTCATGATGCCTACAATTGGTGGGCTAAGCCGCTCTGTTTCCATGAGTATGGCGCGTAAGCGTAGCGAAGTTCTGTCAGGATCACCTCCACTAGCCAAAGACTCTGCTAGCGATTGGCCATCATTTGTTTGGTACAGGAACAGGTTCAACAGCAAAGCTGTCAAGAGAGACGCCAGTGCTTTGACTGCAAGGCTGCTCGTGAAAAGGACAGAGTGCTTTGCTACATCCTCCAACTCGCTGTCATCTGCAGTAGCAAATGGGCACGCACTTATTTTCTCCTTCAGATGCTGCGAGATCCTTGCTTGCAGCTTTCTGTTCGCCTCTTTGCCCTTCTTTCGAGGTGAATGCCAAAAGCCTGTGTTGACGGTCACCGGGAACAACGAGAACTGGCCTCGAAGTAAGTCTTCCTGCAAACTCTCTATAGCATCAAACAAACTGCTGTTGCTGCCGAGGTCCAGAAATGTTCCAAGCAATATCTTCCACGAAAGCGTTTTCAAGGACTCGTACATGTCGATTTCTGATATTGAAGGTTCAGAGAAATGCTCATCAGTGTGCAAACCCACTACAGAACGGAGCATCTCTCTCAAATCCTTCATTCTTGCTTCCCATGTCTGACGCATGGAAGCATGTTTTTCGCCATCTGTCAGTAACAAATTCGGTGACGGAAAGAATGGTGCCATCAGCTCAGAGTACGCGCCACAGGCTTCATATCCTGCCGCATCCTGGGCGAGAACTTGATGGATCTGCGCATATGAAGAAACAATAGCGACATTGCGATTCAGAACTTTCGCTCGAACTATTGCCCGATTCTCCACAGCTTCTGGGTGTTCTTTCTGGAAGGCGAGGATGCGCGATGTGATGAATGACTCCGGCGAGTTGTGAAAAGAAAAGCTCTCGGCAAACCCTCGCAGTATCGAGGAGCTACCTAGAGGAAGTTGTGGCTTTGGCTTAGACATTGTGAGCTTTGGAATTGGCCACTGAGTCCAGACTGCGGCAACGCTTGACCCCATATCACGACGGTTGTATCGGCTGCGGGGTGCTATGGTTGTTACGTCATTGACTTTGCGCCACGGCTTGGTATCTACAAAGTCTATACATGATCTCTCGATATCTATGAAAAGTGTTCGCGTGTTACGAACGTTGTGCCATGGCATTCGACACCAAACAACTCTACGATCATGCAACAAAAGGTCCTTCCGAAGATGAGGTGGTACCTTCCACGCATCCGATTACCCCGAAACGGCCACTACTCTACAACATATACGCATATATCTGCATCCTACTCTTATTAGTCAACTATTTTCTCGCCCAGTACGACAAGTTCATATTGTCATATTTCCAGACTTCTGTACTAGCTGATCTTTCACTGAGCTCCACACAATATGGGCTCCTCTCCGGATATGCAACAGGGATTGTCTACGCCATCCTCGCTCTACCTATCGCTTTCCTCTCCGACTACACGTCGGCTCGTGTATGGGTCTTATGTGTCACGGCAGCATGGTGGAGCTTATGTGTAATTTTTCAGTCTCTAGCGAACAATTTTGGTCAGTTGTTTTGCGCCAGACTTGGAATGGGTATAGGGCAGGCGAGCGTTGAGGCAATATCTATCAGTCTCATCAGCGACTTGGTGGGATGGAGAAACGTATTCATCGGAGAGAGCATACTCTATGTGGGGGTATACATTGGCGAAGCCATCAGCGGTCAAATCGCCACTGCCTTTACAGAGACTGGTACAAGCTGGCGCATTGCCTTGCGAGCGATTGGTATCACGGGATGTGTCGTGGCAGTACTGTTACGAATCTTTCTGAGGGAACCAAAGAGAAGAGCAAGCCTGGTGCAAATGAGCAGAGAAGATCATAACAACAACATGAGCATGGGGTTCGCAGATGTACCAACCCACTCTCGAAGCACTTCAAGACTGCAGGCCGCCAAGTCTGATCTGGTTGCTACCTTCACATACATCCTGCATATGAACTCATTCTGGCTTCTTGTCCTCTCAGCTGGTTTCCGTCAATTGAGCGGCAATGTCTTCGGATATTACATGCCCAGCTATCTCGGCGATACATACCCTTCACACACTGAGATCTTCTCCCGCTATGGCATCATCGTCGGTGTCGTAGGATCAGTCGCAGTGCTAAGTGGTGGCATCCTCACGTCAGTGCTATGGCCACGTACCCAGTTAATACCAGTTTACCTGACTGGCATCGGAGGCATGATAAGCGCGCTTTTCGTCCTCCTCATGATCTTCTCGCGCGAGATCGCTGACGGCTCAGAAGACCGAGGCATTAAAATTCTGTACGGTGTAATGAGTCTTGCATATCTCAGTGCAGAACTATGGCTAGGCTGCCTCTTTGCGCTCATTGCGTTGCTTCTTCCACCGCGCTACAAGACGTTTGGTCTTGCCATTTGGGGCAGCGTACAAGTACTCATCTATTCGTCAGGTCCACAAATCATCGGTCTAGCATTGATGAACGAGGAAACAGCAAGTGAGAGCTACAGAAAGGCTACGCAATTGTGCTTGGGAATCATTATCCCTGTTGGATATTGGCTTGCCGGTGTCGGATTCTTACTCTCCGTACCATTGGTAAGGAAAGACTTGAGAGAAGAATTTGTATCGGGGAGGTTGAGTAGAAGAAGGAAGATTGGATCAGCCATATTTGGTGGAGTATTGGCAGTTGTAGTCATAACATTGTTTGTTGTGAGTTTGGTGTACCAGGCGTGAACGCCCTTTTGGTATATACATGTAGCAGACCAATAGTGATCAAATACTCCCAGTCGGCTTTTTTACATGCGATGCAGAACTTGCTCTCATCGCCTACTTGAAAGATAATCCCAAGAGATCTTCAATGCCGGCATAGAGTGGACAAGCGTAGTCCGCCTCAAGCAATGGCCTAACGGTCACCCCACTACTGCCATCCTTTCCTAATACACCCAGTTCCCTCCCAAACGCACTGCCAACCTTCGGCCATCCCACGCCTCCAGCGGGGTTCTTTGCAAAGTTCGCCCATGTTTTCTGCATGAAAGCACTGAGTTGAATCTGCTGTTGCGTTGCAGTGCCAAACTGGTTCGAAAGTGGATACGTGCCAAAGACCTCCGGAATCTCGCTTGTGTGGTATGCACCTGGGTTGGGGAAGATACCAATAGAAGGAAAAACAGGGGTGAATAGATACCGGTAAGTTGTGCGTCCGGATATGGCGAGGTAATTCGCCAGTCTACCCGTCGTGCATGTGAAGACTAGATCTGTCCCAAGCCTGTCGGCTACTTCGTACAGATCGGTGATACCTTTTGCAGCATATGCGGCGATGATGGAGTCGCGAACAGCTTTTGACGTGATGTTATACTGATCAAAGAAGCTGTCTACAGCGGCGGTACCGTCGGTTAAGCCGGCCACGGCTAGGAAGACACGCGCTTCGTTGAGATTGGATCCTAGCATCGTCGGCACATTGGCGAACTTCCCACTGGATATGCTAAGTCTGACATCAGGTGTTGAGGTCCCGTCGTTATTGACTGGTGGAAAAGACAGCGATTGCGATTCGATGAACGCTTTGATATCCACTGCTGGTACCTTGCGAAGACAATCGATGTTCGCGCAACCAAAGTTCAGCAATACCTGCTTGTAGTTTAACAGGCCGTTGCCAGGGAGTACCGCGTTCTGAGACTCAAGTATGGCTGACGAGAAAGGTAGTGGGTTTGGTGGGTTGGCCAGCAATTGCTTAACGGATTCGCCGCCTGCGGATTCACCGAAGATCATCACACGGGTTGGATCGCCTCCGAACTGCGCAATATTCTCTTGTACCCATTGCAATGCGAATCTTTGGTCCAAGAAGCCAGCGTTCTGAGATCCAAAAGGCACTTCGGGTGAGTTGGAGAAACCGAAGACTGAGATTGAGCATGTTAGTCATTAACCATTAGAACGTTAGGGGCCAAAAAGACTCACTATTCGTGCGATAGTTGATAGTGACTACAACGACGTCTTCATTGATTGCGAGAGAGCTTCCATCATAGTATGCTAGTCCGCCAGTACCAAAAGCGAGGTTACCCTGCACTGATCAATATCGTTGCATGAAATAGACAGAAGGGCAACGCTTACCCCGAAGAGCCAGAACATCACGGCCTTTTTGCTGGAAGCCGTAACTCCTGGAGGCGTATACACGTTGAGGTAAAGGCAGTCTTCACTCTCCTCGGGTGGTGGATAGGTAGGGTTATTGAAGTACTCAATGGTTCTAGCACGAATATCGCCAGTACCTGAGAACTGCTGGATGCATGCTGGCTTGATATTTTGGGCTTGCAGAGGGGTGGACCATGGTGTTACTGCTTCTGGCGGAGAGAAGCGTACTGGAGGCGACTTCGCGAAAGGTACCCCCAGATAGGCGTTGGCTGAGGCTGTCAACGATGGCTGGTTTGTCGGCTTGGTAGTAGTTCCTATGACAACGCCTGAGGCCAGCGTGACCGTCGGCTCGTTATCGACCGGTGCTGAGACGACAGTGGTAATCAACGAGCATAGTAGAAGCGCCTTTCCCAATAACGAAGGGACGTGCAGAGCCATATTGCAGATGACAGAAGGCTGATAGTCAACCTCGAAAGAATTGTAAGAGGTATAAATCTGCTTAATTACTCGGCTTCATGATGCGTTACGTCTTATACTGCAATGTGACAACCCACTAAAGGGGTTGGGATAAGGTACTAAGCTAAGAGCTCTTTTCGATAGTGTATCTTGCATCGGTGTTTGAATGCGGATCATCATGGGTTATCGCGTAGCCTCGTTAGAGTTGGCTGACTGCAAAAGCAAGATCCAAGTTCCTGGAAAGGAGCGCCATCCGCGACTCGAATGAGAAAGGAAGCGAGGGCGGGGAGTTTGCTAATGGTCCTTTGTGTGGCTCTTCCGGACAGTGTCACTCGTCTATGATGGGTGTCCGAAGTTAGGGCGGCTTGGGATCGACGGATGGCGTAAATCGACGCGAGAGTCAGCCTCCTTTTTGACAGACTGAGTCGGTTTACAAAGATAGTCTTTCAGCCAGTCCCTCATGTGAATCAGCTACCAATCAGCTTCCAGACGCTGCCTCGGTACTGCGCAAGCACTCCGCTCGACGCAGATCTTCCGTTCATTAGGCCAATCATCGCGTCCGGGCGCCTCGGCAATTTTCAAAGGCCTTTTTCCTAGGCAATACCTGGATACGATGTACACGATCGTTGCTCGGAAGAGCCCGCAGACGCCAAACAGACTGAACGGTTTCTCCGCATTTTGTCCACTGAACTACAACTTTCGTAGCCGTAGCATTGGTCTAAGAAGTATCAAGCCGAATACAGGAGCCGAGGCTTACCGTCCAAGCTTGCCTAGGTAGCACCCACAGTCAGGTGTCTTCGCTGTCGGTGCCGTGGTGTTTCTCGAGTTCTCATGTCGCTGTTATGGGATCTTTTAAGCGCACATAACAGACATTATCTATAAGGAGGGTTGCGGTATCTTGAAGTGTATTACAGTTGTTCTAATCACAATGCAACAGGGCAGATCTCTCATCGTCTCGCAGGAAAAATCAGTGATCGACGCGAAGCGTTGATTATGTCAGCTGCATCCTTCTTCCATTGTCTAGTAATATTCGCCCCTCATCGGTGTAATCTGACTTATTCGTTCTGCTTCAGTTCTTATCACAGGCTACGAGAATATTGTTTTGGTCGCCCAGAAACTATTTACACTGAAAGTGTCCAATCATTTTCTTTTTATGCATCATCCCTGACAATTTTCAAACGAGCTCTGGCGAACCTAGCGTGTTCAGGCCGCACGCTGCATGTACCTGAGAGTTTCGCCCCGATAGCGATGACGGCCCAAAACCTCTAGATGTCAGTTTATCCTTAGGCTCTTCCAGCATCGCATCTGTCACGGTTCGTGGCGCTGGTGCCATCGTTGCAAACATCGAACCACCCCGGATCTCAATCATGCGCTGGAACAACGCACATGAGGAGAGTATGTCGTTCATCACTAGAACGAGGTAAGAAGTAACAGCCGTTGCACTATTATGGCAAAACTAGGTAAGACACGATTGCGTCAAAAACTCATTTGCAGAGTCTCCAACCAGGTGTCAATTGGATATTGGGCGTGAGATGAGATATGTCGATCCCGAAGGTTGGGAAATTGATGAAACTTATGTTATGGTCGGTATCTTCTCAACAACACCTCGGTCAGTTTTGGGCGATAGAGCAGCCTTTGCTACTGGGATACAGATTTCATGTGCTGACATACCAATCTATTGTCATCAATTGTATTACACACAGGTCGCCCCTCCATCTTCCACCGATGAATGTCTCATGAAGATGTTTTGCATGGCCATAGCTACGGCAAGTCGTGCTCATCAAGACTCAAGAACTGTCCATTATCCGCTACTTGAATAGCTGTTATTTCGTCAACTCGTACTCCACACTTCACGCGATGCTACTTCCGGACAACATCGCTGCAGTACTCGGAGGTGCCTGGCAATTCCTCTACTAAACATCGTAACACTCCGCTTCCCTAAGACTGCATAGCGTGCTTTACTAATAGCGCACCAGGAAGTATCTAAATGGTACTGATCGTGTCACGGACGGTCTCGGAAATCATCCTGTGGGAATCCTCATTTATCACCCTCTTGGCTATGTCTCCGTAAATCTGTGGTCCATTGATCCTGGCGCCATCCCAGGTCCCGCCGATGAATACAACGACGTCGAGTGGGCACTTATTGGACATCATATGCTCTCTGATGCAGGGCCCTTGCAGGTCTGGGAGGGAAGCAATGAAACAAGAGGGACGCTCACGCATGGGCCTTTGGTGATGTCATCATACCCGAAGTGGGTAGTGACGGATCAGACCAGAAACTATACCGTGTCGGCAAAGGCGTATGAAGGAAGGGATGTGTTGTTGTTATGGGTGCAGAACATCGAAAAGGATTCGTTGTCGAGCCTGTATTGGGCAAGAGCTGCAGAAAATGGGTCAAGCTGGGCGACATGAGTCTTGGTTGTAGGAAAAAGCGCGAAGAAAGAAATTTCGAGAAACAGGTGACAAGGGTATTGAAGACGATTTTTGGATTGAATGCTGCGGATGTGGTCATGCGCGTCTACTCGTCTTCTTCAGCGACAAAGGGAATGAGGCAAACCAGTCCACCATCATTGATCGAGCACCTTCATCGCCGTTCATTGATCTTATCTCTTTACGACTTCGATCCTCTCCACGCCAACGTTTTTCTCGTGTCCCGGCTCTAAACCCTTGTTTCTCGCGATGACCTCCTCTTCGGTCAAAATTGGCTTGCCACGGAGCTGCGCCCACACAGCCTGATGCATAGGCCTCAGGAAGAGGGCGTCCATCTCCTCAAGACTGATACCTTTCGTCTCGGGTACAAAGAAGAAACTCCAAACACCCATCATTAGGAGAATAGTAGCAAAGAAGAAGTACGCGCCATAACCAAGATCCGAAATCATGTATGGCGTGCTGCGCGCGATGATGAACGAACCAAGCCAGGTGTCGGCGGTTGTTAGCGATACGCACAGCATGCGGATGTCGAGAGGGAAGATTTCCGATGCGTAAGTCCAGGTGATACCTTGCCATGTTGCGCAAATGATGAAGGCGTTGACATAAACGCAGACCATTGCCAGGTAACCCCAACCATCGCGTGAGATATCGCCTCTCAAAGCAGCTCCAGCCGGGTCGGCTTTCATGACATAGCCACCGATGTACCACATGGGGATGCAACCGAGCGCTGCCCCCCAAATAAGCCCCTTGCGACGCCCAACCTTTTCCACAACGATGAAGGTAAAGGTGAACATGCCGAGTGTCTTCGCGATACCGTAGAAGCCAGTGGAGAATAGCTTGAGCGAAGTGCCGGAAATACCCAGTGTTTCGAATATGCGAGGTGCATAGTAGGTGATAATGTTGACCTGGACAGTTTAGCATCTGTTCCCCTATATGTATTGCATGTACTTACACCCGTGAATGACTGTAAGAACATAAGTGCAAGACCAATAGCCATTCGGTTTCGTACGCCCTTCTGGAACAGCTTCATGAATTGTGCCTTCTTGCTCTGACGGTTAGCGCTACGCTCCTCGACCTGCGCCCGAATCTCGCTCATCTCGTGCTGAATGTACGCATGAGATCCGTCTAGGCACCGGATCTTACACAAGATACGTTCTGCTGCTTCGAAGTTGTCCTTCTTTGCGAGGTATCGCGGTGATTCTGGACACCATGCGACACCGAGAAGCAATAGCAGACCAGGTATGAGCTGGATCGCGAGAGGTATTATCCACTGCGTCTTGCTTTCGACACTGATGGTTCTATCACAAGCATAGTTGATCCAGAAGCCCAACATACCTCCACCTTGGGAAGCAATCTCGAAGATACCGACCAGTCTACCACGAATGGAAGGTGGCGCAGTTTCAGAAATGTAGACAGGCACGACCATACTCGATGCGCCAATGCCTAGACCTGCTACAGCTCGTCCACCATAGATCATATTGAGACTGCCTTGAGAAGCAGTCATGAGTGTGCCACCGAGTAGAAACACTGTGGAAGCTATTATCATTGTCTTCTTTCGCCCAATGCGTTCGGCGAAAGGGAAAGCGAGAAGCGCCCCGAAAAAGCATCCCGCCTGCCTATCGTCAGTCTGTGATGACAAGGGGCTAGCGGTACCGAGACTGACCTGGAATGTGGAGACGATATTGCCTTGAATTGTGTCGCGGTTGCTCTTTGCGATGTCATTCATGCCAAAGTCACGAATGAAGGAGTTGAGAGCCATAGTTCCACCGATGACGGCTGTGTCATAGCCCACTACTCATGTGTTAGACTTCCGCACCCAAATCACTTCACTGAGACCTACTAGCTAGTGCAGACATCGAAGCGATGAGTGCAATGAGGTGAATCCGCCAATTGCGGACCTCTGGCGGGTCCAGAGTACCCGATGCATGAGTGTTGAAGCAGCCCATTCGTTTGTGATGATTGGTATTGGTCTTGAAACGGTCAGGTAAAGTTCAGAATTCAGGGTTCAAGAGTTCAGCCTGGTGATGATTCTCTCGAGCGAAGGGTGAGTTGCCTCTTATCCTCGCTGCCTCGTCTCGAAGGCATCATTGCCGAGCCATACTTTTGATGCTACCTCACCATCATTACAGTCATACCCCGCGGGGACATGCACGAGGACTACCATCGTCCCATGTTTACCGCAACACTTGCTGTTCCAAGCTGTTTCTCGGACTATCGCAGCGAATCCGGGGAAGGGTCCACTTGGCGTTGAACAAGGTCAAGCCTTACCCCGTAGTTGGCATCCGGGGTCGTGGTTGTTTATAGGCAGAAAATGCACGAAGGATGCATGTAAGGAACTTGGCAGTACGACCGTTATCGACGGTGTGGTGGTGAAGCTTGACAGATCAGCGGTTGCCAGTAGCGTGTGCGGGGTAAAGCGGGTCGGTGGAATATCTGTGCCCGTAGCGGAATGCCCTTTTAGACCGCACACTTAGTCACATCAAGCTCTGAATCTTTACCTGGCCGTTATTAATAGACGTGAGTATACACAACGCACATGTTACGATTCGATAGCATGCAGAATACCGTTATAATCATGTATAGTGGTCTGCTGAGCAGCTACAAAGGCATAGATAGTGTAGGCCGAAAAGCCCTGGAACCGAGTGTCCAGATTCAGGGTATCAGGCGAAATAACCAAGCTTTGCAGGATGAGCATTTCCGCCCAAGATACCAAGTACCGACTCAGCCTCCGTCCACATGCAGACAAGGCGAAGGAGCCGCTAAAGAACGATAATATTACGGGATGGACCGTCGAACATGGTGCAACTGGGCGTGGCGACAAGTCGCTTAATCCGCTACTGGCGGCTGTAACAACGTCTCTAGCTAGCTTATAGTCTTGTATACCCACAATCGTATTGGCAAGTTCATTTAGGCTGTCCTGGCAAAAGACCGCGGCCGGTAACACACCTGGCCTCTTACACGCGCCGTATGTGTCATTACAGAAGGAATTACCTGAGTGTGGACATAGAAATAAAGCTGTGACGCCACCAGACTTGAATTTTACGACTGCTCGTCCCTGTCGAGCTACTCATATTCAGCACAGCACAAACAAAACCAAAGACACTCTTACGTGAGATGGGTCGCAATTACAAGAACGACCAAGCACTAATCTTGACTTAGGTTGGCGCTGAACCATGGGAATCTAAATGAATTCTGCACGATGCGCCTGTACAAGAGCTGAATCGCGAATCCTTACGAAGCGAAACAGAAAGATTAGTTTGTGTATTAGTCTAACAAACAATATTTTCGTTCTTTGAAAAAGACGCTCTGTTTTGCGTGAATGTATCGAATGCAAATATAGCGAATGTAAATGTGGCAAATGTAAACATCCAAAGTCCACAACATCCCAGCACCATCGCTTGCCTCTCAGGATCTTTCGAATCAATTCATGGTGAATACAGTGGATGTTTCGATCTTGGTACTATGCCAATCAAGCGCTCAGTAGACACTGCCCTGCTTGGTAACGAGGGAATACACATAGCGTTCGTTCGAAAGCGTCGGAGTAACTCCATACCATCTTACTAAATTCGTTCGTTAGTATGTCTCTCTTCATCGTCAAGACATTATATCAACCCACAATTCACAGGGAATTCTCCACCGCCAACGGGAGCAGGCAACCAGTTATTAGTCCAGTTCGAGCTCGGTGCCACATCCGTCGGCTGGATCAAGATCGAGAATGCTCCGTCGCTGTCCGTATCGGCGTAGATTAGCGTACCGTCTGGGTAGGTCAAATTGCTACGATCACCCAATGCGTATCGGTTCAGATCGATCGGTACCACGTAATTCGTGCTGTCGTATGCCGTCAGGCTCCAGAAGCCGGTAACGGGCGGCTTCCCAGAGAAGGTCATGACGTATGATTCATTCGCTGCTAGCTGCATCTTAATCTGCGCAGTAACGGGAAGCGCCGGATCGTTGTAGGTGGGATATGCTGCTACGTGATCGGCGAGCTGGAGGTAGCCATGAAATGTATGCGCGAGCGGTGTACTCTATGCCGAAATTACCGCTCATGCTGGGAAGGAGGCTGAACCAGCCGTTTTGGTTGAATGCATGGCTTGAGGGGTCCAGGAGAGACATGAACTCTTTGCCCATGATTTCGTAGACTTGGGCATAGTCAAGGCCAGCTGGAGCAGTGTAGTTCCCATTGTTGATGTCAGTGGCGGCAAGCATAGAGTTGACACGATCCAGGTCCGATGTTTCCACGGGTGGATTCGCTTCATTCAGCTGCGCCAAGAGCTGGAGAGTCTGGGTCGTCTGAGCGACGCTGAAGTTGAATGAAAGGAGGAAAGCAGCATGTGAGATTTGGCCATTACCCAGAAGACTAAGAATTAGAGCTGAGGCTATCGGCTCTCCTACACGCTCACCATCGTCGTCTTGATTTGAGATTGAATGGCTTTGACTTCATCGACGTCAGTTGTGTTGTTTTTGAGCACGATACGAAGCATGATCCCTCCGTACGCAGTGGGCGATTTGATGATCCCCTTGTACTTGGAGCCTCCATAATTGTCTTTATCGAGCACTAGAAGGCCTGGCTCGTCATCTCCCGTGACCGTGATAAGGTAATCTCCTGGGAGACTGTGGACTACAGTCCCGAGGTTGGCAAAGTTGTTCCCATACCTAAAGGTTCGAACAAAAGTCAGCTGAGACCTTTATGATTAAAGCCAGTTGATCGGGAGTGACTCACAAGTCATAGAAAGGAACGACGTAATATCTGTTCACGGGAACATCAGGGAGAGACAGTACTACATTCGCATGCGAAAGATCAACTGCAGCTTTAGAGTACAGTGTGTCGACGTTCGGTCGGACCAGGACCTCAAGATCTTCGGTGGATAGGCTTTGTTCATGTTGGAAAGCGTTGACGCCAACTGCCTGGAGGGTCGGCTCGAAAGTTTGGGCGTACAAGGTAAGAGGATATCCGTACTGTAACGATTAGCTACCTCGATCGTCGTGCAGTGTGTTTGCTTACTTACCATCAATGCAAAAGCAGTGGAGTTGATACTGTCAATGGACATTTTACTTGGGGGCATAGTGGGTGAACATGATATGGTTGGATCGCAAGGTATAGACGCAGCCGTTGCGCCTACACTAAAGGCAAGAGCCATGTGCATGAAAGGTGATCTGAGATGCATCTTCGGGAAGACAAAATGATGGATCAATGAAGAGGGGGCTGTCGCGATAGTGAGGATTTGTTTGATGCTCCATCCATACTCTGAGGTTCCGTTGTTACTTATATCTCTCGGAGAAAGAGCCTCTCAGCCTCCCGAATAACATGATTATACTGTTTGGAAAGCTGTATACTGTCAGCACTACGTGGTCTGCATAGAACCTTACAGGTAGAAGAATAATGTATTTGCACGTGTCTCTGATATGTAGCACCGTACCTGCAACCCAGCAACTCAACCTTCTTCGAGGTAACGGGTACGTCATCAACAACGCTCAGTTTAACCCAGACGGCCCTTACCACCTCCGTATTTGCCCTCCGGTCCCTCGAGGTGTGCGTCCAAAACTGCTGATGTTCCACTGAGTACACTCTTGATGGCTTCTGGAAGTAGTTTGCTAAGCTCGTCCGCAGTACTCGCATGCGCAGCCCAAATGTGTCCACCACTTGCCGCCTTGGCGATGCCTGAGTAATCTGGGGTCGGCGCGAAACTGATGTTGAGCTCCTCATTGCTGACCTTGGAGCCCTCTCCGTCGGGATGTACTAGTAGCATAGACCTTCGCGGTGCGTTCCAGCCTTTGTTGTTCAGTACGACAGTAAGAATGGGGATGTTGTAGCGTTGCGCAATCCAGTATACTGATCCAGGGACGGAGAAGAGATAAGTGCCGTCGCCAACAATCTGGCATACAAATTGCTTCTTGCCTTCTGTGTCGGTCGCGAGCTTGACACCAAGCGCGCCACCTCCAGACCAACCAAGACCTCCACCACCACAGTTTATCCATGAGCCTGGAAGTGTGGCCTGGATCTGATCCGCAACAAATCCAGTCTGGGTAACGGCCTCGATGGCCCAGATGGTGTCATTCGGACAGAGCTTCTTGAGTTGGGAACACAGGTATGGCGTGCTAAAATGGCCGTTCTCGTCAACGTTGGCCTCACCAGCGATGCCTTCAAGTTTCTTCTTGTGCGACTCCTGCAGCGCTGACCACCGCTGGCTAAAGAGCTGGCTAGAAAGCTTTTCCTTGAGCTGCGACTCGAGGTATTCGTTCAGCTGGGTCAATGAGGTATACGAGTCAGCTCGGTAGCGTTGTATGGCGTTTAGGTAGAAGACGGGCATTTGCTGTTTCAGGGGATCAACATCGATATGAAGGATCTTGGCATTCTCTTTAGGATGACATTGAGTGTTGATCCACGGCACGTCGCAATCAAGAACTAGAATGACATCGGCAGACTTGATGGCGGGGTCATTACCGTATCGTAGACCAAGCCAAGCTGGGTGGTTCGCGGGGAAACACATGTCACATCCGCCAGTGTCTAGCACGCGTATGCCTTTGACGTTGTCGGCCAACCGCACAAGTTCATGCACTGCATCGTGGTTTCGACCAGAGTATCCAGTGATGATGAGCGGCTCTTGAGCATTGGCTAGGGCTTCAGCAATCGTCTTGACGCCCTTTGGAGGAAGAGCAGCCGGCTCGACGGGCTGCCAGTAGTCCATCTGCAGCTTGTAGGGAGTCAGATCCTCTTCCATGGGCTCACGGGCACCATAGAGATAGACAGGCCCCTTGGGATCGCTCATGGCAAAGGACAAGGCCCGATTGACCATCTGCTTGACGTTCTTGCCCGACTTGATCTCGCCAGTGTATCGGCAATACTGCGCCACGATCTGCTTCTGGTCCGGCACGTCTTGTATCCAGTGGATGTATTCGGTTCTGCTGCCCCGCATCTCGCCTTCGATGGTGAAAGGCGATAGGCCGGCGAAAATGAGGACAGGCGCGCGACCGCATGAGGCATTGTGTACGGCGGCCCCGAGGCCTTGGGTCCCGACGTCGACGTGTACGATGACGCATTGAGGTTTGCCCGTCAGTCTGGCATATCCGTCTGCCATGGAGAGGGCGACCATCTACACTCGCCAGTCAGTCTATGCGCTTAGCCAAACAAACATGGGGCACCTACCTCATTGGGACATGTGATGATCCTGGGGAACTGTCCTTTCTTCTCGTTCTGGCCCTTGACGATAGCCTCGATGATGGAGGGATGGTCCGACCCGAGGTTGACGAAGACATGGCTGACGCCGTACTCCCAGAGCGCCTCGAAGAAAGCGAACGAGGCTGTGTAGCTGCAGACTGTCAGTATGGAGTGAGCCTGTATATGCCTACACACGCTGTACTTACACCATGATGTTTGCAGGACCTATGTTGGCATGTGGTAGATGTCAGGCTCGAAGCTGCCTTCAGGGCACACGTGGGAAGCAGTCCGATGACGGCGTGCGTCGGAGTATTGTATACCCCATGGCTGTTATCGTGGAATAGGGCACCGAATGGACAGCGGCCCCACTAGGACGCGGGGAAGTTGCTGTCACGGTTGGGGTTGACGGCATGTCAACTCGTTATCGGCAGTCTGAAGGGCGGTATCGGCTGTCCACGGCTCAATCGCGACGTCACATCATCTCCCTGGTGTAAGAAAATCAGCCAGAGATGCGCGTCGTGATATGTCTGGGCAGGTGCAGATGATGGAGCTTGCCAGACCGCGCATTTTCGCGTTTGATTGCGTCGCGGCTCCATTCCGCCCTATGGAGAGGCCAATCCACGGCCAAGACACCATCATCGTTTCTTCACTTTTCTCGGCAGCCACATTGAACAACCTCAGTCATCGTATCAACAGCAAAATTTGCACGCGCTCAAGATGGCTTTCACCTCAGAGTCACGACTCCGGCACCGTCGTTGCACGAGGGCGGCACTACGAGACATCACTATGAAACGCGTTTCACACCGTGCTTCTGTATAGATAGTCTCGGGTACGCCGTCATCATATCTGACTTGTCATCTACTGCTCACGTCATAGCACTTCTCATCATGCTTTCCCATGTCATCTACGTCCTTCTGTCTGTTTCTTCGTCAATTCTTGCATATCCAACAGAATGCCCCTCCGATTCCGCAAGGCACGTCCAGCATCCCATTTGCCTTGGGCCGCCGCAAATCTATGTTATCGAAGCCAGTGAGGGAAAAGGTCTGGGAGCTTTCGCTACTCATGATATGGAGATTGGCGATATCATCATGCGCGAGACACCCGTTCTCAAAATCCGCTTACCAAAGCTCGCCAAAGGAAGCCCATATCCCATGGCTGCAGTGGCGAAGCTACTTCATGAGCAGTTTGACACACTTCCACTCGAGGCAAAAGAGGAGATTCTCTCGTTGACCCACGAATCCAACACTGTGGACCAAAAGAGCACGGATGCTCTAGGTACCATCTTTCGCAACAATGCTTATAATACCGGGAATCAAGTCGGCCTGTTCCCGAAGATCGCTCGCATCAACCACTCGTGCCGACCAAATACGAGCTACTACTGGAGCGAAAGGCTGAATAAGCGCATCGTGTACGCGACACGCAAGATAAAAGCAGGGGAAGAGTTTTTTGTGTCTTACATCTCCCTACTGCTCAGCCAGGAAGACCGCCAAAGGCAGCTTGATCGGTTCGGATTCAAGTGCCATTGCGAAGCATGCGCACAGGAGCGTGCCGCTCAACAAGCCAGCGACAATCGCCGAGTCACGATCAAGAACGCATTCACAAAATTCGAGCCTCAACTCGTTCTCGCGGCTCCGCAGTCCAAGGCTGGGAAACGCCAGGCGCGAAAAGATGCTGCAGTGAGCGTGCAGCTCGCCCAACTCGTACAAGACGAGGGCCTTGCCGATTACTACGCCAAAGCCTACAGGATCGCAGCCATAAGCCACGCCAGGGCGGAGGATTGGGCGACGGCAGCCAAGTGGGCAAACAGAGGGTACGAGATACGCTACATGGAGGACCCAGAATCTCCAAGTACATTGGAGCTGCACCACCTCACCAGCACTTTCATATCAAACTGGGAAGCAGAGCTGCAGAGTGGAGCCTCGACATGAGATATTGCAAGCGACTTCCATGCTCGGTTCGCATTGCCCTGCATATCATGCAGAGGATTGGCCGTCCCAGGCCTGCGGTTCGCACCTGCGGCCCTGTTCACCCGGTCGCCCGCTTATTAGCCTAATGCATTACCACGCCTCTACATCGTCGACTTTCAAGAAACGTATCTTTACCTGACGATTACAACAACTGCTCCAATCAATAAGGGAGACATGGGTCTGTCGCAGATTACACCAACAATGTCTACGCAGAGGCTGATCGACCGTGATGAGCGCACTCGCCAGAAACCCATGCTTGTCCTAGTCCTGGGCATGTGTCGCACGGGGACAACATCCATCGCCATCGCGCTCCGCAAACTAGGATATACTTCACATCAGATGCGCGACGTTCTTGCCAAATCATCCGAACTTGCACTATGGGAAGAAGCCGTCAACGTTACTCTGTTACCATCCCAAGACCGGCCTGCAAACCAACGGAAGATGGAACCCTACGGCAAAGAAGAGTTTGACAAACTTCTAGCCAACTACGACGCTGTTATGGACCTACCTGGCTGTGTATTTGCGTCGCAATTGGTAGAAGCCTATCCGGACGCTAAAGTCATCTTGACAAAGAGGAAGTACGAAGACTGGGAACAGAGTATGCAAGAGAGCATATGGTGTCTTGATACGTGGCGACTCTTCACAGTTTGTCGACAACTCAACCTCACACAGCTGGCTCCGTTGATGCGACTCGTACACTCGGTGTTTCAAGTGCACAGTAATAACAACTACGGTGGTCCTGCGGCGAAAGCAGCTTTTAACAAGCATTACGATACTGTTCGATCACTGGTACCCAAAGACCGCTTGCTGGAGCTTGACACCGATGAGGATTTGGATTGGGAGCCCCTTTGCGATTTCTTAGGCAAAGAAGTACTGAAAGGAAATTTCCCAAGAGCGAGCGAGGAGAAGGCTATGCGCAAGAGCCTCGAGAATGCGTGGTGGGGTATGGTGCTGTACTTCGTTTCAATGGTTCTGTTTCCCGGTGGTGTGGTGTTTGGCTCATATCTGCTATATACACATGCAGATGATTTGAGGGCATATCGAGATGGGTGGTTGATGGTAGCAAAGAAGTACATGGATACAGGGGAATTGTGAGATGGTGTGTAAGGGCGATCTTGTGCTTGGGAATGTAATGTCAATCTCAACGCTTACTTCGTATTGAGAATTTTTGCCGTGTCAGCCGTGGTCATGTCATATATCTATTTGTCTATAGTCATCCCGGAACCCCATCAATCATGCACGCGTTACATGCCACAGAACACTTAGGCCTTCCATCTCAGCAGAGTGAAGGAGTGTTTGCCAAACTTGAATTTGCCTTGTCCATCCCAGCTACTCTCCTTGATACCAACATTTTGCACACCTTCAGTGTTGACCACGTCAACGTTGTCACCAGTGACAGTGTGCACTTCGACCTTGTCGGCCTTCAGACCAGGGATGTCAACCTCAAAGTCCAGCTTCTCGTTAACATTGGTAACAGCAAGGTTAATGAAACCATCGTCGCTGAGCGTGGCGCTGCAATCCAGGTAGGGCGTCTCGATGGTGTTGCGGATCCAGCTGGGGTTCGTGCGGCCAGTGTATTCTGGGGCACGAACATTGAGTGCAATGGTATGGCCGCGCATGTACTTTGAGAAGAGGAGCAACGGCCACCAAGAAGTCTGCTTGACAAGACCGTCCTTGGTTGTCATCAATGGAGAGATGACATTAACACTTTGTGCAACGGTTGCCATTCCCATATCCTTCGCTTGGCGGATGAAAGCGTTGAGGAAGTTGGCCACAGCGAGAGCATCGGAAAGTGTATACTTCTCTTCAGCACCAAGCTCACCAGGGGCGCGGACGGGATCCCAAACGTTCCACTCGTCAAAGCAGATAGTTTGTCTGGGTACTGTCTCCGGAACCTTGTTCTCGATACGCGCAAGGTCAATCAAGCTTGCTGTCATTTGTACTGCCCGTTCAGCCGCACGAGGCGCTGTCGCATTGGGAAGATGTTCCTTGTCGGCAGTGTAGATATGGATGGAGTGCATGTCGATGAGCGACTTGGTGGTATCGCCACTGAGACCGTGGACATCCCATTTGACGCACTGGTTGAGGACATAGTAGTCCCAAGAAGAGTATCCGGTTTCACCACAAAGAATGGTGGTGATGGAAGGGTCGAGTAGCTTGAGAGCTTTGGCCCACTGGTACGCCTTTTTGGCGTAGTCTTCTTTGGTCATCTGCTCGACTTGCCACGGGCCCCAGCATTCGTTACCGAGAGCCCAGTACTTGACCTATGTGGCTGTCAGTATGGCTGTGGAACATGAATTTAGAACGTATGATGTTGATGCACGTACGTTGTAAGGCTTCTCGCGGCCATTCTTCCGACGGAGGTTAGCATAGTATGTGTCGCGGTCCGAGTTACAGTACTCGAGCCATCCAAGCGCTATATTCAGTCAGATTGTACACGACTAGATCAAATGCGCTGCGCATACCTTCGTCCAAGGTGCCGGTCCCAAAGTTAAGGCAAAGGTAAGGTTCTGTGCCGACTTCCTCACACCACTGCATAAACTCATCTGTGCCGAATGTGTTGGGCTCGATGCCAATCCATGCAAGCTCAGGCCTAGACTCGTGATTAGCTTTTCGTGTTCAACATGTTAAAGGAACGATGGCTCGATTCGATGTCACATGAACAAGCATCTGACGCCAACGCAACAAGCAATAGATGCACTCCAGACCGAGGCTACATGCTGTAAGGCAGGTGTGCAGACCAGAGCACGCCACGCACTAGTAAATCCGCGTAGAAATCTTACCTCTTTGGCCTATTCTCCTTAGGTCCAACACCATCAAGCCAATGGTAAGTGGCCACAAAATTGCCGCCTGGATACCGTACTACTGGCACATTGAGTTCCTTAAAAGCTTCAATGACGTCTTTGCGGAAGCCTCGCTCATCTGACAAAGAATTGCCGGGGTCATATATGCCGCCGTAGATGCAGCGGCCCATGTGCCTGGTGCGTGGTTGGTTAGCCGAGAAAAAGCATGCACACACAACGCCATCCGAAGGGCGTCTATCCTGAACTTACTCGGTAAATCCTCCATAGATGTTGTCGTTGATCTTAGCAATCTTGTGGGAAGGATGAATAGTGATGGAGGGCGTTTCGCTCTCTTCAATCTTGGTAAAAGTTGCCATGGCGTTGACGAGAGGGGACGACTATGTTTGTGAAATGGTTTTGTCTGGATTATCAGAGGAGAATTCCAAACTCAAGATCAAATGTCACGATGGTAGTGGCATGACCTTCTCGACGTCGTTGAAGGCTCCATGACGTTCCTGCAACATTCCGGCTCGGCACCGGTGCCAACACCAAACTGGCTGATGCATCCGACGCTGACGCATTTTCCCATTCGTGGAATTTCAGCAGCGTACACTAACTTATCTCATTCCGGACGCACGCCACACTACTGTTGTTTGCGGTTAAACAACCGTGCCAAGTCACGGGAAGCCAAGAAGCATTCCACCAGTCGAAAGGTAACGCATCTCGCATATGCATGTCTACTATGCACGTGCTAACGTTATCGCGTTGGCGGTAAAGTGACAAGTCGGGCTACGATCAACCGAGCAAGTGCCGCTGCCTCGGTGTTGACGCCGATGGTTGGTGAAGCAAGGATGAAGAGGCGGGTTGCGGAGGTAATAGACGCGGAGGCGAGTCAGTGTCCCCGCTCTTTGCGGAGACCGTGGAGTATCCTCGTCTGATGCGTTCCCCAGACCGTGGTCAGCCATGCGACAGTGCAACAAGGGCAAGGCCATCCAGCCAGGCATGGAAAATTAGAGCATCAAGTATAAAGGCCCAGCATGCTGCTGATAGTGGGTCTCTTCACGCATCGCATCTCCCTCCCCACTGCAGCTGTCAACATCGCCTGCAGTCGCCATGGCGCTCCCTCCCAAAGTATACCAGTTCCTCGTGGGTCTGTTTGCATCCCTCGGTTCGCTGCTCTACGGTTATGATCTCGGTGTCATTGCCCAAGTCATTGCTTCTGGAGCTTTCAAGCGCGAATTCAACAACCCCGATCCAAATGCAACGGGAGCCGTTGTGTCAGTCTTCACAGGCGGTGCCTTTTTTGGCGCCATGTTCGGTGGTCCCATTGGTGACAAACTTGGACGACGACTGACCATTCTTATTGGTGCCTGTGTAAGCCATTGACAATTTCCTGTATTGCGCATTATTTTGCTAACAAATTGGTCGTTGTAGGTTTTCATGCTTGGTGGTGCTCTGCAGACTGCTGCTGTGAACATCAACTACCTCTACGCCGGACGTGTCCTCGCTGGTGTCGGTGTCGGTCAACTTGTGATGATCGTCCCCTTGTACCAATCCGAATTGGCGCATCCTAGCATCCGAGGACGTATTGGTGGACTGGTGCAGTTCATGCTGGGTATCGGTGCCCTAGCCGCCGCCTGGATCAGTTATGGTGTTGATCTTGGTTTTGATGCCAGCCAGAACGCTCAATTCCGTGTCTCTCTGGGTATCCAGGTCGTACCTGCCTTCTTTTTAGCTGCCCTTATCATGTTGTTCCCCGAGTCACCCCGATGGCTCATCAGCAAAGGCAAGGTCGAGCAAGGTCTTCAGAACTTGGCCAAGCTCCACGCTCACGGCGATACAACCGACGTCTGGGTTCAAGCTGAGTTCCAGCAAATCCAGGATGCCCTCACATTTGAGCGTGAGCATGAGGCTCAATCCTACATGGAGCTTTTCCGCGACAGGTCGTGCTTCCGTCGTCTCTTTCTCGCTTGTGCACTGCAAGCCTCTGTCCAAATGACTGGTGTCTCGGCTATTCAGTACTATTCAGTCACTATTTACAACCAGATGGGTATTAGTGGCACCGACGCACTCAAGTACCAGGCCATATCTTCCGTTCTTGCTCTTTGTGGACAAGCGCTCTGTATCGCCTTCATCGACCGATTGGGACGCCGCTGGACCTTGATTGGTGGCAACCTCGGTAATTGCCTTACCTTCATCGTTTCAACCACTATGTTGGCTGTTTTCCCTCCTGGTGCAACAGGTAACAAGAGTGCTTCTTGGGGCTTCATTGCTGTTACTTGGCTGTACAACTTCTGCTTCAGCTCCACCTGCGGACCGCTATCTTGGATTATTCCCGCCGAGATTTTCGACACCAAGACCCGTTCCAAGGGTGTGTCCATCGCCACTATGACATCTTTCGCGTTCAACACTATGATTGGCCAAGTCACTGAGCTCGGTATGCTAACTGCGGGATGGAAATTCTACCTGCTGTTCGTCGTAAGTATCTCTGCGGTTCGGAAACTGTGGCTCGATACTAACAAGATACGCAGATTTGCAACTTCACCAACGCCGCCTTCTTCTACTGCTTCCTGCCCGAGACTGCCAAGCGTCCACTTGAGGAGATGAACTACCTCTTCACAAACGCTCCTCTCTTCGTGCCCGGCATGAACAAGAACGACTTTCCTACCGACCTCGAGCGTCGTGTTGAGGAAGTCGCTGCCAAGCAAGGGTCAATATCCCACGCCGAGCATGTGGAGGCTAAGGTATAGGAATGACACAAATGACGCATCCCCATTCCACCTTGTCGTTCATTGTTAACATCTTTGATACGTTACTCAATCTTCAATTGTGGAACTTTGATAATCTTAATGTTATAAACAGTCTTTGTGAAGGCTTTGTCAATTCTGATCATAGACTGTGCGCAAGTCTGATATTAAATATGAACCACCACGCTGCTTGTTTCTGATATTGTTTGGATATGTTCGAACTTCGACGTGAAGCTTCCAGTAGTTGAGGTGATAACGTAGCGCGCTGCAATCGGATATGTACCTTAGTTTACCCATAATGCAACACGTAGTTAAGCCTGGAAAGAGCACCTCTACAGTGTCCCGAATCAAACATTCTGGTTCGACGGCATGCTTTTCTACTGCTTCTAGAGTTCCACAGCCAAACACCGCATGAATACCAATTCTTGACTCACAGACCACGATTCCCTTATAGACCACACGGCTCGTATAAACTTGATTCCAAATCATTGAACACCATGCCAGCGTTGACCAACATCTTCAGCTACAATGAGACTGGAGCCACTTCTCATGACGCTCCAAATTTTCCTAACATCACTTTTGCTAGGATTGCGCAAACTTTCGTCAGTGCACTATGTTCATTGTTGGTCGTCTTCTTTCTCATGAGAGTCTATATACATCTAGCAAAAGATTGCTTGGAGATAGGAGCAAGTGCGCATAGAGATGCGCGAAGATAGGTCGATGAAGAAGCAGTCTCAGCCTTTAAGGCCTCGGGACATTCGATGTATGAGCTACGAGAAACCCCAGTAACAACTTCGGAAGGCGAAATTCGCCTGCAAGAGCATCCGTTGAATCTTGCTCATATGCCGGATGGTTCTATCACATCGAAGAAGCCTAAAAGTGATGATCAAACCGCTCATAAGCAATGAACAAAAATGGTTTGTCACAATCTGCGGGAAATGGCGATTGCTCCCCATAGTACCTGTACCAGCATCTCTTAGCATATCTCATGATCTTTTGCGCGACAGCGGTCGGCCAGCTAACACTCTGACTTCGGATGTGGCATTAGGTACAGTAATCTCATCGGAGGAGCAGTACCTACGTACCCATACACATGGCCTTGCACACTCCGTAGGCTCATGATAGCAAGTAAGGGAACTGCCATATCTCCGCTGCACTAAGCACCTTGTATGTCGTAAACCTTACTCTTGGAAATCATCCCTTCACTGTGATCCGTTTCGGTGACCAATGTTGAAGCAGAAGAAGGGTCTGATGAAAACCATGAGTAACCTGTCATGATGGTGGTCTGTACCGATGTCTAAACATGCGCCGTCTGCAGGTGATTCGTTAACGATGTTAGGACATACAGCATTCCCGATGAGTCTGAAATTTGATTGAACCTACAATTCAATCGGGCCTCCTACGCATTGTGAACACACTACGACCTTTAGTTTGACAATGTATCAGTGCATCATTTATAACATTTGTCTTTCATACTGAACCAAAAAATTGCGAGAGTCCTACAAAGCATGTGTGTAATAAATCGACAGTTCACTTGGACAAGACAGGGATCAGCAAAACAAAGTCACATTTGAGTCTCAGAGAATAAAGCGAACACAAAGATGGTCCTGGTTACTCAATTTACGACTGTATACGCCACGGATTTCGTCCAAGCTACGATCACGCCGTCCGTGTCCTCGACGTCGACATTAACGACGACAACAGCTACCAGCTCTTCAGCTGCTCTGCGCAGCAATGTGCTGCAGTCTACCATCTCGACCTCGTCAATGGTTGTTCCCTCTCAAACGTTGTTACCAGCCTCCTCGGAGACCGCCATACCCGTTGCTCCAGAGCCAAAATTTAACGATACTTTTGCGTACGTTTCCCTCGCTGCAATCATTACTCTTGCTGTACTACAGATCGCTATGGTTACGTACTTGGTCTATCTACGTTTTAAAGGTGAGTGTCTCCATTGTCATGACCTGCAGCAGCAGCTTCGTAAGTGGAAATCCGGGGAGCTGAAGCCTATCACGCCTCAGATGGTTTGGAGACGCGATGCGCTGAACAAGGTTGCTTCGGCCAGCAATCCTTCTTCGAATCTCGATGTCGAACTGGGATTTGTTGCACATGAAATGTCTCGTGCTCCTACTCCAATTCAGTTCGAAATCGACAACAAGCCGACGCTCTTCCAAAAAGCTAGAGCCAAAGTCTCACGTAAAGACAAGTCGTCAATTCACATGCCAGATCCGTTGCCTGATGATGGTGTTGATCGATTCTTCACTGTCAATCCGGATGCACCCATCAACAATCCGGAACCTTCTCGTCGTACTACGGCTCTGCTCCCACAGACTACGTACAATGCTGGTAATCTATATGCAACTCGCAACTCTCCTTACCCAACTTCTTCCATATACTCTCAGGATATAGACCCTGTTCGTACCGATGGCAACGGATCGCGTGTCTTCAGCGACATCTGGACACCGGATATTGCCAACATGCGCGGCCCTCCTCGCAAAGAGTCGTATGATTCAAACCTACACGCCGGGCACGCTACTACTAATCACGATCCGCACGACGCTCGTCACAAGGAACGTACCATTCCAACAACTCCAGCTACGCTAGAGTCTAGGGAGTACAAGGAAGCCGAATTAGCCCTGAAGCGCGCATCTGCCACGGACTCCGAGAAAGATGGCCTGAGACCGTCAGAGCTAGAGGATATCCAAGAGGATTTTTCACCAGGGTTGACCCGAGCGCTGGCCAACAAGCGTAAGTATATGTGAAACCGAGTCCTCATTAGTCGAACATATCACCAAAAGCTCTGATGATAAGTCCATGAAGGCCAAAACCTCCAGATAACCGTGCCAAACGTCGCAGCGCTGTAACGTTGGCCACAGAAGTGACTTTCGTCTGGGAAGTTCCTGCATTCAAGTTTGGTTTATGTGGGGGGTTGTTTTCAGCACTCGAATATCTGTGTGCTATACATACTAGTATTAAGTCTTGGGATTCCAATTCTCTACAGTCCTATCCGCATCTGTGCTCATATCGTGATTCGCCCTCGGTGTAATTGCAGATTCCGATACTGTTATTGTGTCGCGCAGAGGAATATTAGGCGGGACCAGAAATAGTGCCAGAATTTTGAGTCGCTGTTCGAGCATATATATACGATCTGAAACCAGGCGTGTTCAAGGACTTCAACGTGGACGTTGGTGTTGGCGCTTTCGAAGTGGTGTTGCAGTCGCGATCAGGGCACTTGACTAAACGCCGCGGCTGGCCGTCAAGCTGCATGCCCGCCGACCACTACCCCTCAGCCAACAAACAATCGAATCAGCGAGCTATCGCATCTAATATATATGCTCCAATGCGAAGTCGCTAGCAACACCGTTTTGCTATCAAGCAAGGTCGCGAAAAGGACGAACTTCTATGCCCAGAGTTTGGTTGCGCGGCTGAGCGGGCAGTAACTGCGAGCGATTATGGACGACGCGCTAGTTTTCCCGCTCGTCTCCCGATGCATATCGCGTCCGCCATCAAACACACGATCAACTCCATCATGAGCATCTCCAGTTCCATCGGCACAACTCTGTCTTTTCTTAGTTTAATATGGATCCCGGCTACGCTGCTATGTTGCTTGCCATGGATTCAAAAACGTTAGAAAGCACCTGACGATTAAGTAAATCAGGCCAACGCTAATCATGTCAGAAATGTTGTATCTCCATAATTTCACCTTCTTCCCAGGGAAATGGTTGGTACAGCCCGAGAGAGCGGGATTTCTGAGTACGTCGGCTCCCCTCGTCCTCCATCACAGGATATTGTGCCGCAAGGTTTCTTGGGCTTATACAGTTAGAAAACCAGGTTGTCCCCTTCCGCATCACCTCAAAAGACGGAGAGCGGCTTTTCGCATGGCTAATAGCTCCATTGGGAGTATACGCTAGAGATGCCGACGCCTTCATACAAGAGAAGACAGGTACCGATGTAGAGCATACGCTTGCATGGAGATTGCTGCGTGACGATCCAGAAGCAAGACTCCTCATCTATTTCCATGGCAACTCTGCTACGTTGGCACAGGAGCGCCGTACAATAGAGTATCGCTCGTACTCTGCTGGGGCGTCTGAGAAGATGTTCGTCTTAGCATTCGACTATCGCGGCTTCGGCATCTCAACAGGCGACCCCTCGGAGAGTGGCTTACTGAACGATGCAGAGGCTGTAATTGACTGGGCTTTGAACACCTGTCTTATACCGCCAGAGCGGATTGTGCTCCTCGGACACTCACTGGGAACGGCGGTCGTATCCGGCATCGCACACCGTTATGCGACCAATCTCGGCATCGAGTTTGCAGGCCTGATCTTGTGTGCAGCCTTCACGAATGCTGGCAACGCATTCTCTTCGTATTCAATCGGTGGAATTGTTCCCGTTCTTGCGCCTGTAAAGGTATTCCCTGCCTTCCAAGCCTGGTTTGCCCGTAGGATGGTAGACACTTGGCGAAGCGATGACCGACTGGCAACAATGGCGCGTAAGTCGATCAAAGCCCATAATATTGTGGGACTATCTCAGAAGTTTTCAGATGTTCAGATTTCCTCAGATCCGTCTGTTCCGATACTGATGACTTGGCCAGGAACTTGCTCGAGGTTCAAGTTGGTCCTCGTTCACGCCGAGAGTGACCAGACTATGCCATGGCACGAAACCGAGTCGCTGTTCCAATCGACACTTCGGGCCGCAAAGGACGCGAGTCCTAATGAAGACAATCTCAAGAGTCTTGAGGTCGTAGATTTGGGCGAAGCCGGTAGACAAGAGGTTTGGCAGAGCAATTCGCGCAGCATCTCAAAAACGATTGCTAAGCACGGCGGTACGTACTCGTCCTGACAGTTTGATCCCTGAAGGTCGGCGCTTGCAGATTGCGCGTTTCGCCCATTGTCAGACGAGATCGGGTTGCCCCACATCCGTCTAACGATGTCGATACACTCTTGCACCCTTCATTTCCTGGCTTCAACGACTCCATGGAGCGCATTGCATAGAGCCTCAGGCCAATGACAGTATGCTCAGGAAGATCCTGATTTCACGCAATGCAGACGTCTACCCCACACGTGGTGATCGGGACCAGGCTAGCCTCACACCCATGCGGTCATCGCCGCGCTTTCCGGTCCCGCTAGCTGGAAACAGGGCTAACGCTTCATACTAGGACACAACACGTCAATGACTTGGTCTCCTGTAGCGCTCACGATCCTTCAGGTTTTCGGCCTTACGGCTGATACGGCATGAGTTGTAGGCTGTGCAGCCTTCTGTAAAGCATCCGATGCAACCCCTGGAGATCGGGAACGGTCTCAGGTTCCTGGTCGCCTCAGTATCAGGTGGGTAAATCAGGATAGCTGACGAATTCCAATGAACGGTTCATTCATGGACCACATCACACCCTCAGGAGCATCTGTGAAAAGAAAGACTAATGGGAGTCGGCTTCGCACCAAGAGTTGTAGCGTAACTCTAGTGCGTGAACGCGCAAACGCCACGAGTTCTGACTTCTCGGCATAGCGGCCATGTGCGTCAGTCCATTCTCCACTGCCCATGACGTCTCCACGGGTGGCTCATCCAGGCCCGCATACAAAGCGCTTCACCGGCAACTGTCATCCTTTGTGTTTCAGTACCTGTTCATCGTTCCAGACGCCCCCACGTCCAACTGTCGCTTCACCACCCTCCGTGTCCAATCTACCCTAGTCGCTTCCGTATCTCTTGACTTCTTTCGACTGTGACTTCTTCTTAGCATTGACATCACGCATAACACCAAAGCCTCGCCGCCAAACCAAACATCGAACCCTCACTCTACCGAACAATACTCTCACAACAAACATGCCTGCTATCGCCCACCTCCAAGCACGCTTCTTGGAAGACTCCAGTGGTGGTGGTGGAATCTCGGGAACAGCCATCGCCCTCATCGTGTGTCTTGGAATCGTACCGTGCATTGTCTTGATCTGGGCTGTTTGCTATCTCTTCTGGGCCTACCCATACGACCGTAACTGCTGCTGCATCAAGCGAAAGCGCCGCCCAGAACCCCAAAGTGTATTGAACCAAGCGCCGATGAGCGAAGAGACACTATACGAAAAGCCCGGTGTCGCACCACCACAACGACCATTTTCTGGCCAGTATAGGACCGACACAGGAAGCTCAAGCAACAGCGGACGTCTGCAGAAGCAGCAAAGGCCTGGTAGCGGAGTCGACGCCCGGAACACGCGTATGAGTTTGAACAGCGTCGTCAGTGCCAACACTATCACTTATGCCCAAGAGCCCAAGCCATTTGTGTGAGGATTCAATGCAAAGCGATGATTGCAAACCTTGTCGTTGGCAAATCCTCTCACGGGGGTTATCATGACCAGCGGAACCATGACGACGCAGCCGCGGCCAGTCCGATCTGACTGACGATGTCTTGACGCCACGTCGAGAAGACGTAGAACTCGAAAACCAGCCAGCGGGTTTGAGCTGATGAGTGTCAACACGAAAAAACCACAGCCACAGAAATCTCAAAATCGCAAGGCCTCAATATAGCGACTACAGCCTGCGACGCAGCGCTCACAAGACGCTTTTCCTCCCCACGATGGGCATGTGAGGAAGATGAGGACTGCGCTGGATCGAGAAGTTCAGTACAGGGCTGAAACCTCAAGGACGTAAGACGTCGATTGTACACTATTATTACTATGCATGCAGGACATTTGCATCTGGGATGGAGTTGGCGGCATAGCATTTGATACGACGTGACGATAAATGACAATGAACAAATCTAATTATCACAACGAGGTTAGCATGCTGGTGAGATTAGCGTAGGTGGTGGAGGCGATGAAAGCGGTGACATTGGGATGATGGGTTTCGAGGTCAGGCATGCAAATCACGAGGTGGGTCTGGGGCATGTGATAGGTCGAAGGGCGTCAGTATGCGGCGGCGATGGATGGTGAGCCTCGCAGCTCCAACATGTCAGCACAAGCCTTGTAGTGGGGTAGTGGGTAGGCATATCAGCCGCGACTCCCCAATGCTGAAGCGGTAGCTCGAGAGTGTTTCTCATGTCAGAGTTGAATCTATCTCCATCCCGCGTATTCGTTCGTGTTTCGTTGCATCGGGGACGGCCAGATTACTTGTCCGACACGCGCAGTAGACGGCGGCCTTCTTATCTCCGCGTCACAATCGCGTTTCCGCCACCGTAACTCGTCCAGAGGCTACGTCAACATCTCGTACCAAAACAAATTCGTCGCAGGCGGCGCCTTCAAGGGCGCTCTGCGACACGACCAAATACCGCCACCATTCCACCTCCACAGCACTTTCCGCGTTCTTTGTTCCGCGCATCCCACTCGTCGCTGCTTTCTGCGCGCCTGCGAATGCTTCGAAGTTACCTAGCCCGACCCAGCGCCCGAAGCGTCATACACAAGAGCGTGGGATTTGGCGGCGCAAGCTACATCAGTTTGAGCCTAAGTACGCCAATTAGAATTGAGAGCAAAGCGAATTCGACAATGGCAGGACACGATGGCGAAGAGGCAAGGCAGGGCGGTCAGCAGGCTATGCTGGCGAGCCAACGGGCAAAGGAGCAGGGAGAGGCACAGGGGAGGTTCTCCAAGTGGTTCCCTCTGTCTGCCAAATCGGGCTTCGAGCAGTGGTGGGCGGGACTATCGCCTATGGCGTGAGTAGTGCCCCGTGACAAGCGTATTCCACATGTGTACTGACTTGTGCCCACCTTTAGAACCGAGCATCGCGTTCTATCCTACATTCCTCATCTCCAGAGCCCGCCCACACATACGCAAACAGGCTCCGCGTCTGCTTCGGCTGGTCCGTCCTCGGTAGACCTTCAAGCGCCGCCCAAGCATCCCCAAGACCAGACGACCACGAATGCCACCAACGACCCGTACGGACCGCGAAGATGGAATTCGCAAATGGTTCAGCTAAGTGGCAAGGATCGTGCACTGAACGAGTTCTCCGTGGAGCGACTGGGCGAAGAGGTGGAAAACAACTTGGTTATGCTCCACGGGTACGGTGCTGGACTTGGCTTCTTCTATCGCAACTTTGAGTCCTTATCGCGTGCCGAAGGCTGGAAAGTCTTTGCGCTGGACCTTCTCGGTATGGGCCGGAGCAGTCGGCCAACCTTCAAGATCCATGCCAAAGACAAGGAAGGCAAGATCTCAGAGACCGAGTCGTGGTTTGTGGATGCGCTGGAGGAGTGGCGGATAAAGAGGGGTTTGGACAAGTTCACATTGCTAGGACATAGCTTAGGAGGGTACCTGGCTGTTGCTTATGCGCTCAAGTACCCGGGACATCTTAACAAGCTGATTCTTGCGTCTCCGGTTGGTATTCCAGAAGACCCGTACGCAGTCGACGAGGAGATGCCTGATCCACAAGACTCGACCATGGCGAATGAGTTTACTCAAGATGCTGCCGAGACGAACCAGAGTGGTGTGCAGCCATCGACAGCGGACAACAATAACTTTATGAACCAGCGGACAAAGAATGGTACGTTGTTCAGTAGCAGAGTTGACGCATCTCGCTAACATTCCACAGCCGACACCACAAAAGAGGCTAAGCAAGCACCAAAGAGGCGATTGCCGTGGTGGCTGTATTCTCTCTGGGAGGCCAACATGGTCTCGCCCTTTACTTTTGTACGTTGGTCAGGGCCTCTCGGTCCCCGTCTGGTATCAGGCTGGACCTCACGCCGCTTCTCGCAATTACCAGAAGAGGAGGCGCTGGCGCTGCACGACTACAGCTACGCTCTATTCCGCCAACGGGGTAGTTCCGAGTATGCGCTTTCCTACCTGCTCGCCCCTGGCGCTTTCGCCCGCAGCCCAATGATTCGCAGAATCCAGGCTGTTGGCAGGCAATATATCCAACCACACGAAAGGCCTACCGCGGATGGCGACGCCGCAGCTAGTTCTACTACGCAACGCGAGACTGGCTACCCAGTCATCTTCATGTACGGGGAGAACGATTGGATGGACGTGGCTGGTGGGTATGCGGCTGAAGAGAAGATGAAGCAAGAACGCGAGCGCCTACTAGCAAACGCATCGGCTGAGGAGAAGAAGAAGGACCATGGGGTAGGCAAGGTGATCATCATCAACAAGGCCGGTCACCATGTATACCTGGATGGTTGGGAGCAGTTCAATCGCGTCATGTTGGAAGAGATGAACGAAGTTAGACGCAGAGAGCAAGGGCGGGGTCATGCATAGATGTCTGCGTGTTAGAAGGATTGCATTGTTTGGCGTTTGATTTCTGTATAGCGTTGCGAGTTTGGGCATTCTTCCACCCACAATTCAGTATCCCCTTCACACCTTGACCGACCCATCTGTTCGGTTTGCATGGGTGAATGGGACCCCTCACTTCCGCGAGACGATCTCACATGAGCCCCTGCATATTTCACCCCCGCTCCGTCCCGTTGACATCGTTGACTACTGCAGGGCCAAGGACGTGTCAGCCATCTCAGTGAAGGAGCCTGCCTATACGAAGCTAGCATTGTGGGGTAGAGCTGTATGCCAGCAATCCATGTCTTCACCGCTCCGGCTAAGCGAGACAGGTGCATCATCGGGAGCGACTGACCGACTCGCGCCGGACACCCAGCATTCGATATAGGCACGAGTACCCCTCCCAACGCGTTGCGCATTCTTCTAGACGTGTACGCGACCCGTCTGATGATGACAGAGAGGAGAAGAAGACAGGCACGAGTCACGCATAGCATACCCGCATCACTACCATCTTCATAGTCGCCGCCAGTGTCGCATTCACATGTCATTGCCAAACGCACCCACAGACTAATTGATGGCGCCGCAAACACTCGACCAGATTGTCAAGGGCGCACCGGCGCCGAGCACAAGCCTGAACAAGGTGGCCGAGAGCGTCGAGAGCGACCCGCCGCCCTACTCTGCGTCCATCCTCCAAGACACACCCCACAATGCCAACAACGACCGCCTGCCCACCATCAAGACCCCGCGACCGCCCGTCCTTAGCGATCCGACATGCCTCCTCCCCTCGTCGCCGCCGCAAATCTACCTGAATCTCCTCATACTCGAAGCCAGTCTTCGCAGCCAATACCTCACCCTACGCGCCCGCCGGCGGCAGAACACTTTCGTCCTCACACTGTTGGCGGTATGGATAGGCTTTTGTTTCTACCTGTTGTGGTTGCGCCCACGAGAGGACGGCAAGGGTATTGGAGGTTCACAATACTGGCTCGTTGATATGCTGCAGAAGGTTGGCTTCATAACAGGCGTCGTCACCGCTCTGCTCTTCTGGGCGACTGGACAATGGGAGAGAGGGGTCAGATGGCCGCGCCGGTGGATCGGCGTTGCAAATCGAGGGCTCAGAGGCATGAACGCCAAGATTGTCGTCATACGCGGGCCGTGGTGGAGAGAGCTGGTGGAATGGGGTCACTTTGTTGTGCCCTTCTCTGGTGGGCTGTGGGGTGGGGAGCAGGGAGGCAGTTCCTACCACTTCATCAACGTCGCGCAGGAGAACAAGCATGCATTAGACGGCGGCCGACCCCGCCATCGCATCGTGGAAGACGGCAAGGAATACGCCGAGGAAGACATTGCACCGGGAGGCGACTACATCAAGCTACTCCTCCTCCCGAAGCCCTTCACACCCGACTTCCGTCAAGAGTGGGAAGTCTACAGAAACGAATACTGGGCCACGGAGAACGAGCGACGAGCTGAGCTGCGGAAACGCGTCCGCGCCAGACAACGTGAGATTGCAAGAGAAGAAGGAGGATGGCTATGGTGGACAGGCTGGCGAGGCTGGAAGCGCGCACGCGGTCTCAGTGGACGAAGCGCCGACGTAGAAAAAAGTGGCCATCACCACGGTCACAGCCATAGCCTCTCGCACACAGGCTCACGGAAGCGAAGACAGAGTTTACTGCAAAACCCAAGAGGAAGAGACGGGTCGCATTCCCGTAGCTCTTCGCGAAGCACAACGCCCACCCCCGACCTTGACATGGACGGTCGTCTCCGGCCTGCCGAAAGCCGCGAGCGTCGATGGAGTAACACGTCCACCAGTACAACCACGAGTCGCAAGTCATCTCTCCGCTCTAACTCAACCATCACACAGGGTAACGCGCAATCGGCAAGACAACCGCCACAAAGAAGCAGCGTGGGGTCCCGACCTAGTACGCCTGGTGAGGGGAATCTACCCTGGCAGAGTAAGAGAGCTAGCATGCTGAGCAATGCGTCGAGTATGAGTGAAATGGAGGAAGATGGCGGGTATGAGGCTGCGACTGAGGGGAGGGGTGATATGAGACCGCCGGTAAGGCCGGTCGGGAAGAGGAGGAGCAGTCGCGAGGGCGGTAGCAATAGTAGTGGAAGGGCCGAGAGCGCTTGATTATGACTTGATCATGAAGTGTTGGGGGAAGTGGCAGGTTGATCGTTACGCATCTATGTTCTGGCCATGTTTTACCATACTTTGAATTGGCGATTCCATGTTCAAATAGCGAGTGTCTTACTACGTAGCGGGATTATAGTGAGAGTTGGTGGATTGTATTCAAGAGATTTCATCATGGGCTTGTATATGAAGTCACTTTTGTTGTGCTTCCTTGTAGTATCGTAGAAAGGTTGACTGCCCGTACCATTGTCAGCATGCATTTTCTCTAAGCCAGTGAGATGTTTGCAGAATCTGGCTGTCCCCGTCGATTCGTCGGACCCTGTAGGAGCAAGACTCTCACGATCAAAACATTGCTCGATCCATTCCGTGATTGTAAGACGATAGTGCCACAAAAACCATAATCTTACCTGCCGTATTTTCAGAGTGGAGAGGTCGTGCATCTTATCGATAGTAATGGTCCGCCCCACCTTCCATTCCCACAAAACCATGCAAAAAGAGAGCCTATCGTTCTATGCGAGCTTTGTAAAGAGCTTCCAATAATGGTGTAAGCAAAAAAAAAGCGACCGATGTGGGACTCGAACCCACAGCCTCAGCCTGCGCCTCTGAGTGTTTGACTCCCATAGGAGGGCTGCGCGCTACCATTGCGCCAACCGGCCAATTGCCTGTTGTTGAAGTGATTGATGATTTTATATAATATAATGCATAGCGTCTTTTGCTGTGCAAAAAGCTCCAGAAGCAATCATTCCTATCCTTATGGTCATCGTCCTTTCCAAAAACAAGTCGGCCAAATTCGGCTGTCGACATTTGAACCTTTCAGGGAAACAAGGTCTGCGAATTCGTAAGACGCTAAAGGGCGATGTCAACGGCAAGCTCCCAACAGTGTTCTGTCATTTCTTTCATGCTGTAAACAACTATGCTAAAGGTGACAGGAGTCGATCCGGTGTCCAACAGACATAGCAGCTGGTAGCATGGCGGTTTGCTGCTTCTCACTCTTTTTGAGTTCTCTGATTGCACAATGTGACGGCGTCGCTCAACCTGCATCTCGACTTGTGAATGCTAATTTCCTCCGATCCGTACTTCACATTGTGCGGGGCGATGCGGAACAATGAATAATTTTAGTAGTACAACTCGCCTCTTTACAGCTACCTTATCCTTGCTTTACTTCGAGATCAACCTTGCAGCTGACGATGGCGACGTGGGATCGCTTCCGACACATGGATTTGATCGAAAAGGTCAAGGAGATTCGGTCTCAGCTTTCCCTCTTCGCAACACGTAGTAAAAATAGCCCGAAGTACAGAGCAGACTTAGTTGAGCTCCAGCGACGTGGTCACGAGTATCGCCAAATCTTGGCCCTTCCTGTGACTCTCGCAAAACGTGAACAAAAGATTGATGACGGGGAAGTATGGAGGTGGATCCGTGAAACCAGAGACCTCCTGATGCGGTGTGAGCACTGTTACTTTTACACGATGTTTCACCTACAGGACGCGGATTCGATCTTCAGGATACACCACATTCCTAAGGGTTTCGCAACGCTCGATCAAGGCAAGTCAATTGGAATTATGTCTTGACATTTACTGACCTATCGCCTGTATAGCACAACAACGGGATCTGTACGACGCGTGGATCTGTTTCGATAAACATCCACAGAACATACGCAATCGGAGCAAAATCGAGTTTGAGTCCTTCGTCTACATGGTTCGTCTTCGTCTCCAAGCTCCCACATGATATATAGGTAAGTGTATTTCCAGGCCAATAAGATAAGCCCACGTCTGGCTTCAAGGAACGACTATCTGACCGCGAAGTTTACAACAACATGCAAAATGCTCAAGAATCTTCAAGAGCAAGTTACGGCAATCGCAGGTCAAGCGCCATCCAAACGACTCCACTATTCATCTGTACAAGGAGAGGAGACAGTACCATCGAAGAAAGCGAAGCCTGACTCTCCTGGTAAACATGCGGGTGGACAGAGGGTGGTTGATTGGAGTAGCAGTTGAGTTCGAGGACTGTTCCCACTGACCGTGTTTGAGGGATTGGTGTCGGGAGTATGGCAAAGGAGTAGGTTGGCGGCTCCAGTTCAGGCTGACGCCTGGCATTGTTTTGCGTCGACCATTAAAGTCGTGCTTTCAAGGACGGAGTTTATTGCGGCAAATGCATGTAGATAACGGCATGCATACTTGGAGTATGTCCGTGGAAGTAGTACACGGCAAGTATTAGGTTCGTAGCCCAAAGAATATATTGCCATCACGCGGGCTCGCTGTGCCGTCGATCCATATTCTCGTACCCATGCTCTTGGTCTCTTTGTAGCGGCGGACTCATGAGAAACGCAGGTGTGACTGGTGTCGGTAACTCTGTCAGGTATATGTTCGTCATTCTGGTTCCGACAAAGGTCGTTCTTGCCGTGCTAGGTGTCACTGGCTCAAAGCCTTTCCATAACTTGGCCTGCCGGTATCGTCTTGCTGGTTGTGGGCGACGGAGTCTCCACGCGCGGTGAAGTAATAGTACTATAGTCAGGATGAATATGGTACCGACGATGCCTATAGCGACGCCGATTCCGATGGCGGTTGGGGTAGAGAGCGAGTGGCTGTTGTCTGTATCGGAGTTTGCCAGCGACGTCGTGATGATCTGAGCGGTGCAACGATTTAATAAAGGCATGCGAACGGTAGATTTCGCAATGGTGGATAGCATGACCATGACTGTGCTTGCGTACTCGGCCTGGCAGTCGCAGTGTTGGTATACAAATTGGAGCCATCAACAAAACTATTCAGGTAGGCCGTGAGACAAATTATGCAGATAGAGCAAGATTGCAGCCAACAAAAGCCTTCACCATAAAGCTGAGCACTACATTCGAGTCGTATGCAACTAAGCGCCATCTGTGTGGATCTCAATCGATCACAGCCTTGGTAACCCACATGTGGAAGCCTCCTGCGCTTGCGGCAAATCGTGCCTACATTGACATGAAAGGTGTGGCTTAATGAGTTCATGGGTTGACATACTCATTTCTTCAGAAGTCATCGCACTCGATTAGACTCTGGAAGCTGCTCCAAAAGTGGTGCTAGCGATCCATCACTGCGTTCTCGTGCGACTTCGAGAGGGCAATGTATGAAACTGACCCTGTGCAATCCTGACAGAAATGCGTCCAAAAGCGGTTGAAATTAGACAAAACGGGCGTGGAAAAGCGACACGAGTGCCCGAAAAACACAAGTTCCCGACTCAGTGCGTTCCTCTGGCGCTTGAGGCGGGCCACACAAATTCTCATTCGACGTTGTTGCGATGCGCTGTCACACATGATGTTGGTGTATAGCCTCAGCGGCTACGACAACACCCTCTGTATCTAGCTTCAGGCGCCCCAAGTCCGAGAAGGCATGGCAGCGGCCTTTTAAAGATAATCAAGGCATTCACGAGGGTGTTGATCAACAACTTTGGGGGTGGACAAGAAGTAGACGTGCATGTCCGAACATGCTCGTGAAATCGAGGAAAGCTTGCGCATGTTGGCTGGTAATCGCCAAGTTGGACTATCCAATCAAGTAGATAAGCGGATTAGGCGCTAACCAAAAATGCCAGCGACGGATCAACGTCTCTTGTACGATCAAGTCAGCTTGACTACGAGACGACCAGTCAGCCCACTCGGTAGCTTGCCTACGAACACTACGGCAGCCATCAGCTTAGCGGCTGCAGGAATCTAAACCAGCCGGACCTGTAAGACCGAAGCGACATGTGCTCACTACGACGTATCGAAGCGTTTCTAGTAATGATGAGAGGGGGTCCACGTGTTCGCAGGAAAGAAAATGTGCTTAGCACGCGTCTCGTGGCATAATACCTGCTGTGGCATTTGTCAAAGCGAGTGTCGTGGGGGCGGAGGATATACTTTTAGTCATGGCAACGGCAAAGCGCGCGGCAAAAGAGGAGATGGACTGCGTCGGCGCCGGAAAAACATCGCGACTCGAACCACGATGAGGGGACAAGAGTGACATCAACAACGCGCGTCGGGAATACGAGACGACGATCAAAGATGAAGATGTTCTGATGGAATTCTACGGCAAATGAGAGAATCCGGTGGGCTAGAATTAGGGTACCGGCAAGAACGGGCTTGGCGCTAGTTGAACAGGGTTACAACGCGAATACCCGAGTAGGGATGCGTGGCCAGGCACCACCAATCTCAACTTGCCGCCTCGAATCCATGGTCTGCTCGAACCACCATATTCATCCAAGATTACTCTTCGTCATAGTTGTCGGCTCGGCTTCTCCAGGGACGTGCGCCCCGGTTTCGGGGGAAGCGTTGGCCGTGTCAGAAATTGTTGGCCTCGGAAGACGAAAGAAGGGCAGAGAATGACGACATGCTTGTCTCATAGTCGCCCTGGAACGCAAAACACGCACCCAGCTCCGGAGGACCCAATCGATGCGGCGGTGACGGGGATGGTTGCCTTGACAGCAGGTGGGTCACGCATGTACAGCGTCGTGGTACAGATGCAGAGAGCTGAGCATCGAGACACGAAAACGTCGGGCTAAAGAGAAGCGTGCTGCTAGTTGCCAGAGCGGTCACTGGCTGTACGCGGGCCCAGTTGAACCTGCATTTCAGGGACCTGAAGTTCCACCTCGCGTTAAATCGCGCTGGCGGTGGTCGGAAAGCTTGGCCAGACGACAAGACAAGTGCTTACTTGTTTCAGAGTGAGTTGATCACCGCAACGCTGGAAATAGCATCTGGCACGCCTCAGCGTGGCCCGGAGTGGCGTATGGGCAACTGCACATGCATGGCCTTGCTGTCTGTTCGTCAGACGGGGCATTGCAGGACGACTGCAGCAGGGCTTGGATGCTTCAAGGCACCGCCTCCCGCCCCGATTGATCTCGATACAGTGCACGACAGACGAATTGGAGAGGCCAAGCAAGACGTCATAGACCAAGACGGTGAAAGAGCCCCGGATCAAGCTTCTCTGGAAAAAGCAGGAACGGGTGCCGATGACTGGGATGAGCTGCGATGGATTGCCGCATCTAGTCAAGCACAAGGCCAGTGCGGGCCATGTGGCGTCACTGGCCAGTTATTTCCTTGCATTACGTGGCTAAAAAATGTGGAGGAGGCGCAACCGAGCAAGGGCCGCGACCGCTGTGTTTGTTGCTGGCTGCTGGGGCTATGGCGAATGGCGACATGAAAGCACGCTAGCTGCTATGCACTCACCTGGTATAAGAGCCCTCACTTCGCCCTGCCCTTTATCACTCATCCACAACTCACACACACTCTCCACATCAAACAAACTACTTCCAACTCTTACCCACACCACCAAACCCACCAAACCACCACCATCAAGATGCGTTTCTCCACCATTGCCACTGCTGTCATCGCCGCGGGCGTTGCCAACGCCCAGGTCGACTCCATCATCTCCCGTGTCACCTCTGCCGTAGGCGGTGTCCCCTCTGACATCGGCTCAGTCGTCAGCTCCATCACCTCAGACATCGGCTCCGGTGTCGCATCCATCACCAGCGACGCCGCCTCTGGTGCTTCATCTGTCGTCTCTTCCATCGAGAGCGACGCCTCCTCTGCCCTCAGCAGCCTTGCATCTGAGGCCTCCACTGCTACTGGCTCGCGTGCCTCTGAGATCGCATCTGCTACCAGCGCTATCAAGAGCGGTGCTAGCTCTGCTGCCTCTGAAGCCAGCTCCGCCGCCGCCAGCGCTACTGAAACTGGTGCTGCTGACTACAACAACGTCCCCGCCATGGGTGCTGTCGCCGGTGGTCTCCTCGCCCTCGCTGGTCTCTTGTAAGCAGCTCGACCTGCAAGGGCTCCCTTCGACTCTGGACGTGAAAAGTCTCTTTCGAAAGTTTCTTTCATCAGCTAGCGACATCAGCCACGAGCTGAACACGCTTCGTCTCTTATGAGACATTTGCGGGATAGGAATGATTCGCGGCAATACTGGAGAATATCCAGTCGGTCTATAAACTTATAATAAGTCATTTCAATGAAACATTCAAAATACCCACAAAATTGCCTGCATTGGGCTATTTTCCATCTGCGTTGCTTCAATTCACCTGTGATGTTTGTTCCAATATTCACTCATTGCGCTGTAGCTCAAGACTTCATGTTTCTTTGTTGTGGACTTCGAGTTCAGCCGCATTCGCTTGTTGTCATGGAACATCGCAGCTGCGATGCATGGTGTGATGTTCTCGCTAATGACGTAGGGACGCGTAACCACCTCGGTGGCGTTTTCCGAGACCAAAATTAGCCTGGTTCATATGCACTCCGCATCCGCGCATGAAAATCCTTTGTCTAAGTTCGTCCAACCACCTCACCACCGCTGATCAGACAGGAGTCGCGACACGTCAGTAGAGTTAAATTTTCCGCCTGGTGTATTGGAGCATCGGAAAGGATATCACCCAGTCTAACGACTTGCACTTGTTAACATGCGGGAAATATACATGAGACGCGACGCTTGGGCGACACAGTGGCTGGCTCTGGGCTTGTGGCACGGCCAAAAAAGATCCCCGACATGCATTCACCCGGGTGATCTGCATTGCGACACCGCAGCGTTGCATACACCCGCCACACTTTCGGTGCGCCTCCGGGGGTACCTAGTTAATCTTCTCAACAATGATCAACGCGGAGAAAGTGCCTGGGGAAATGGACGGCAGACTATGCGGTTGGAAGAGCGATGCAATGACCAATGGTTTTCTGGTCGCGGCATTAGCTACGAAAATGTAATACAAGTGGATGAACGACTGCGGCTCATATGGAATTGCTTTTCCGTAGCGCTTCGCTGTTCATGGACAATCGCAATAAGACCGGCGCACGGTATATGGAGACAACAGAGTCACGACATTATTCACGGACGACATTGTTCAAGTACATGATGCAACACTCGCTTGATCTGAAAAGCAGTTCAAAGCTTCTTGACTTTCCTTAACTTCACCAGCAGATCTGACAGGTCACTTCAACACACGCAGTAGTAATAGCTTTCCGACCATCGCTGACATTTCACATACATCATCAGCAACCAAGATCGCAAGTACAGCAAACATGTCCAAGATGCCCGGTTTCTCATGGCCACAACTCGCCCACGCGAAGCTTTTCGACCGGTCCGAGCCTAATTCTACTCCTGACCAGCCCCTCATGATCGTCATTGGCATAGGCACTGCAGTTCTATGCATTACCATCGCTTACACATTGTTATTCTTTGGACTTAAATGGCGCAAGGCTCGCGCAACCCAACGGCGTAAAAGTACCGAGGGTGAAGTCAAGACTATCGAGCTCGTAGACCATGGGCATTCTCGTGGCGGTTCTTCACCATATGTCAGTGATGACCATCAGGGCGGTCACATAGCAGAGAGTCGCAGGGCGCGTTCATCATCAGAACTGCCTGCACACTATAGTCGCGTCATTAAAGAAGATGGGAAGCATGACTTTGTGGAAATCGACATAAGCAGTGGGAAGGTCAAAGAATAGTTTGTGGGTGGATAATGATAGACTGAAATGGATGCATAACACTTGGCTGTTCTGCATTATCACAAAAACCTAGGTAGGCTGTTTATGTGAATAAAACAGCATTGGTGAGATTGGGTATCATGAACATGACCAACGTATCTACATAACGAAGTTGCACGGCTTCAACGTCCAGTACCTAATTTCCAACACCCACTTGCAACCAAGTTTCAACAAGGAACTGCATCACTCGTCAAGGCAATATCAATGCAACGAAAATCCATGTTAACATTGCGCGATGGTGGAGAAGCAGATAACACGCCATTGTTATCGTCTAGATAACTTCTACAAACTTATGATCCCTCTATACCTCAACACCCCGATACCCCCTCTGCAGTCTCGCCGCGCGTCTCTGCTGCGTCCCCATCTGCTGCGGCAGCATCAGGGGAAGCGGAACAGGTGGGTTATCGCCACTCGGGCGCGCAGGACGATAAGCCTTGTAGCCCTCTCCAGGACCAGAATGAAGGACATCCGGGGGCGGATACGTGTCGTCTGACCGTGAAGGTAAACGTTCGCGACCGTTTTCATCGTCATCGTGGTGTTTGCCACAACAGCCGCCGAAACAATCACATACGTTGATGTCACGGGAAGCAGCGAGAAGAGTGTATATGATGAGGCCGAGGATGATGAGGCCAAAGACGGAGCCAACGACTATTCCGGCGATCTTCCCTGCGCTTAACCAGGGTCCGGCGTTTGCTTCTGGATGTGAAGTCTGGGTTGGGACAGTGGTGGCTGTGTTTGCCGATGTTCCTGCGGAAGTTGTACTAGAGATGCCATTAGTAGTGCCGGAAATCGGAGAAGATAGCTCTGTAGTGTTAAGTTTTGTAGGTGGTTGTTCACTACTCGTCCGCGTTTCTGCTGTGGTCGATGGGACTGTGGGCGGCGGCGATAAGGTATCAGGTTTAGTTGATGTCACGGTGACTGTGGGAGTCGGTTCTAAAGTCATGAGAGCTATAGACGTAACGAACTGGATCGATGTAACAAGAGGCGGTGGCGGCGGCTTTGCTTCGTCTTGACGGGCTATCAAAGTGACGGAAGAGGCCGATAGTGGTAGATTGTTTGTCGCAAGGTTTAGATCATTGAGTTGGGAGACGGCAAGAAGGCTTGTAGCCGTAATGACAGTATTTAACGGAAGGTACATGATGAGCGGCAGGGATGGGGCGTATGTTTCGAGGGGAGAGAAGAAAAGCACCAGTTATACTGCGTCAAGCTTGAGAGACTTGCCGCTGTGTGCTGACGTACAACATAGTGAAGAACGTTCTCAAGGATTTTCATAATAGCCTAACTTTTCACATGTGGCAGCTCATCACGTCAGAATTTTTCGACATATGGAAGAGTTCATTCAAATTTGGCGCCAGATCTCTGCATACCCTTGATTGATGACGTTACCGAAGCCTAATAGAACGTGGTATACGTGGTGTCTGTTGTAGCAAGAGGACTTATGACGTACAACAACGTTTACATTAAACTTTCTCGCCAACAATCGGGTGTTGAGGAAGCCGTACACTTCTGCCCTCGAAATCAGCCTGTCCTACATGTCACCAACACCACCCAGTAGGGCCGTAGGTTCCTCAAGGACAACCGGGCAAACATCGAGCCCCACGCCGTATGCATTAAACGTCATGTTTCCATCATCATCAATCTCGATCCATCTACGATTGAGCAAATCTCCATCTTGCGCCCTATCGAAGAAGTTTTGTGGCGCAAATACGATGCTAGAATACGCCTCCGTGTACAAAGTCACAGGTACATCTTCACTCCTAGTGTAATGATGCATGCCAAGGTTGAACCAGATAACTAAATCCTCAGCTTCGACTGACTCGCCGTCAAAGAATTTGCTAAAGTCTTGCTGCGGTGCGAAGGGGAGGTTGATGTTCTGGACACTGTTGGCGAAAGGCTCGTTGTCGTGCTGGCGTGTAACGGCAAGATGCGACTTGGCAAACTCGGAATTTTTAAGTGACCAGGGTGAGTTGAGGGTCGAGAGGTGAATATCAGAACGGCCGGGTACGAGACGGTAGCCGCGCTTCTCACCCCAGGCATTCGTAGCATTTGGGTTCAACACGACGTACATGGCCTGGTTGTTGGGAGCCCAGTTGAACTGTTGCTCTTCACCCATATATGTGATGTTCATCTCCATTTGTTCGAATTCGCCGAGCTCGGGGAACCATGGCTGAGATTGGTTGACGGCTACCAATTCCGACACTTGAAGTGAGTTGGCAGCACCAACTATGTCAAAGTCCGCCTTGTATGTAACAATGTGATCGTGAAGTGAGCCTTGGGTAGCTTGTTGGATCCTCGGTCCGAACTTCGCCTGTGCCGGATAGTAGAAGCTAGACTGCAGGTATCCGGATGCGCGCACAATTACTTCAAGGGAGCCGTCCATATGGAAGGAATAGTCGAACATGTAGTCATAATTACCAACAGTTGCAATTGCGCGGACAATTAACCCAGCGCCCTTCACGCTACCGAGATTACTGAAGCCATAGTCGTTGGATGCACCTGTACGATGGCGTGAGAGAGGGAAATTCATATCGGTTTCGAAGATGCAAATTGCGTTAGTGTTGACTCGCGTTGTGTTGTAAGATGGGTAAGTGATGTTCCAGAATGTCGATCCCCATGGGCAGTCGAAGCCTTCCACCAAGCTACCCATCTCAGTACCGAGTTGGTAGTAAGTATCGTGGTATACTGTATTAGCAGCTTTGGGCTGGTTGCCACCTTGGGGTACTTAGCTTCTATCTAATGAGTGATGAAGGAAATACTTACCGTATTGCGCAGTAGCTTCTTGCATTGACAGCTCGTATAGAATGCGTTCGCCCTTGAACTTGATGTCGTAGAACATGATGCCAAGTGTCCGTGAGAATGACATGTAGAACGACCAACCCATGTACTCAACGTATTGGTTCTCCTTGTCAAGTTTGTATCGCTTTCCACCAATCTCAAGAGTGCTTGGTGCTAAACGCTCTTCGAGGTCTCGCACACCCAACTCTGGCTTGTAGTCGACTAAGGCCCAACTTGCGTCAAGAGTCTGGTCGTATTCCATAGCAAGCTCGCCTGCCTCGAATGCAGCCCGCAACTCTGCGATAGTAGGGTAAAACTTCTCGTTTGTAACGAATCCTTTCAGCGAGTAGAGAGAAGGATCAGTGCCAGTACAGTCGATCAAAAGATAGAAGTCCAAAGGTGTCATGTAGGTTGCTGGACCTGGAAAACGGAACATGATGTTGCGAAATGCGCTAGTACCGTCGAAAGAGAGGGGCGTTCCGGAGGTTAACGAGAGATTCGACCTTTCGTCACTTGACCCGTAGTATACACCTCCTTGGAAGAGAGCAGCTGTTATGTCTGATATGTTCGACATGATGGATGCGATGAGTGGATCCGTCGCACTTGATCTTGGGCCATCAAAATACCGGGCGTTGTAAGGCACAGAACCACCAGCACCACCATTGTAAAGATAGTCCAACTTCTCTATGACGGTTTCTGAGGATACTGGCAGAGGGCCAATCATGTATTCCTGGGAGTCTGGCTCAGCTTTCCCGCCTTCGAAGATGATAGCACGCGCATATTTGGCAGGCATCGCTGCGTCACCGTCTATGTACGGTAGCACCTCACTCTTGTTGGTATGTAACGCATCTATCCAGAACCTGGTACCTGTCAGCCAGACCTCATTATCTGATATGTGACTTACACGTAGTTGTCTGTTAGTACAGCCTCATTGGGATCAGTAAGGTTCAGACCGGACGTTGGAGAATGGAGTAAAGTCCAAACCGAAAGATTCTCTTCCGGCGTCAGGGGAGCCCATGGATTGAGCTTTGGTGCGACTGTAGTCGTAGCAGCCTCTGTCAAGCAGGAATGTGCCGTTCCATTATCGGTTCGTTTGTCGAAGTAATCACGCACTACTCTTCGATCATATCCAAGAAAGGGCACAACGGAAGAGCAGACTGTACCGAGAAGAGCAGCCGAGGTAAGGAAAGAGCAACGCATGTTCATCAAAGATGTACCTTAGGTGTCATAGGCAGTTTCCAATACTCCTGTGCTTTATACATTATTGGGATCATTGCGGACCAGATAGGCCCCGAGTGACTTACGGCAATGACAATGAACAGAGATGGTATCTCAGGCTTACAAGATGATAAGAAGAGGGATCAGAGCTTGTAGGGGGCCTGTAGGGAACAGGATCCACTGAGTCAGGCCGCTTCCGGTGAAAGGCGCAGCCCGGCCAGCTCTACGTTTAACAGACCACGTTCTTTCTATGCTCTGTCCGAGACTTTGTCTCAAATCCTTTCTCCGTACTGGTCTTGAGTGTATTAGAATGTAATCTCCCTGCTCCTCTTCACTGGTTTCCAGGCAATGCTGGATGCAATGTGCTGTTCATACACATTGCGATTCGTCCGAGACTGCCGTAAAGTTGGGAATGCTTGGTATGCTCGTTGCATAAGGCTATCACTGGAAAGGAAGCCATAGCCATAGCTTGTAGTTGACTTACCTCGCGGAAAGGTGGGGTAAAGGCTTCAGTATATCTTATCGCTGCGAGATAGCATTGTTGCATGTGCCAAGCCACTCCCCGCATCTATCATTGGAAGCAACGAGCACTGCCAAGATCGAGGAATCAGTAACGCCGAGAGAGTAAGTCGTGGCCGAATAGTCGGGCAGGTACGATGGGGTGTTCGCTGTAGAACGACTCGCTTGTGAATCCCGAGCATGCGTCCTTGGGCGTCTCGGGCGCCAGCGCTCCGGATAACGTCCATGGATGGTCAGAAGTAAGTTTGCAGTGAAGATTGATCATCGTATCACAACAGCCTGTAGAACCATAAAAGATAAAAAGCAGCGAGCGATAGTATCCGAATGCGTGGATTCCGGGGGACTTCAAATCAACGGAACCGTCTGACTAGGGAACGCGCGACGCGAACCGGGTTGGTCGTGTAGCTCGACGAAGCTCAGCCAAAAGTCATAAAGGTTGGGTTTGGCTTTAGAATTGTGCATAGGCGGGATTGAATTAGAGGAAAATGGGGAGGAGAAGATAATGATAAGGTGTATGGATGATTTGTTCAAGAGGACGCGACGCGACGCGAGAGGACAAGCCGGCACCACAGTGACGTCACTGACATACATGCATGAGCGTGCAAACGATCGCTTCGCAGTCTGCTTTTCACAACCATACCAATGCTGCATGAACATACCCATCGCCTCTAACACATGCGATCTCTACAGTACTTTCTATGGAGTTAGCATTTGCACCGGGTTGACGCCATACACTCTTATTGCAAGAGTGAGGACTTTCCCTCATCTCGCCTCCGTCTTGCACCTGCAATGAGCGACAGAGACCGCCCGACTGCATCTTCTGTCTCTTTTGCCATTTGCACGCGAATTGATACCTCTATGTTGTTCTGAATAGGCGCGCCGGGCTCGTAAGATGAAGGCCACCCGGCAGTTCCGTGGCTAGCTGCAGGCTGATCATTGGGCGATGCCAGGTGAGCATTATCGTCATCATCAGACTCATTCCCAACCAGAGTTTCAGCTTCAGAATCATACTCCACTTCATCATATGCGGGTCGTATATCAGATAAAGCTGTGGTTTTGGAAGGTTGAGGCGCGCGAGCAGTCGAAGCAGCATAATCGGTCATGTTGGGTGGTTTTGTGGTGCTACGATGGGAGGGATGTTAGGCTTGTATTTTGCGCCACGAGCCTACATTTAGTGGTTATATGTCCAGAGAGCTGAGTTCAACAACATAGGATTTCTGCAAACAACAAAGAACGAAACGAAAGTGAGATCCAAACGCGCGACGCATCGTCCATGATGACACCCAGAACAACACGACATGCCGTGCCAAACGAAGAAGGTACATAACTACATATCACAACTGCTGTTATTTGGACATTGTCTACGACACGTCGCAGTGTTTCGTGAAGCTTTATTCGCGTTTGGACTGGCTTGCATGGCGATTGCGATTGCCTTCAGCTAAACTCTACTTGGATTGCAGCGCACATCCTCACACCTAACCGGCCTGGAATTGGCCTCGTGATTCCTCGCAAGGTACACCAAACGTCCATCATACAGAACGAAGCAAAAGCACTCATAACACCTCCTTGGAATTCCAGACACCGATAGGCCCATCTTCGCCTACACTAGCATTTGTGCTGCCAGCAGCTACCTGATAAATGCTTGCGCTTGCATCCATGTCACCAAGTTTGAGCACCATACTTCGCAAGCTTTAGCATTTTTTCTGCTTCTTTGACTGGAAATGGGGTATGATCAGTCTACGCCTTACGTGCAGTTCGTATGGATGCGACATACCCTTCTTCTCGCATTCTTCGTACTTCTTTTTGGCCTCTTCATATTTTTCCTTTGCCTTTTCGAATTCGTTTTGTGCCTCTACATGCGATCGTGTTGCCTGTTCGACAGTGCCCGGCAGGTCGTAGTAATGGGTGTCAAAGCTGCTATCCCACCCGTATCCGCCCACACCACCAAAGTTTGCTGCTATATCAAAAGCCGGGTAGTTGTCATATTGCCACCCGAAACCTCGTTTCTGTCGCCTGTAAGGAGCCATCTGATACATTGCTATGAGGTGACTTCGATAAAAGGAGACGATAAATTTACAAAACGAAGCAACAGATCAAGGTAAAATAATATGCGAAATTTCGCGAGAAAAAGACGGGTGAGCATGAACTGATCTTATACCACACTTGGAGCATGTCTGGAGCAGACAGAATGCTCCACGTGTGCTGGAAGCAGGATTTGTCCATACAGCGGGAGTTGAGTTGGCTTCACGGTCACCAGTGCCACTCAAACGTTTTGTATCGTGAGCCTTGGCTTAGAATGTCCATAGAATCTATTTCGTTCGACCAATGATGGATCAGCGTTGGCAGCGCGCGAGTGCTCTACTGTCGGAAGCTATCCTTCGTTTACGCGGGCTCCCCGACGCAGGCAGAATCCGAGCCACGTAATGACTCTAGCCGACAGCTCACAAGATTGAGCAAACAACGCAACCGCGTCCGCTACGACGAAAATGAACGCGTACGTTGACGACCGGCCGTACCAATATGCCATGGGACGACAGATTTTGTGCATTGCTTTGGAGGATTCAAAGCCTATGCGAGACGCAACACGTATTGCTAACGGCGTTCACCATTCTTTTTGGTAAGGGAGACAGTTTCCCGTGTTGATCTCGTTTAGGCAAACTGCCGATGGAATTACGCAATTGTTATCACGGCTGTCGATCTGCTGATGGATCGTTACTCAACATATGGGTGGGGTATCGATACTATCGTTATTGTGTTACACTGCCGGATGTCCCACAACGTACGCCTAAGCGATCCGAATACTACAAGAGAAGAGCTAGCGTTTAGTATGCGGAGGAAATGTCTGCGATTCATGATCTCGAACACCAATCGCGCATCGGCGATTCTACCTTATCCGCCTCACTCTTGACATTTTCCTTCTCCAAATGATCACAACTGACACTCCGTTACTCAATGATAACCAGATTACACCTGATTACATCGCATTTGAAATCTCATACCGGCTTTAGTTGCTGTCCTATCAGTTTGGTACTGTATACAGCAAGAGATCCTGAGGTTCATATCGCCACCGGAGACGAACGGTACATATGTCCAACACGTTATTGTTCAATCACGCTTATTCTGCGAATACCCGCAATACATCTTAGCAACGCTGATCGCTATGGACGTCGTACTCTCTACGTTGGTCGCAATTCTCTAGTTATGCTCGTCAGCCGACAGTACATCGTATACGAATGGATCGCCGGTTTCTGCGACATCATGATATGTTACAAATATTGATGTTCCATGAAGTGAACTTGGTTCCGACATGTGGAAACCTTGGCGTATGATGTTTTGTTGCCGGTACAGCATCAGCTCACATAATCCGCCTCTTGTTCTATCACCGTCAGATACTAGGATTAGAAGATCTAGATTTGATCCTGTTACATATATCGTTACGGAGCTCACACTGTATCTCAAGTTATACGGAAGACTTGGCTCACTTGCCAAAGTTCCATGCCATCCTACGGAGTATCTCATATTGGCCCAAATAGCTACTGCCGATATTACACTCCACTGGTTTCAAAAGATGGCCTCGCATCCTTAAGCATCTCCCCCTTGTCGTTCTTCGCGCATTTTCTCTCTTTCTTCTTGCCACTGCTTTGTCCTTGTCTTCATATCCTCCATCATCGCTCGCATATCGTTGTGAAGATTATCGCTCATACACACCCAGTCATGTGAGGTGTTTATTTGCACCCTTGCGGATGTGCTTCGTTTATATTGGTGCTGGTATGGCTGGGCATCAAGCGGAAGATAATATGGTGATGCGCTGGATCTCTGGTAGTAAGACATTGTTGGTGCGTAGTAGGTATTCTGCGGCGAGCGATGTTATACTAGTAATAATACTAATGAATTACAGATAAGGAGTATTCCTGGGTCTACAGCAGATACATGTGTGAATGATGACGCGTCAACAACGGACAAAGACAAACGAATGAGCGAACGCCCGCCGGCAACACATTGGCAAATGATGCTCTAGAGATTGCCGAAGCAAAAATTGGACGCCGCGACATATGCATGTTCATATCACAAACTACTGTCTATAGTAAAACTGATGCAGCAGGCGAAGTCTTTCTCTCAAGGTCACTACGTCTTCCTCAATTCTTCTACTCCTGCTAAAAGTATCGGCCCACATTTCGAATAGCTCAATTGGTTCCTCTCGAAGAGCCAGATCCCTATCGACAGCACGTAGCATAGCAATCGGAACTCGTCCGTTCGGTCCACGGTTCCTCGCTGGCATGGTGTGGTGAGGATGTGCAATATGACCCACACCTCCAGCACTGCGACTATAGGAGTAGCCATCTGATACGGCACTTCTCGGGTACAAGCTTTCAAAGTAGCCATTGGTGGAGGCATGTCCTGGTTGACAATAATGTGGACGACGTGGGACGAAATCTCTGGGAGCCTTTCCAAGGAACTGAGACCAAGCTTCGGCTTCAGTCACGGGTAGCGAGACGACTGGGGCGGTGTGCGAAACGTTTTTCAAGATAATGGTGGGAGGCGGTGGTACAGGGACTGCGCTGTACTGACGCGGAGCCTGTGGACGCTGTGATGGCCCAACTGCTACAGAACGAAATTGGATTGAAGGCAGTGATGGTAGCTCATAATGCTCATCGTGCTTATGTCCTTCAGTAGTGGATTCCGAATCATCGGGACTGGCATCATTCATATTCTCTTCTTCCTCGTTATCCAGACGCAACCCTGCCATTCGTTCGTAGGCTAAGTATGGGTCGATGGTGTCTTGACGAAACCCCTCGGTATTGTCGTTCTCGACTGCAGCGTCATCGACCTCGACGGATGGTGCTGGGGGGTACTGTTCTTGAGCTTTCTTTGATGTCTCGCGATGACTCATTATTGCGGAGATCTTTGAGATGTTGGCTTTCCAGAATGTAAGTGTTATTGTGTCGACAAGACAATTCGTAAAGATCTTAGATGAGTTATATTTATGCTGAAAGACCTCCTCGTCAGCAACCACACTAGACGACAATAATCTGGGGTTTGCTTCACAAGCAGTAAGCAAACGACTTTCACTTACTCCTGGTGTTTGAAGCAAATAGGAGACGTTCGTAGCGGACCATGTGAGATATCATGCAAACGACGTGTGAGTGGTGGCCTACCCACTTTTACTACCACTTGTAATTGCCAATTAAGCAGTGGACCACACGACTGCATGACTAACGAGCCAGGGCACAGCTATGTCGAGATTTTGGTACACCCAAGATAGGAGAAACGTTTGGAAAGTGTTCGGATACCCGGTGAATATGTAACCATCGCGGGGCATTCTGATATCTAGAAAGTAATGATGCTTATTCTGTCAATCCTTGTTTACATTCAATTCTCCTGGGGAAAGTCCCCTAGTTGAGGCCTTTAAGTACTCGTAGAAGAAGGTGAAAGTCGTCTACCCCCTTGGCGCTCCAAATTCAAAGCAGCATGCGCATTTCCTAACATGTCCGAGAGCTCAGTATTCAACTTCTCAAGACCATCTATCCTGATGTAGAGAGTATTGAGTACATGCGTGAGCTCGCCAGTCACTGTTTTCAGCTGAGGGATACTTCTGGTTCGGTAACTGTAGGTGATCATGTTTGCAAACACCTCGCGGTCGTGAAGACCCGTCGAAATAATATGCATAGTGTCGGCTTGACGCTGTACAAGGGTTGGGAGTGTCAAGGTATCTCCACGGAGCGGCAGCTCGCTATAGACGACCTGATGTTCTTGAGATACTGCTGATTCTGGGAACGAGGTATGCATGACTGATTCTTCTTCATCGTATCGTTCCTCATCTTCATGCCGTCGGCGTTCTTCCTCTTGGTTCATAATAGCTTCTTGATCGCGCATAAACTCAGCAAGATGCTTGTAGTTGCTTAGGTTTTTGCGATTATAGTCAGGGCTGGACATTGTGAATGCTGAAATTTGAGTTAAGCCAAAGTAAATAGAAACGAATGCCTTAAGAGGTATGGAGTTGACCAGTGACTCTAATTCTTGGGCTCAGTCACTGCTTATATGAAAGCGCTGGAGCGAAAGCGTTCAAAAAGCTTAGTGTTTGGTGCGCCACTCCTGCATTGTTCACGTAGCCACAAGAAAGCGAAGAGGATGGGGCAGCTACGACACGTGTTTTCATCAAGTGATTTGTGACAAGAGCACATGAAGTTATCAAAGTCCAAACGAAAGCCATTTGTCCAACTCATAGAATGTATTGTCCTTCCAGTGTGCTATCATCTCCTTGTCGTCGTTCCGTCGTTGTCCAGGTGTTGACGATATGACTTCCACTGTTCCTAACGACCCTCCTCAACCCTTTCTTCCATCTCAACCATCAAGCGATGGATGATTCTTTTCATTTCCCGATTAGTCGCTCTATGATCTTGTAGTATATCCCAAGGGTTTCCCATAGCGACCCTTAGCGTGTCTATGTCTCTCAAACTTTCGTACCAACGTGCAAGCCTCCTACTTGATATAGCGAATGTTTGCTCCATACTTGCTTGGAAATCACCGTTCCGATATAGGAGAGGTGCTGGCTGTGCTGACTGTTCTCTGTCTTCTATGCTGCTATTCGAAGGGTCATGCTGTAATCATTCATGGAACCAGTGAGGGAGCCTAGCGGATGGCGTGGTTTGCTATCAAATGTGGAGTGAGAGCTTGTGTGTTCTTATTTGATGGGGTGGAATGGTTCATGTGGAAAAGTATAAATAGTCAGGTACACCGAATTTGCTATGCGCTGACAGCCTCATACCAAGAAATTCTGAACGCACAACAGAAGCCCGGAAAGGTCGAATATAGACACGGCGTGACCAAATGGCCTTCAAGCACTGTAACTGTAAGTAAGAGATCAGATCCTACAAAACACAGATTCAGAGCAGAGCCTCCAGCCAACTCAAACCAGGAGATCATGCTAGCGGTGTCCTGTTATGGATCGCCCGCTTCAAGCTATCCAACAGGCTTTCCATCTGATCTCGTTTCCTCCTATACGTTGGAGCATCCCCCCTATTACGATTTTCGAGCACTTCAGCGAAGAGGCTCTCGATTGTCGATAAGCTCATTTGCCAATTGTCTAGCAACGATCTGTCGATGTTGTCGGACGTAACGCGTTGCGCACGTGCAGGCTCAGGTCGTCTTGGAGGTGGGGTAGATGTGCGAAATGCGGAAGGGGCGCGTTGGTTATGACTGCCCCCTGAAACTGGATTAATACGATCCGCCAGTAGAATGGGACCGCTTCTTGTTTCAAGCCGGCTATAATTGTCGAAGTCATAGTAGCCTTCTTCTACCTCTACAGGGCCCAGATCCGGTATCCCATAAAACTTGCCGCCTGGCCAGTAGCTCATGATGATTTTGATAACTTGGTATTCAGAAAGTAGGTTGCTGTTACAATAGTAAAATGAAGAGGGTGTAATACGATCGAAGAGGAGACAATTTATATAGCTGAAGTCAGTGGTAAAACGCTGGCAGGACAACCAGAAAGGACATTGAATAACCTGGCGGTGAATCACAACACACGTTGAACGCCCGTTGCAGGGAAGAACATGACGTACATAGACAGTAGAGCCACTGTTGTAGCCTGACGAGACGTTCAAGTGAAGATGATACCCCCATCAATGACAATGGTCTGCCCCGTCATGTAGTCGCTGTCCTTACTACACAGGAAGCTGACCGTGCTGCTCACATCTTCAGGCACACTTGTTCGGCCTAATGCGATCAACTCATTCGTGTACTTCTTAATTGTGTCGCCCTTCTTCGCGCCTGTCTTCTCACCCAATTTCTCATCAATGAGGTCCCACATAGCGGTGCCAACGATACCAGGCGCATACGCGTTCACAGTAATCTTGTGCTCAGCCATTTCCATAGCAAAGGCTTGAGTAAGGCCACGAACGGCCCACTTGGAGGCGCTGTAGTGAGACAAGAGGGCGAAAGGTTTGAAAGCCACGATTGATGCTGCGCCGAGGATCTTGCCGCCACTGCCTTGTTCGATCATCTGCTTCGCTGCGGTAGCATAGCAGTTGTAGACGCCATATACTAGAGACATGTCAATCGATGTTCTCGACACAAAAGGGGGGCAGACTGACCATTTACTTCGAACATGCGCTTGAGATCCTGCTCTGTAAGATCGAGCAGCGCCTTGACTTGCGCGATACCGGCATTTGCTACCATGGTGTTTAATGGTCCTAGTTCTGAAACAGACGCTTTCACTAGACCCTGGACCTGGCTCAGATTCGATACATCGGCGCTATATGAGAACGACTTGCGCCCTAAGCCTTGTATCTGTTTCACAACTTCGTCGGCTTCAGATTTGTTGGCTTCTATGTCGTTGATACAGACATCATATCCATCGTTAGCTAGTCGAAGAGCAATGGCCTTGCCGCTGTCGTGATTTGGTCAGAAGCATTACATATTGCCATGAAGTTTATGAGCCTCACATTCCACGAGCAGAGCCTGTTACTATGGCTGTCCGATTTTGATCCGATGCAACTGCGTAACTGCGAGCCCAACATGTTGTCTGGGGAGCTACTCGTGGTATATTGGCGAATCTCGGGGCAGCTTGCCAGAGCGTCCTTGCTGGAAGACGAAATGACATGATGGTTGCTATCCTGGCGCAATAGAAATTCGAAGGGCAGACGCAAAGACCAGATGAATAACGGTACCTTGGGGACGGCGAAGCGATTCAGCTCCCCCCCGCAGCACCCATATGGCCATATAATCACCCAGATCTCCTCATCCAGTATACCGGGAAGCTCACATGGGCTACCCGGACATGCGGAGTACGCGTAGTGTATGCACAACCCCTCTCGTGGTATCACGTCGGTCGCGCGGCGCGAACTTAGGCATCCTGATCGGGTTTAAGAGGCCCGGAAATGACGTCCTCCAGCTTGTCAGCCTAGTGCAGGTCCGATCATCACACGAGTCGAGCGGCACGGTTCCGCAGGTTGACGATGGAGGCAGGGGCTGTCGCCAGAGCTGGTGTTGGGTGAAGTGCGGGGAACTCGGGGGTGCCAAGCAAGCACTCGCGAGTCTTCGTACCGAACTCGACGGAGCGCGTCTGTCGACAACCACCCAAACAAACTCACCGACGCGAACCACACCATGTCTCGAATGAGTATGGCGCCGCAGCGCAACCTGTCGCTGACAGAAGAATTGGAAAAGCTGGAGCAGTCCATCACGCTCACACTGCAAGGTAGACACAGCTCTGCACACCCCACTACCACGACTGACACGGGCAGAAATTGACCAAAACTTCAGCCGAGCACACCGAATCGTCACCACCGGTATCCTCCCAATAGTCGAACAGTATGGAAAGCATTCGGAAGCCGTCTGGGAAGGCTCCAAGTTCTGGAAACAGTTTTTCGAGGCCAGCGCAAACGTGTCGCTCTCTGGTTACGAGGCCCCTGACCAAGACGAATCAGCTGTACATGAGGAGACGGAGCAATCACAGACATATGATGAGACGATTGAAGACGAGGATACGGTAACAGGAACGACCACGACACCACCCCGGCCCTTGTCTGCACAAGAAGACGCCGAGTCAACCATGGCTTTCGACTCGCCTTCTCTCGGACACAGCACACCACGAGCTCCGCCCTCAATCACAAAAGGCAAAAATCTAGAAGACGAGCAAGATAGTGAAGACGAGGAAGAGCCCCAGTTTGCTGGCATGTCTTCACCTTATGAAGCGCTGAAGTCTGAATTCAGGCCCAATATCGGCGGCACCAAGACGCCAAAGCTCGAACCAGTCACACCCGGCAAGTCGCAAGCCCTACCAGACATGAGCGGCTTCGAGTCTTCGCCATTCATGCAGCCTACAGCCACGAAACAGTCACACACCAACAACGACCCACTGCTCCACCGCGTCCTCGACAAGACATACCGTGTACAAGCCACGCCGCTCATCAGTCCAAGGAAATACAAGCCCACGGGTGCTTTCACTCCTCGCGCCGGCCAGCGCGGTGCACCTACACCAAAGAGTGCTGCTACGCGATTGTTAGACTTTGACTCTTCACCGCCCTCCTCGCCCGCGCCGCAACTACGAGCCGACATCTTCTCGCCCATGAAGACGCCGCGGACACCAGGCATAAGCGTGCAGACACCTGCCAAGGGCAAGCAACCGATGAGCATCCATCGAACTGGCGGTACAATTTTCGACGACAGCGACGAAGAGGAGGACGATCTTGACTTTAGCCCTCCGAAGACAATACAATTCCACATTCCACAGAGCAAGCTGATGCAGACGCCTGGTGAGTTCCCTCGGTCCTACTATTCTTGATGCAAGCTAACATGTAGAACAGCCCGAGAAGCTAGCAAGCGCATTGTGGACGACTTGCTCATGACAGCCGGCCACGACGTTACGGATTCGACGGGTGGTATGGAGGAGGACAGTCCCAGTATAGTGAAGCGGCAGATGGATCTTGACGATAGCTTCTAATGCAGAATTCGATACCCCATAGCATATAGGAAACTTGGTTGATCTAGAATCAGATGGGCGGGTGTGCTCTGGCCAATTTGCATGTGATCCACAGTGGAGGCGCTAGACAACGGCCGCGCTAGCGGCTGAGACCCCCTGCAACAGCTTCCGTCGTCATTCCACATAATCGCAGGCATCGACAGACGACGTCGGGAACAGCAAATCCCAACCGACCTTCGTTCTTTCATTCCGCACATCCCGCCATGCCCAAATCAAAACGACCGCCGACTTCGGGCTATGCCCGGATAGCCCAGGCCGAGGAGGAGGAAGGCGACTCTGGCAGCGACTTGGAGGGTGACCACCACCAGAATCCCCTATCCAACGCGCAGTACGCCCCGATACAGCCACAGCGGAATTCGAATATGCGCATGAACGGCTCCGGCGCGAACTCACCAAACCGTAAGAAGAGTTCTTCCGGGCGACGGCAACGCGCCAATTCCGGCGTCGACATCAAGGCCATCAATGCGCGATTCGAGCGATGGGCCGACGAGATTGCGCAGAAATTCAAGATGAAGAAGCAGAAAGACTCGGCGGAAGATGAGACGCTTGAGATCCACCACTCCGTCTTCCAGGCGCCCGACTGGGTGCGACCAGCGACGGCAGAGTCGCTCACCTTTGACTATGACGTTCCCTCTGATCGGCTCACGAAACTCGAATTCGACGACATCGTGGAAAGTGTTCGGACGGCAATCGAAATGGACGTACATCCTCTGCTGATTACACAAGGCAGCTCGGGCAGCTACTTCGCTCGAACTACACAGGGCAAGGTCGTGGGTGTCTTCAAGCCCAAAGACGAGGAGCCCTACGCGTCAAGAAACCCCAAATGGACCAAGTGGATACACCGCAACCTCTTTCCCTTCTTCTTCGGTCGCGCCTGTCTCATCCCCAACCTGTCCTACATCTCCGAAGCCGCCGCCTACGTCCTCGATACCCAGCTACGCACCAACCTTGTACCCTACACCGACGTCGTCGGTCTTTCCTCCAAATCTTTTCACTACGACTTCTGGGATCGGCGCGCATACTACAGGAAAAGGAAGCCATTCCCGGAAAAACTTGGGAGTTTCCAGGTCTTCTTAAAGGGCTTCAAGGACGCGAACATCTTCTTGAAGGAGAACCCATGGCCAGATCAGCACAACACAGGCTACAGCGCTGATAGAGCGGCACGCAAAAAGAAGCGAAGATGGGCCGAGGACTGCAGACCCAATGGCTCGCAATCAGACGGCGAGGACGATGACGAAGTATCTGGGAACGGATCCACACAACACCAACCGAGGGGCTTTTGGACGCCTGCCATACAGCAGTCCTTCAGAGAGCAACTGGAGAAACTGGTGATTCTCGACTACATCATGCGAAACACCGACAGAGGCCTGGACAACTGGATGATCAAGATCGACCAGAAGACACAACAGGCAACCATCGTCGCAGAGCCGCCCAAGATGGATGGCGATGTGGACGACGATGACCATCAACCAAGCGATTACACGAGGCAGTCGATGGAGCAGTCCGGACTAGACCCGTACGGGCGAAGGGAGCCCATGACCACGACTAGCCGGTCCAACACACCCATGCAGAGTGGGCCAACGCCTACAGTGACTATCGGTGCCATTGACAACAGTTTGTCGTGGCCCTGGAAGCACCCCGATGCTGTGAGTATCTTTATCTCTGTCGTATACGGCCAAGCTAACAAGACTGTAGTGGCGCAGCTATCCCTTCGGTTGGCTCTTCCTACCCGTCTCGCTCATCGGCCAGCCCTTCTCCGAAGCCACTCGCCGCCACTTCCTCCCCCTCCTCACTTCGAAACAATGGTGGAGTGATACACAATCAGCACTCCGCAAGTGCTTCTCGCAAGATGCCGATTTCAAAGAGCGCATGTACGCTAAACAGATCGCTGTCATGAAGGGACAAGCATGGAACGTAGTGGAGACGCTCAAGACGCCTGATCTGGGACCACTTGAGCTTACAAGAAGAGCACGTGTATGCGTGTGGGATGACATTGTGGAGATACCGATCGCTGTGCCACTGCGGGCTCCGTCCGCGGAGATGCGAAGAAAACAGACGTCAGGCAGACAGTCACGGTTACAGGAAGAGCATGAAGAGATGGACATCACAGCTGTATCGACGCCACCACAGAAGCCCCAGCAAGACCTGCTCATGAACTCGCCGCCGTTAGAAATAGCGCACGAAAATCGCTTCAATCTCACGCGCGGCTCTTCCTCCCTCGACGTGCGACGTCCTGATAAAGGCCCTGAATCGCCAGCAACAGTGAGCGATGTGTACTGGGGCTCGCGCAACCTGAACCCTCATTCAAATGGACGCCCTGCGCACCAGTCGCGAATGAGTTACGATGCGCCTCGCAGAAACACACGCGACTCACGACACCATAGACGATTCTCACTAACGAACAGAAGAGACGTTGATGACTATGGCTTTGACGATGATGGCGATCTAGGATATGCCGCGAATGAAGATATGGAAGGAAACAGGAAAAAGGTCATTGTGGAACGGTTGGAGATGGTCAAGGGAAGGAATCCGGTGTTTACTTGGTGTTGAGCACATTGTAGCTCAGTTTGAGTGTTTTCTTCGTGACTTGAACATGTGTGAGAGATGACTGTCTTGCATCACAGGCGCAAGGTTACTGTTCCCATAGCATGGCATCTGGTTGGGTAGCATGGGAGGCGTTTTGTTGTACAAGAATCTACAGATAGTAACATGTATGCAGTAGCGGGAACAGCTCCGCTATTTCCCTGGTGCACCCACACCTCTGCATACGTTGCGCAACAACCCCCACACCCTAATAAACCAGTGATACACATACTTGGTGTGCGAGCTGATGGTATTTCCTGCTTTTACTCTTTTCGTGCAATACGCATCGGTTCTCCCCGACAATCGCGGGCAACAGCCCTTTGCCGAAACCCCGTGAATAATCGAAGGGTCATCTGACACTCCTGCTAGGCTCTTCTCAGCCACACGCGATGACTTCCCACAACGAACATGAAAGGCAACAGCGCCATTTCATCCACGCACGGCGATACAAGTGAACGAGGTCACGTTCATCTAACTCATAACTCAGCACATTATCGTTGTCTGGCAAGCTGCCCCGCCGCTGTGCCGCGATCCCATACGTCTACCTTTACTTACCCGACGACCGGGTATGTACTAAGCGACTACACACCATCATCTCATCATCCGAGATACGGAGTTGCGCGTCCGTAAATCGATCGCAACCAGGCTTCAGAAGACTCGCAATACTTGTGACGACTCTACGAGCACGTCAAGAAACTTTTAACAGCGCGTAATTTGTGGCGAGCAAAGGGATTAAGGCTTGGCATTTGGGCCATCAGATGCGCTTCGGCATCCACGTCGTTGGAAGGGTTGGAAGAGCTAGGAAACGCTGAGGGGTATTTTTCGCTCACCTGAAGCTCTCTTACCTGCAAGGTTCGAGTCGCTTCGTTTGTAAGCCTGGCATGGACAAGATGAATCCCGCCCTATTACTTGACCCGAGAAGGGTGCGTAGAACAGGTATATCCTCAATCTTTTCCCTCCACCTCACCTTCTTTTCCATCATTACATGCCATATCTACTCGCTCTTGGTACTTGCTCTGGTGTTGAGTGCTCTCATATTCATCAACACCTTTCCCTCCCAAGTTCGCTATTCCTAGCCCAGCAATATGGACACTGGTAGTCCGGCTTCAGACTCTTCTGAGAAATCCGAACTGGTCGTTTACGAACCCAGTCTTATTTCTCCGATCTCTGATCCATTACCAAATGCTCCTGCCTCCATTTACTCAGACTCTGACCCCAGGCCCCAAGAGCTAACCGCGCACGTGCCAGGCGACAACGCGACCCATCACACCCATGGAGCGCCTGCACAACAACCTCTCCGATTTGACCCTCGCGCACTTCTAAATCCGTCATCTTCAAATCCCAAGCGTCCTGCATCTTCCGGTAACGACACTGATCGCGGACGCACTGACCCTACAATTGCTGGCCAGGTTTCACTTGTCGAGCGCCTACACAACGTCCAAGAGCGCACGTCATCTCCTGCTAAGCGTGTCAAAACTGAGGATCCGCGAACTCAGAAGAACGGTAACCGATCTAACTTTGCCGGTGGAAGCGCACTTGAGCTGCAAAACCAGGCTGCGCAACCAGCTGCTCCACTACTCCAGAAGGGACCAGCGATTGATCTCACCATGAGTGACGACGAGGACGAGATCCAAGTCGTTGGAGACAACAGCAACGAGAATGTGTGTATCGGAAAACTCAAACAGACCTACATTCAGGCGCACCAGGTGCCCTTCCCCGACCCGAAGAAGTTCGCTGGCAATCATGGTGGTCAAAGCAGAATCAAAGTATCCTTCCGCAGGGGTGGTGGTAATAAGGGAAATCAGATCATTATGGTAACTACTTTGATTTACAGGGTTCCCGCAAAACATATACTAACTGACATCCAGGTGCTTGACGGTGTAGGCAAAGAATTCGGCAGGGTCGACATGAAGACGGCACAAGGCCTTACACCCTTGATTGACAGCGCCAACACTAGCGGTCTTAAGTGGATAGCGTGGACTGAACCCCGCAGGAAGTTGCCAAATGAAGGTCCACCTGGCAGTCAGATATCTGCCCTTGTTGGTATGACTTTGCAGCTGTATTGTCCGCGCAGGGTGGCAGACAACATCGGCCGGCACCTCAAGAGCAAGAACCTGATCTTAGAAACACCCATTTTCGAATTGGCACGCCACGACTACTATAATCCCCAGACCAAGGAGACATTTCAGAAGAATCAGGTAGGACAGCCCGATTTTCAGCTGCCTAATCAGTACGCTGTTGGCGCTCCCACAAACACATACGTTCTTCGCAGTGTCGACGAGATTCGCGCCGATGTCGAGGATGTCTTCGATACCGTTGTTAGTAGCTCGGAAGAAGTCCCCACACGAGAGCCATCATCGCTTATCACCACTGAGCTGTACCCACACCAGAAGCAAGCATTATACTTCATGGTTGATCACGAACAAGAGCATCCTCCTGAGATCTACGATCAGCGCAAAGATTCATTGTGGGCAGCCAAGTACCGAAATAACGGCCGAAAGTACTACGTGCACGTCATTACGAGTGAACAGGTGGAAGAGAAGCCGAGACCAGGCCTTGGCGGCATTTTGGCTGATGAAATGGGCCTGGGAAAGACGCTTAGTATCCTTTCTCTCATCTGCGACGATGCTTCGATCGCTGCAGCCAAAGACTTTTGTCAAAAGAGGCCTTCTCCGAAACCATACCCGGCGATGATACAACCAACTATAAATAGTCGAGCCACACTCCTTGTCTGTCCTCTGAGTACCATGACAAACTGGAAGGAGCAGATCAAAGAGCACTTCCCGCAGGGTAGGAGTACCTTGAGGTGGACCCGTTACCATGGCGCAGATCGTTTCAATATCTCGCCTGACAAGCTCGCGGATCACGATATAGTATTAACAACATATCACATCATCGCCAAGGATTTGGCCGACAGGAAGCGGGCCCTCCCTTACATCAATTGGTTCCGCATTGTCTTGGACGAAGCGCACACCATCCGCAACCCGACTAATCAATCAAAGGCAGCATGCATGATGATGGGTCAACGACGTTGGGCTGTGACTGGTACGCCTGTTCAAAATCGACTTGAGGATCTAGGTGCCCTGTTCAATTTCATCAAGTTGAAGCCATTCGATAACACCAGCGGTTTCAACCAATACATCCTTGGTCCTTTCAAGAATGCGGATCCCAACGTTGTAACGAAGCTTCAGTTGCTTGTTAGCACCGTCACCATCCGTCGTACCAAGGAGATCATCAAGGGAGAAGTACCGAAGAAGTTGGACTATGTCGTCAAATTGCAATTCTCCAAGCAAGAGCGGCAATTGCATGACTGGTTTGAGAAAGACACTCAACGCAAGGTGGCTGCCGTCACACAAGGCAACAAGATGGGGGGACAATCGTACGCTCGTATCTTGACCGCTATTACCAACCTCCGTTTGATCTGCGCTCACGGTCGCGACCTTCTCAGTGAGGAAGCTCTCAAGACTACGGACGGCATGACGTATGAGAAGCCTATGGAGATAGATGAAGACGAGAGCGACAGGCCGCAGCTTACACGTCAACAAGCCTACGAGATGCTCAGCCTACTTGAGTCGACAAGTGCAGCTGATTGTCTGTATTGCGCCGACAAGAGGTCTCTACTAGATGCAGACTCTGACGATGAAGACGAGGATGGTAATGTTCAAGACGTTATCGGCTACATGACCACCTGCTATCATCTAGTATGCCCAAAGCATATCAAGAAGTTGAAGGATCAGTGGAAAGATAACCTCATGGCTGACGGCTCTGTGCGATGCCACGTCTGTGACGATGTCAATCATCCAACGGCACTGAAGCTTGAGCGCACTGACTACTACAACTATCTTGAAGAGCAAAACCAGATTCGGAAAGATCCGAAGTTGGCGAAGAAAATCGGAAGCTATACTGGGCCGCACACAAAGACACAAGCTCTACTCAACGACCTTCACGAGTTCCGCCTTTGGAGCGAGCAGCATCCCGATCAGAGGCCGATCAAGAGGTAAGACGTCGTGCCCCGTAGGCATACTCTGAGAACCTATTAACACGCCTTGACAGTATCGTATTCTCCTCGTGGACCACGCATCTCGACCTCATCGAAATTGCGCTCAAGAATGCCGGCCACCTACTCGTCCGTCTCGACGGTCGTATGACACGTGAAAACCGTGACAAGTCCATGCAACAACTCCGCGAAAATCCAGAAGTCCGCGTGATGCTAGTCTCGATCGGTGCCGGTGGTCTTGGCCTCAATTTGACTACAGCGAACAAAGTCTTCATGATGGAACCGCAGTTCAATCCTGCGGCTGAAGCACAAGCTGTAGATCGAGTTCATCGTCTGGGTCAAGACAGGGAGGTTACCATCAAGCGTTTCATCATGGAGAATAGTTTCGAGGAGAAGATGCTAGTACTTCAGGGAAAGAAGAAGGCATTGGCTGACCTTACCATGGCGAAGGAGCGCAAGAGCAAGGAGGAGGCTACGAAACAGCGTTTGGAAGAGCTGAGGAGTCTTTTCAGGTAGAAAGCGAGTCGCTGTTTCATGTGGGGTTTCGGTAGGGAGATGGGTTCTGATATGGTGAGTTGCTTGAGGCATTGGATTGGGCGGAAAACGAAATAATTCGCATGGATTGTGAACGGTGTAGATCTAGGTGGACATATCTGCGGATGTAGACTCCACGGGGCGTTCTGGATTTGTTCGGTTCACACGTTGCATACCTAGCTTCGGCTCAGACATTCTTGAAGCACCATAGCTCTTAGAGGAAGATCGTGAAATATTATCATCATAACAACAAGACTCTGCTAAGAACCTGCTTTCCAATCCTTCAACTTGACCAACAACTCTTCCATACTAGATGCGTAAAGATCGAATTCCCCAAAAACATCTGTACAAGGGTCATGTTCCTCAAAGTCCAGATACGCAGTGTGGAACCCAGCCTTCCTCGCCGCAATCAAATCCCACGCATGCGCCGCGATGAACCATCTCGCACCCTCTCCCATTCCCAGAGAACCAGTATGCTTCACCTTTTCATCCAAATGCTTCTGCGCATTCTCATAAACGCGTACATCCGGTTTCGCAACCTGAATGGCATCACAACTGAGCAGATGCTGTTCGTCCAATTCAATACCCGCGTTACGGTAGTAGTTCAAAGAGGTCTCTGACCCTCCATTTGTTACACCATAGACATCCCAGCCCGCTTCCCTCAGTCCATCATAACACTTTTTCAGCCCTTCGCGCGGCTTCATGGCTTTGAATGCTTTCATGATCTCTTCCAAGTCTTCGTCGGTGACTGCGTCGACGGGTAGATCGACAACGGCGCATGCGCGTCGGAACGTAGATTTGAGAACCTGGGCGATGGGAACGTAGGCACCGGTCATGGAGACGTAGGTGAAGTCACGCTGAGCAGCATAGAACCAGGAGAAGAAGAGCGTTTTGGGGTCCACGGCCGCGGTTACAAGTTTGGGGCCGAGACGGGATTGGATGGTGGATATAGGAACATCAAAGGCGAAACATGTTCCTATCACATCGAAAGAGGCGGATTTTGTCATATTGGCGTTTTGGAGATTCGTTTAGGAAGATTGAGGCTGAGTCGTTGCTACAGAGCTGAGCTGTATGTTCCACAGTAAGCTGTGGGTGGAGAAGCTAGGTACCTAGATAGACTGAAGACCCTGTGACGTCAGCCTTCCCGTCGCCCTTCGCGGGGTTTCATCCGAACGTCCATCTCCAACGCTACGATCTCCATCGCGGACTATCAACCCTGTTATGGACGAGGCAGAAATATTTGGTCTTGGCAGTCAAGCATGCCTGAGAGGTCCTCTAACATCCCACGTGCGTCGCGCGAGCCAATCACAGCATCATCTCACCGGGGCTGGACGGATTGCGCCATGCCGCTTACAGCCCCGTTAAGCCCTGCTCAGCCGTACCGCCAGGTATCAACATGAGATATAAGCTCAGCCTTCCGTCGTTCTCTTCCGACTTCTGCATCTTTTTTTCTTTGTTATAACACACATCATGCCTAGCATAGCGACGACCATATGGTACGCGTTCGTAGTAGCGTGGGGCGCGTCGCTTTATCAACTCTTCCTCAAAGATCTCTTTGCGATTACTTTCGGCGTTGGTCGCGTGATACAGAGTATCGATGAATTTCCAGAATTCAGTTGTAGCCGTCTTGTGCATCCAAGGCTAGAAGCGTGTGAGGATATCTGGCTGGATGATCACGAGAGAACATTGTATGCGGCTTGCGCGGGCACGGCGGATAGGTTGGCTTGGAATCAAGCGTAAGCTATTCTCAAATCATGTTGCTACAGAAAATGTGATTGGAAAACGACGAATACTGACTGAGCTCAGCATGAAGGATGTTAACGTCACTGGACGACGACCTGGCGGATCAGAACTCATCGCGTTGGACATTGACGAGCCTGGTGTTGACGGGTTCTACAATCTTCGTGGCATCAAACCCATCGGACACTATAGAGGAGCGACTGGAAACTCTGATCTTGATCTTCTAGGCTTCGATGCCCATGTTTTAGATGACAACACGATTCGGTTCTATATGGTCAATCAACGTCCACCAGTCGGAGCGTTCAACAACATCATCGATGCTTCAAAGAGCGGCGCAAATTCCACGATTGAGATCTTCGAAATGAGAACTGGCCAAGAGCAGATGCGACATGTTCGCACCATCTTCTCAAATGAGATTTGGACGCCAAACCGTGTTTCGGCGCTTGCAGATGGCTCTGGTGGGTTTCTTGTGACAAACGATCATTCTGTCAAGGTTGGTTTGGTGTGTGACTCTCGATGTTAACGAAATGAATGCCATCTAATACCAAATAGCGAAGGAAGCTTGACTATGTTATCGGTGGCGGTAACGTTGCCTACTGCGACGGAGCCGGTAACTGCCACGCAGCCTATGACGGCAGCGAGGATGACGATACTCTTCCGTCAACCCCAGGCGATGAGCCGATGTACAAGGTTTATCTCAAGAAGGCGCTCGGCTACCTTCCGAAGTCGAAGCTTAAGTTCCCCAACGGACTTGCCCGCGGCCGAGACGGTTTCTTCTACGTTCCTAGTGCCATAGACGGCCAAATTCGCGTCCTGGCGTTGCAACCCGACAAGACTCTTCGCCTAGTGGACACCATCCATGTCGGCATGCCGCTTGATAATATCTCACCCGACGCCAACGGCGACATTTACGCCGCCGGTTTCCCCAATCTTATCCAATCCGGTAAAGGCTTCGATGATCCTTACAACCAATCTTCACCCGTGACCATCTGGCGCATCAGAAAGACGGTTGACGTGGGAAAGTCAGGAGTAAGAAGTGTAGACTACAGAGTCGAAAAGGTTCTTGAGGATAGGGATAGCAAGGTTCTGAGTGGTAGTACGACGGTCAGACATGATGTCAAGACTGGTCGGTTATTCATTAGCGGTAGGTCGACGACCATGGTTTTGGAGAGTCTTGAGAACGACGTGTTAACGTTTGACAGCTGCGGTACACCCTTTCCTTGTCGTTTGCGAACCGACGAAATAAGCGTTTGCGCTAGTGCCACCAATATTCAGGTAGGCCATGAATAGAGGGACTCCATATACCGGTCATCAAGTCCCGCCACGCTCGACATCTAAAGTGTAGCTGATATTTTGGATGTAATCAAGAAAGAAAGGAGGAGGAGGAGGTTCATTTGAATATTGACCACGGGTTTTGGTCAAGCATAACGGCAAAGCATGTTGATGGAAAAAAGTCTTACATTGAGAAGAATACATATGCTCTTCTCTCTCTCTTTAGCTCCGTCACCGCCATGGCTCTTTCCCTCGCTTTAAGATATCCCAAGCAAATCCCTCGCATCCTTGCGCCACCTCACCAACGCCACCAGATTTGCACAAGGTGCACTGTCCATCCACGCCGGTGTCAAGTTTCCGACTACGCCGTCCAAACTCTTCTTGTCTTTTTCGCTCAAGCCGGCGATTAGGTCATCCCAGTCCTGGGCTTTGATGTCTTCGTCGATCTGGCATTCGCAGAAAATATTGTATACGGCAACAGTGATGTCGTTATCGGCAGCCATCAAGATCTGCTGGCAGCGGTTGGTGGCCATCCCTGTGTTTGACCTGGGAAGTTTTTGCAGTACTTTGGGTAATTGCGGCTTTTTTGTTGTAGTCGGCACGGCCAAGGCTCGTAGCTATCTTGCGAGCTGTGTACTTTGACTCTGGAACATGAAATAGAATGGGACGCGTTTTGTATATAGGGCATTGACTTGAATCATTGACTCCAAAGGTGATGATTCAATAGAGCCATGCCATTCACATTGCTATAACACGTTGTGCAAGATTGATTGTTGGCCATATCATTGGATAGTTCACCAACCAAACGTTGAGAGAAGGCTAGCCAATCTTTAGTGAAGAGACCGCGCTCCAGCTCCCGACATAGTTGAGCAATTTCCTCTTTTTGAAAGGTCGAATAAAGCTTTTATTGTGATAGAGGCACGGAAGCACGAGAGACAGGGGAATTTATACCCTTTCGCCATCTCCGACGCAAACGCATAGACACCGTTACGCACACACTAAAATCACAAGAACAACAATACTTTTGAGCTCAGCAAGTCAAATCATGATACTAACGTTGCAGCATTTGCAGTAACGAAATTTTAATCACACCAAGTCATGTACGATCGTCGATCGAGGCAGTGACGTCGGCTGGTCACAGTAGCCATATGCTCCCTCTTGTCACGATTTTGGGTTGACGATGGAATTGGGGAAAGCCTGGACGGTCGACCATATTGATGGCAGATTTCTCATCCTGAAGGAGGCGAATATCTCATCGCAGCCATGAGTTTCACCGTTTTGTCTTTGGTTTCCGACGTGCAAAGAGGATTAAAGAACAGAAGTGACGTGGCAGATTTCCTGGACTTTGCATAGGAGAGGAGGATCGAAGCCGAGGAGCAGCAGCATGTTGACGTCTTGCATGCTTTTGGAGAAACCAGAACAGACGAGAGTTCACATGCCGGGGTATGCTTGAGGTTTCGATACAAACAATGAATCTTGGAAACCAGGAACATCTTGTCGTATTTCTCTTCCTTGTCGAGTCAATCCAGTTCCAGCAGACGCACACGTCCAACTTGGCTGAATCGTTTTTGTTCTGCGCGATATGTCTTCCGAACTGCGAACATGAGATGTGTGATTGTATTTTCGATCTCCCAGCATCTCCTCCGAAGGCACCAGTCATTGGGGGTTGTCACTTGGCTCTTGAGCTGGGTGAAGTTCCAGGAAAAGAATTCACGTGTCTTCGTTCATGTTATTCTTTTTGGAAGTTGATAGCGAGTAGAGGTGCAGAAGCGCAAACATCACGTTATCGTAGAAGCTTTTTGTGAGAAAGGAGAGCCGCAGCCATGGCACTTGAGTGATGAGTTTTCAGAAGATCATCAACGAATGTTGGGTACGAGAAGAGAAGGTGGCCAAGCGACAGGCTTATATACCCGAGGACCGTGGGCACGTGAGCTCGTGCGAGACTTGATTCAAAAAGCGCACCAACTGTATGATGAGATTGCCTCAAAGTTCGACCACATGTCTCATCATGACACTCGCAGACAGAAATCACAGCGCGATGCACCACAATAGCAAGTGAGCAGAGAAGCCATCAATTCGTCGTCCAAATTACTCTACCACCAGAAATGCTATATGCACATCGTCTATCCCAGAACACGTAATCACAAAATCATCTACCGCTTAACCAATCCAGCAGCAGCAGCCTTCATCTCCGCCTCTTCGTTCTTCTTCCTCTGCGCCTCAATCTCCGCCCTTGCCTTCCTCTTCTCCTCTTGCTGCAGCTGATCCGGTCTCCTGACTGCAATATCCTTTGGCTTGTTGTCCGAGAAGAAAAACTTCAGTCCCTTCTCGATGATGTAACAAGCGACAAAATCGAAAGCCATGATGCTGGTAATCATGACCTTGAATTCGGTGGTGAAGGGGACAAGCTTGAGCTTCTCGTTGAGTTCGGGAATGAATTCGGTGGCGCAGGAGAAGGCAACACCGGAGACGGAAACGAGTCCCCAGTACATGCCCTTGTTTTCGCGGATAGACTCGCGGAAAGGTCGGCCTTGGTAGTTGATGGCAAAGGTCGAGATTTGTTGAATGAGTTGTAGGAGGTAGATTGCAGAGTTGAGCAGGGATGGCTCGAAGTCCTTCTCGAGATCTGGGTTGGGGTCCTTGGGCTCAACACGTTGGACGTATTGGCTGACATAGATGAGGGTGACGATATGGATAGCAAATTGTCCAAGTACGGAACCGATGATGTACGTGTTGAAAATGTTGGACTGAGGACGTTCTTTTGATAGAGCCTCAACGGTCTTTGCGCGCGAAATGGAAAGGAAGCATACGCTCATCATCATACCGGAAATGGTGACTTGACCATCGCCGAACTTGATACCATCCAGGTAGAGAACAGACAAACTGTAAGCAGAGATCAAGCAGTTCAGAGCGAGAATCTTGTACATCTGGATTGTAGCGACGAGTGTGCAGCGACCTTGACGGATGATGTTGGGAATCGCAACGACGTTCGCAAGCTTGGAGGTGAAGGGCGCAGCAACAGAAGCATCACCGAGTTTGATCGTCGGTGGTTCACCAGCCATCTCTTCCATCTCTTGCATCATCATCTTCTCCTGCATCTGCTGAGCAAGGTTGCCGACGGCCTGAGGCGGCTGGACTTGACCGGGCTGTTGTTGAACAAGGGTACCAGTAGATGCTGATCCGTTAGCGACACCATTGGTACCTGGAAGAAGACCCTTCTTCTTTGCCTGGTTCTCCATTGCCTTTTCGTAGTGAGGGTTGGTTGGGCCAGGGGGGTATAGATGCGCGATCATGATCGGAACAGGTGGCTGAGGCTGGTTGAAGCGTTGCATCAAGTTACACTGCTTCTCGTACACATTCTTCATCTGAGTGTTGCGGAAGTGCTCGCCAATCTTGTCGAGGTCTTCACGGGTTCCGTTGAGTAGGGCGACACCGATATGAGCTTGCTTCAGCGCACCGACATCGTTCGTACCATCACCAGCCATTAGTGTAGTGTAACCGCAGTCCTTAAGGCCAAGAAGAATTTCCTCCTTCTGCTTCGGTGAGACACGAGCGTAGACCCAAGTGTATCGCAGAATCTGCTTCCATCCAGGTTGACCAGAGAACTTCGAAAGTGCGTACCCAGTAAGACAGATATCCTTGGTCTTCAAGATCTCGGCGTCCAGAGGCTGGGAGGGGTCAACAGGAATGCTAATCTTGTCATCAACGCTGCGCCAAACGAGCTTCTCGCCAGTTTCGTCGTTCTCAGGCGCGTCAAGAATGTAGCAATCGCGGTCGACGATCTCGACTTGCTTAGCGACATGGACAGCAGTCAGCGGGTTGTCACCAGTGATCATGACAACACGATGACTAGACTCGTTGAGGGAGCGTACAGCCTCGACAGCGTCAGGCTTCAAGGGGCACTGGAGGACGAGGAAACCGGCAAAGTGCAAGTCAGACTCGACTTGTTCACGCTTGAGGTCGTTGATGCGGTTCTGGCCCCACTCTCCTTCTTCAGATAGAAACTTGTATGCAAGAGCGAGGACACGGCCACCATTGCGGGTAAAGTGTTTGAATGTCTCCTCGTAGTTCGGTGGGATGTTGACCAACATCTTGCGAATAGTCTCGGGCGCACCCTTGACTGCAGCGATTGTGCTCCTGACCTTGCGACCGGTCTTGTTGTTATTAACCAGGACAGTTGCGACAGAGCTCTGGCGTTTGAGAGCAGACGAGAATTGAAAGCGGCGACGGATGTGTACGAGTTCGGCCTGCGAATTGGCAGTAGTCATCGTAGCTTGGATCGTGTCCTTGGCTCCGAGTTTCCAGCCGAGGGACTGTAGAGTGGCCTTCTCCATAGGCTCTCCGACAGTCTCCCCATCGTCTAGTTTGACCAGAGAGTGAGCGGCGGCAAGCACCAGTGTTGTTTCAGTTCCAACATCTGTGACCTTTGTGAGATCAGTATGCGCACCGTCTGCAGCAACCGTAGCATTGTCTTGACCCAGTGACAGTCCAGCAATACCGTCCACGACCAAGTCTTCACCAGTCAGTGTACCAGTCTTATCAAAGCAGGCGACGTCGACCTGTCCAGCGAAAGGAATTCGGAACGGCTCAGTACAGAAGATGGCGTATTTGCTAAGCGCGGCAAGGGAGGTGTTGACAGCCAAGCTAAGCTCCATGGGGAGCTCGGGAGGGACGACGCTGGTAACGATGAGGACGCAGTCGAGGAGCAGCTTGTTACGCTGGCGGTCGAGCTTGACACCCTCCTTCCAGACGTACCACGAGGCGGCGACGGCAAAGACGGTAAGGAAGAGGATGAAGAAGAGGGCTTCTACGTTGTTTGCGGAGACGCGCTCGGTAGCGAAGATCATGGTTCTGACGAGGCTGCCCTGGTTGGTCTCGAAACCAGTCTTGATGACAACAGCAACAGCACCCTTGTCCGGTGGCGGTGGGACTCCAGACGAAAGTCTGTTGACGCCGCTGCCATCTTCCTCAGCATCATTACCGTGCGAAACCTGGAGGACCTTGGTGCCACCCCAGAGGAACGAATTCTTGTCCAGACCCTCAGGCTCGATGCGCGCATCGCCAGGTCGCAATTGTACGGATTCCTTGAGCACCGGTGTGCTCTCTCCCGAAAGCATAGCCTCGTTGACGATGGCGGAACCCTCGAGTAGGAGCATGTCGCATGCTACACCCGAGTCTTCCTTGGTCCTGCCTGCGCTGACGACATCGCCGGGTAGCAGCTTGTCGCTCATAACCTCCTGCCACTTCTTCTGCCTGTATACATAGATTTCGTATGGCTTGATGCTCATGCCGCGGAACTCAGTCAGGGTTCTTTGTCTCTGCCACACAACGGTGCTCTCGAAAGCGACCAGCATGAACAGGGTGAACAGCGAGTAGTACCAGTATTCATCCAACATCCACAGTCCAACGCAGAAGATCTGGAAGACGAAGAAGGGCGCAACGGCGTGTTCCTTGAACAACTCGGTGAAGGTTGGGACGGGGATGTCGAATTCGTTTGTGCCATAGTGTTGTGCGATGCGCTCAATCTCAGCGGGCGAGGCGAGGCCTTGGGTCTGCTGGAACGTCTTGAGCTGGGGCTTGGGTTCGACATCGAGGGGGTAGGAGAGCGGGGCGAAGGAATTCTTGTCGGCGTCGTAGAGGAAACGTCGCTTCTGGAAGAGGAACGAGAGGTTCGGCTTTCCACCAACGTTGTCGCGCACCAATGGCACAATCTCAGCGGCGCCGGCATTCTTGATCGGCTGGACTTTGATGAGCGATGCAGAACGCACGTCGCCGGCCGAGGTGGTGGTGAATGCGCTCTTGAGGTTAACGTTCCAGTGCGTCATGAGCCAGAACAGCGACTGGAAGGTGGTGATGCTGGCAATCCACACAAAAGTCCATTCCGACGACTGAATGTACTGCTCGTAGCGCTGCGGCGAAAAGTATATGGCGGAGAAGGCCGGCCATATTATTAAAAATGGCCAGATGTAGGTGTGCAGCTGCAGCGGCAGCGGGTTATGCAGGCTGGCCTGCTTGATCTGGGGGTTGTCGACAAGCGGGGCCATGGTTGTGGTTGTCGTGTCCAGACGAACGTCAGTCCTCGAAGATTATCAGAGTCCCTTTGCCATCGCGCCCGCCGCCGCCGTCGTCGGCGCTAGTGCGCCCGATGCACGTGTGGTGGAACATTCACGAACATGGGTTGCATGCGGACTAGCGTCGCCCGTCATTGGTCCGTCTTTTCTAACTACTTCCAGTCACCTCTGCCCAAATGCCATCAATCCTATCATCGAAAAATGAGTCTGTCCATGCCACGCGCCGCATTTCGTGCTCGAGGTGCTCTCTGCTGCCGATATTCATTTCCTTGCACACACCCGAGAGTTGTGTGGTCCACCACGTTCGCTCTGCATCTGTCGCAATAGAACATGCCATGACCAGAGCCCAAAGCAACATGTTGAGATTCTTCTCGCGTTTCCATGTTTCTAGCACTGATGTATTTGGTCGATCTATAGCTGTGCGCAGTCGCCGCAGAAGGATAGCGAATATCTTAGTGTTCAGTGGTAGCGCTCGCAGTACCGCATAAATGAAGATGAGAGCTGCTGCGAGTAGGGTTTCAACTACACTCGCTGCATCTGCTCTATGTTTCTGGGACTTGTTACATTCATTGTTGTTGTCCTGCACGCTCTGGTCGAATTTGAGAAAGTCCTGCGAGCGATCGGGTACTGAAAGGAGAATGAACTGAGTAGTGTAGAGAAGATTACTTAGAGCCACGCGTGCAACACGGCCTGTCCAGTGCGACGATGTTGCAAGCGCGAGTCGGTGTAGTCGATGGAAGATATCGAAGCAATCGATAGCAGCACAAGATAATTGAAGCAGAGAGGTTGGTGATGTGTATGTTGCCTCGTCATGCAGCTTGTCTGGAAGAGGTGCATCTGGCCCCAGCCACACGTGCGGAAAGAACGGGGTTGTACGGGAAGCTGCTGCGGCGTGAAGATCTACCCTATCGTATTTATTAGCAAGTAGTCAAACTTGAAGGGGTTTGAGCTTACCATAATATACCTCGCGTCAAGCCATCATTCTTTCCAAAAGCAAGTATCCCGCCTCGCTCTTCGACCATAACTCTCAATGCGGTGAGGTGAAGTTGAGCTACATCGTAAGCTCCAGTCAGATTCTGAGATAGTCAGTATCTATCCTTCCATGCAATCCATCTACTAAATTGGGCGCTTACCTCGAGATTCGCCAGTGTCAGGACCGTGCCAACAATATCGTCAGATACGTTCGCCCGACACATTGCAAGTTTATAGGTCACGTTTCGGACTGCTTCGTTTTTGTGCTCGAGTTCGCACACCCGCAGATCATGAGACTTATTCACAAGCATGCCGTATAGCGCCCAGCTTGCCAGAGTAGCATGTAGCAAGCCAGCGTCATTCAAGATAAAGGAGCTCCATGTGTGCGTAGCATCAGGGCCGACAGAATTGTTCTTGGGGGAATCTTTGTCTAGAGTCAGTGTTAGCCTATCTGTACATCTCAGAAAGCTTTGTCCTCGTCGGCTAGGTATCCGTCATGGACTTTGTACGTACACAATCGGAAGAGCGCATTTAGCTGTGGCGTTTCTGGCATCGGTAGAGCGCCAAAGGGATCTGTATGATAGATATTGAGGTCGGCCTTTAGCACTGGTCTTTCGTGTGCTGGCTCACTTGTGTTTCTTATACTGGCACTGTGTTTTGTCACATTGGAATTACCTATCCCGCTGTCTTCGGCACCGATCTTTGAGGACAGCGGTGTAGGACCAGATCTTGTTCTCTGAACCTGCGGTCTTTTCTTTCTCCGTTTATTGTTATTGTATAGGTATTCCCTTTGCCTGCTCAAAGTCTTCTTCTTCTCGTTTCCCGGTTCAGATAACCGGAAACGGCTCTTCAGCTGCTTCTCCGCCACGACTGTGCTCGTCGAACTATGTTCAGGCACGTTGAACTGTGGCCCAGCCATCTTCGTATCGAAGTAGTTCCGCATCACTAACCGGCGGATCGCGCTTCGTTCCATGCCGGCTGGCTGATGTGGCTCGTCTGTCGTCACGAAGAACTCGTACTTGCGCTCCGTAGAAGTAACCATCTTGTACTTTAGTAATCAACTATTTGGTGGAGTCGTGGTCTGAAGCAGAGTATGGGATTAAGATTCAGTATTTCCGGTGATGTGTATAACGATATCTCTTGGATTTCGTTGCAGAGACTATGGCTCTATACATATAACTGTTGCCGTGTATCAGCGTTGCAATGTTTTCACCTCTGATTGCCACACGTCGACCTACGTAACTATGAGTCGTCGCATCGTCGGCCGAAGTAGCGGCCTACGTTCGGGTCCTGTCTCGCCCGAGAGTATTTCAGTCCATGACATTCCTATGGATGATTATATAAGGCCAGGGCTGATTACAGCAGCGGGGTTGATTCGCGAGGCAGTAGGCCATTGGACAGCGGCAACATGCATCCTACGCCTCGTGTGTGATTAGCCTCAGGCGTGTGCCGACGTATAAAGCTTCGCTATGCGGCTGAATTTATGACAGCTGGGGCCGAAACTCGTGTCTCGGTAACGATACCCATGGTTGCAGGATGCGGGAGATCGTGATGTGGTAATCCGCTCGGTAGAAGGTGCGCGCTCATGCAGCCCTACCACGAGTCAAGACCGATAGCGCTGCTGTGTCAGCAATTTCACCTGCCAAATTTGTGATGCATGTAATTATTGCTGCTTCGATCTTGATCCGGAAATTTAGAGACTCCGTCATTGTGAAGATCCTGTGATATCGGTAGCTGAGCAAGTGGTTCTCCAACGTGTGATGATGATGACGGCCCCAATGCTAGTATTCTAAAAACAGCGCACCCATCAACACCTGGGGAGACTTCGCAACCACCACTTCACATATCCACGCTACCGATGCCCATCCATCATACTAGTTTCCATGGTAACATGCGTCTTTAAGGTTTCATTTCCAAAGCTTTAGAAGTAAATAGAATCGTAAAAGGTAGTTCTCTATATCCTTTTTTTTTAAAAAAAAATTAAAAAATTCATCCTATGTTGTTAGTAGGTAACGGAGATGAGGAAGAGATGAAGATTTCTATATTCCTGAACTAGAGCGCGTAGTAGGCGCCATTCTGGTACATGAAGATTCACTCTACGTGTATGCCTGGTATCGCGTCGTGTGTTCCAGGATATCCAGGTTGCCGAGGAAGTTGTTCATGAGTATCATGCGCGTTTGGGCTGATGCCGCTGTATAACTAAAGTCCACATCTCACTTATGGAACTAAAAAGACGTAGACATCGTCTTGACCTACTCCGAGCTCAACCTTGGGATTTCATGTCGATACTGGACTATAGACGATCATTTGTTCTTAGTAGATGGGATTGGTGCGTGGGAAGCGCACACTGTGACCACCTGCCGATGTATTGTTACTTTCTGGTAGTAATTGCTCGTTTGGATTTGATACACAGTAGGTCCCTGTACCTCCTCCTCGATCTGTTGCTCGTCCCTTTCCTGATTCTGGATTATTGACCCTCTTCCTGATCTTGGATTGTTAACTCCTTCCGTTCTCACTGCCTTTGGACCTTGCTTCTTACGACAACCACCGTCACTGCTCAGCCAGTACTAGTGCCCTGCTGTTGCGCTATGTATAAAGTCCACCCGCTGCTCGCATTCTTCCATCTCTTCTTCACACCAATCCACAACCACTTCCATCCATGCAATGCCATTCAGCCTTTGCTTTTACCTTCTTTCTTGATCATCTTGATCCCTTTCTCATCTCTTTCTCTCTGATATGGCCACCCTCCCATCGGGATCTTGTACACATCGACGCACATCACCATTGCTCATTGCCTCCCTGCATCGGCGTGCACGCTAACGCTATCTCTTCGACGACCATACATTCCAACGTCTGACTGAGACCATGCTCTCGTTAGTCACTTGATCGCACGGGCAGAGTGCACTGTCATGGTAGCATGTCTTCTGGACTTGAGCAGGTGAGACCTTTTCCGCCGCCTAGTGCGTGTAACTTGCACCGATGGGGAGTACCGGGCAGCGAATGGTGATGCACCAGGAGCGGATGTTCGACTCGTCACCGACCGGAGGGGACTGGTAATTGAATTTGGTCGAGGTTTTTGGCTTCGGCATTCCTCTTCCCGCACTCACGCAGTCGCATGCTGACGAAAGGAAACTTTCGCGTCTCACAGATATTTCCAAGTCCAGTATTGCGTTTGCATCGGCAGATGTTCATCATTGCTCGGGCTGAACGACCCCTATACACACGACTTCATACTATTCCTCCTCGTCTCGTTTCGTCTCCGGCGTGGTCCGCATCATCGCGTTTTCATACAACCGCTTCATGGGCATCTCTATGCATTCTGCTGGTTTCCGCGTCTTATACACGGTCCGAGTCGGCTCGGCTTCTATACACCAGTGTATATGGCAAGGTTTGGGGGTTTGGAGGTCTGGAGATTGGGCTGCCTGATTCTTTTTTTTTTCGTCAGTTGGTTGTTCTAGGTCTGCGGCGCTTGAGAGAGGAGTATGTATTTAAGTTAAGTGCAACTCAGGCTCACCTGTCTCATCCATCTTGAATATACCTGACGATTCTCTTCTTGTCATGGGTCTCAAATGCGAGCTATCCTGTCTCATTTCTTCCTCATGGCCCACTCTGTTCCTGCCCTCGTCGCTTCCTCCACCTTCTTCGTTATCGCCTGCCGCCCCGGCATTTTTGGACATGATTCGTCGTTCGTGACGGCGACGGTACGCCCTTTTCTTCCCCTGGAGGGCCATCATTTTCACTCTTGCTGCCTCCAAATTAAAACTTTCTTCCCCGTCTTCTGAGATTGAGACTTGGACATCGTATCGCGACAGTTTTTTTGCACTCGCCAGGACTCTTTTGATCATCGAGCGGTCCTCCGGGCTCACCACAGATTCGAGACTCTCCGATCCGTGAGCTTGGTGATACTGGATCAGTGCAACCACCGATGGCAAAGTGCAGAACACCGTGACACTCTGTACCTTGATGCGCATGGTTGTACATCGTCGTCTGAGTGTTTTTCTTGCTAGTCCCATGGCAAGTATGAGCGCGTACATATGAGCTCTTTCGTACGTCTTGACGTTATTGGCTCCGTACTGGCCTCGCTCGATGCCGTGTTTTTGCTCCTCGACTGGTAGAATGCAGGACCGAGCTGCGCCTATCGCCGCATGTTGGATGATACCGATACCAACGCCCGCTTTACGACAAAAGTCGACCGATGTGTGCAGGACTAGGGAAATTTGATCGGCGACTGGTAGGACATTGCTGAGTTCGGACATCTCGGGAAGAGAAAGATGTACAAGAAGGCTTAGGTGGGTTTGTATGGTAATCTTGTAGATGGAACGCAAAGATCCCGATGGGTATGAGATTTGAAAGTGATGTTGATGATATGTCGTTGGCTTTTTTGATGGTTGCAGAGGTTGGGAGGCACTGGGAAAAGGGTCGTGGGTTACGCGATCTCAGTCCCGCTTGTGTTTCCATGGTTGACGTGTAGCCGCTTAGGAGCATCAACGCTGAGTAGGCCACTATAGCCTGGGCGGGGTCTGTTGGACAGCTGTTTCGTTGAGTATTCGAAATGGATGATACCGATATCTAGACATGGTTGCATGTGGGTACGCCAAAGCACAAAACCTATGACCGTTGCTCTACAGACCTCATGCTCCAGCGATCCCAAAGGCAACAACATATTTATACTTGTGATTGCATGTTGAGCATAGGCGATCTCTCCAAACGTGCATCGCTAGCTTAGCCTTTAGCTGTCTGCAACAGCGCTCATTGTAAAGGTGATAGAGATCGTAGAGAATAGCGTTGCGCAAGATAGTAGATCAACCAGTACAAGAGGTGGGTGTTGATACTTAGATGGCGGTGGCGATTCCTCTCCCTAGTACATATACTGCGGGGTTGGCTTGGCTATCTCCGCGTCTTGCTAGCCAAATTAATACATCTACTCGACAAGGAACTGAAGTAGTTATATTTATACTTTTTATAGCTCTGGAACCTCTGAAGGTGGACATAGGTGTTGAATTTTTTGGAAATACACTCCTTGCTATACGAGGCAGAAGAACCCTACCTATTTAGAACTAGTTCTTTGAGCTCTTCGATCTTACAACTCAACTTTGGTGTTTACAATTGATAAGATTAAATTCTGTAGGTAAGCGCTAGAATATCTACAGGTCCACAGGAATACAAAGAAAGTCATGTCAGACTCTCTGTCACGTGAATCAGGAACTCGTACGATTCAACTTTAGATTTCGGGGATATCTCTACTGTACGTTGAACACCTTGCGGACCAACGCCTCTACAATCACGACCTTATCGTCACACCTTCAACGCCAAAGCCGACCCCAAAGCTCTTCATGCCACTATTTTCCCTTGTCCTCCCTCAGACTGACGATCTGGTTCAGCACAATTTTCTCCTCTGTGGAATCAATATCGACACAGAAGTAAGCCGTGCGCAGCGCCTGGAAGCGCACAAGGGCATCTGACGAACCGCTCAAATCCAGGGAGGTCTGGCTGATGAGGTCCTTGATTCCCCGCTCGATGACAGCCTTGTCATGGATGATCTCCGAGTTCGGGTTCAGGTCGTCAGCCCAGCCACCTGTTTTCCAGTCTAGTGTGTTGGGTGATTCGGTCTTGAAGAGGGAGCTGTACAGACGCGCTGTGACCGGAACGGCTGTCGCAGCATCGACCCACTGAATGTAGGCTTTGGGCTTCTCAGTGCCGGGCACCTTGGTAGCCTTGATCTCGGTGACGTTACCGTTATCATCCTTGGAGAATGATGTCGCACGAATCGCGAAAGGGACGTTGTATAGACCAACAGCCTTGTTGGGTGCCAGACGGAAGTAATCGGCGCTGTCCTCCTCTCTGAAGTCGCTGCGGTCTATGTAAACCGCGCTACCAATCTTGACCTTCCGCTCACCGGGTATAGCACCCTTAGGATCGTACGGCACGGTCATCTCTTGCTCATCTTCAGTTGCGAAGTCTTCGATGACTACTTTAATGGGGTCTAGCACCATCATCTGACGCGGCACAGTTCGTTCGAGGTGTTTTCGGATGGAGGCTTCGAAACGTGCAGGTTCGACCTCGGAGAGTGCATCTGTGACGCCGAGCTCGTCGACGAAGCTGAGCATGGCCTTGGCTGGAATACCGCGGCGGCGTAAAGCGACCATGGTGAACAAGCGGGGGTCGTCCCATCCTCGTACCACCCCTGGTATCTTGCGCGTCTCCACTGTGCCATCCGCGTTCTTCTTTTCGACGGTTGTGCCTTCGACGAGTTGGAGGATGCGTCGCTTCGAGAGGATGGTGCCGCCAACACTGAGACGTCCGAACCTGCGCGCGTTAGTTGGAAATGGCTTTCAAATGGGAGTTGTTACGTACTCTCTTTGCATAGGGCCCTTCTCGTCTGACTTGGGCAGTTTCATGTCCAACTTCTCCAGCAGCCAGTCGTAAGAGACACGCGATTGACGGAACTCAACCGTACACAACGAATGAGTAACACCCTCCAGCGCATCGCAGATACAGTGTGTAAAGTCGTAGGTAGGGTAGATTCTCCACTTGTCACCGGTTCGGTGATGGTGGTTCTCCTTAACAACGCGGTACGCGGGCAGGTCCCACATCTGGGGGTTGCCCTCGTCGGGGTCTGTGAGCTTCTGCTTCATGCGCAAGAAAGCCTCCCCAGCCTGGTATTTGCCATCGCGCATCGCCCGAAACTCGGTAATAGACTCTTCGATTGGTCGGTCGCGGTGGGCGCAGCCATAGCGCTTGCCTCGATTGTCGGGTCCTCCACGCTGGTTGTTGATCTCCTCGCCTGTGTGATTGTTAATCCTGTAAGAGCAGTTAAACATATGTAGACTTACGTGAGCAGTGGCACACATAGGCACAGTCCTTGTTGATGAGTTGCTCTGCAAGCTCGTAAAGCTTGTCGAAGTTGTCGCTGCTGTATGTGATCTTGGAGGGCTCGAAGCCTAGCCATTTGACAATATCCAAGATGGCAGTGAAGTAGACTTCGTCCTCCTTCTCCGGGTTGGTATCGTCGTAACGTAGGTTGCACTTGCCATTGTGATGCTTCGCAAAACCGAAGTCGACAGCGATAGCCTTGGCGTGTCCGATATGGAGGTAGCCATTGGGCTCGGGCGGGAATCGGGTCTGGACGTCTTGGACGGGCTTCTCTTCGTAGATGCGCTTCAGCCAGCCTTCGGAGAAGATGCTCGTCGGTTCGCTCTTTGTAGTAGGTTTCGCTTGCTCCTTGGGACGCAGAGCATGCTCGGCTTTTTTGGCTTTTGCCGCCGCTTTCTTTGCGGCTTTCTCGAGCGCGCGCTTGGAAGGGCCCTTCTCCTCCTCAGCGGCGGGCGGTGCAGTTGCTGTAGGTTCAGCCATCTCTACGTGGTGTTAGTACGTTTAAGGATGAGTTATGTGCTTCACAACCAACATGTACACTGCTATATAGGCAATGACGCGTGGGATTCTGTGACTTACTAGAAAAGTGTCGAGGTTGTGGAGCTCGTGTGCAGTCGGAGGGGCTCCATCAACAACTTTGGAGGGGCATTGAGTCAATCGCGCTGCACCAGCCACAAACGCCACACCTCACCGGCACCTTCCTTTCCGGCCAGCTGCAACTCTTTCACAACACTCCTTGCCTCGAGCCTTGCTTGAACCATGACCCTCTGCAACTCACTCTGTCGCTTGCTTCACACCGTTGGCAACGACGTCCTGGTATCGATTAACGCGTCCCTGACGCGACATGGTACCTTCACGATAACAAATCTCCGACCTGAACTTCCCACAGCCCAACTGGTCGACTATGTCTAACACATGGCAAACGAACAGAGAGCAGCCAGCATTGGATCAAGGCACGACAGCTCTGCGAGACCAGACCTCGAGACACAACAAAGTGGTTTCAGAGCGTTGGAACCATTCCGATAGCGTAAACACCAGATCATTCAACAAAGAGCTCTGTAACACCATGCGAGCAGAGAATCGCAATAGAAAAGCACATCCAAGCCTGCTACGCGTTAATTCATCTTTCTTTGCTAACGTTGTCTTGAACCTAACTTAGAATTCAGTATGCTTATTCGCTCCTTCTACCGCAGCTTCACGTCTGCCTGTCGTGCATGCCTTCATTCAAGACTCACAAAGAGGATGGAAGGCACAGCTTATGTGACTACTACTTCAATGTCGATTCGTGAAGCTTGCAAGCTACCAAAACTCAACAATCGACGCTCGACTCCTGGTCCACACCCAATCCTTACCCCCTACCAGTATCCTATGTTCAGAAGACTGCCGTCTTTTTGTCGCTCAGCCCTTCGCTCAGGTTTTCTCGCTCGCTTTTCGAACGCAGCTTTTCCATCTATGGTTACTACAAGGGCTCAAAGCTACACTTCTGACTCAGCTACTCGACACCAAAGCGGACTAGAGTCAACGACAAAGTCGCTCGACGGACGACGCGCAAGATGGGCGGGTCTACTTAGCGAAAAGCACTACGAATCTCTCATTTCCGAAGTACTCGATGCCGAAATGCCCAAATATGAGAAGAGTACTGTCATCAACGCAACAGACCGGGTGACGCACAAACGCGAATGCCTCCAGATCCTGGCTTCTGCACCCTCGGTCCTAGCATCGGCAGTCAAAGGCGACCTTGTGCGCGGGATGCAGGTTGATCCTAGCCTGCAACAAGAACATGTTGCGATTTGGGAAAGAGCGTGGAAGCAACCATCCATATACATACATCTGTTAGCTGACCGCGACGGTAATGCGCCAACGCCTAATTAACTTCTCATCATCTGCGACTTTGTGGACGACTACTTATCTCAAGGTAAAGCCTCGGAACATGCATGGCACATAGATAAGATCTCTCGCCCATCAGTAGCACAACACCAGTCTGCAAAGGGCTATCGTAAGTATCTTCAAAGAAGAAGTCGCTCAGAGAAGCGTGTCGAAACTCTAGAGCTCTTCTGCCAGGGCATCCGGAAACGTTGTGACGAAACACCACCATCATTACGCGACACACCCCTCCAGTATCCTCCCAGTGAATGCGGGTATTCGATAAACTCACCTGAGCGTGTAGCAAAGCACCGTGCACGCCAATCATCAAATTATGTCATGAATCTCGTCGAGGACATCTGTAAACATCTCTACGACGTCGGGATATTTGCACAGCATTTTACCATGCACCAGTTCATCATCTACCTTATTTTCCGACAAGAACAGGCGAGTATAGCGGAGATCTTCATATCTGGACTACTCCAAGTCTGCGTCAAAGACGGCAGCGGCTTCAACGCATATCTCGCTGGGCACAGCACATCAAGCGCTAGGAAAGTTACCGACGCGGAATGGACTTCTCATGAAAGAACCACTAAGCTTGACTCTCCTTTGATGGAAAACATGAGGCAGCAGCAGCTTAGAGCAGACGAGTGGCAGCGCGCGCTGGCGCTGGCTGATGTCGAAGCTTTGGACGAGAATCTGGTAGGTGGTTCTACAGACGAAGCAGAGTGCATGTAAGCTGAATTATCCGGGCTGGCTGAAAACCATGAACTGACATTGTAATTTTAGTGCTCAGCTTTAGCAGCTAACTATACGATCTAGGACTATTGACCGTCGCATCTAGAGCGGCATGTATTTATCCTATTACATTCTATCAACTTTTACTAACAGGAATTTTCTTCTCTCCAAAAGGTCATGATGTTCGTATATTGCGCGGCGTATGAGTTTGCGAGGTGATCCACTTCATACCACTCGATTACAGACCCCTAATCTCATACTATAGGGTCCAAGGTGGCCACTATTCACAACCGAGCACAGAACCATGGTAGATACGGCCACACCTAGTATATCACATCTCCATATTTTCAGCTCGCCTGCATATCTCAAGTCGACACTACAGCCTCCTTGCATTCATTGTCATCATTGTCCATCATGTCTCTGTAAGTCATCAAATCTGACTGTACCACCACCTTATTTTTCCAAATCTTTCTTGCCTCAACGTACTCGCAAAATGTTCACCACATTTTGAATTCACGTTGAAAATGTGAAACGCCGAAAAGACCTTTGGGACACATCAAATTCACAAGAAAATTTTGGAAGATACAGAGAGATATTTTCACATGTTGACATCGTGACTAATAATGCGCAGGTCTGTTCAACAACCGCGATCAGATCAGGCCGCTCTCCTTAAGAATCGTTACACCATCCCCAACCACCTCCATATCTTCGTCGCTCGACCAAACGTGCACGACATATCTTCATTGCAGCAGTTCAACTACGATGCGCTCAACAGGTCGACAATCGAAGCACACTTCCAGCAAAACGTTGCATCCAGGTTTATCTCTCTATACGAGAGCAAAAAAACCGCCTCAAGAAAGCGCCCTCATATTGTGAAAGTTAGAGAAGAAACCCCTTCGTGTGAAGCTATCGTAGTAGACGTAGATACAAGCGGGATGGTACCTGCCTGGATGAGTATGGGAAATGGTGTGCACATCCCGGTCTGGTTTGAGGAAGACATCCGAGAGACGGAAGAAGGTCACCACAAAGAGGTGTTGTGGTTTTGCCTCGAGGAGGTGAAAAAAGTGCTTTCGATGGACGTCAATCTGGGAGAGAAGGGCGAATGGCTTGCTTGCGGTTACATCCCCCAAAGCAGGGTGATTATACACAGCGCATCGTCGAATTCAGAACCTCTGCAAAGGGTATCAAACGACGAAGAGGGATATGAGACTGATAGACAAGCACGCTGCGAGCGCATTCGCGTCGAAAACGAAAGGCTTCAACTCGACCATAAACGGCTTGAGCATATGGCCGAGAAGGCACAGTCCTCTTGTTCCGTCAAGGCGCCTCCTTCTATTCCGACTCGGAAGAGCTCCCTAGGCTCACTGGCCTGCAAGGACACCGGCGAGCGCAAGAAGGAAGTCAGTGCAGGTTCCAAAATAAGCTGCAAAACACGCAATGTGCGAATTACTGTAACAAACGCAGACCCACATAGCGCAGCGTCGCTCATGAAATATGCCATATTGATGGCGCATGGAAGGAAGACGGAGGGTAAAGAGACATGGCATGCAGAGGCGACATCATTGGCTGGAGATTCAAATCGATCAGAAAGCATACTGATGATCGAGAATGAGATACCTAATGAGAAACGAAGCGGTTTTACAGCCCGTCATGTTGGAACCCCCATGACACCGCCAGCTTCGCCAAAAGAACGGTCTAGACAGCTGGATACGCTTGATAGGAGACGCCGCGGAAATGGAAAGGATCTAACGCTACGTCACGAACTTGCTCAGCGTGACGATGGACAGTGTCTGGAGGAAGAGTCAAGGAGTCTACATCGATCCGCCGCTCCATCGCCTTCTCATTCGATGTTGAAGTCCCATCACGAAAGTGGTAATGCAGCTTCGTTTCAAGATCGCCGTTCACGCCGGGACTTGCTCATTGAGCTACAATCAGACCAGGACTCCGTACTTCGGGAGTACGCGCAAGTCAGCCTACAAGATCCCATCATCCTCCAAAAAATACAGGATTATTCTCGTCCTGGTAGTACCAGCTACGATGCAGAAAGTCGAACACACAATCAGAAGGATAACCAATCCCCCATCTCCCTTCGCAACCGTTTCACGGCCTCAACACCATCTTTTCTGGTACCAGCTCATCACCCACGCTCCAACCACGACACCCAGAATAAAGGTCGTGATCCGCCTCGGGTCGAACCACCGGCTCCATCTTCCCACTCCGCCACGACCAGTCTCTCTTCCCTCTCGGATTCCGAGCATGCTTCCATTGGAAGAGCCGTTTACGCCTCCATCGAACCCGCCTCTCATATCAACAGAGTCGACAATGTTCGGAGCGGTCAGAAGTCAGAACCTGGCTTGAGGTCAGACTCGTCTGACAGGCAATGGGGTGCTCAAAGTAGTCCTGAACCTCGATTTCCGGAACCACAAGCAGACGCGGTACTAGAGCCCTTCCCAGCTCTCAATCCGTGGGCACAACCGGAACAACCAGAGGGAGAAGCGAATTTGCCTCCACAAACAATGCCGACCCCAACCGTCTTTCCTGCAGTGTCTGCTCCGAACACAACGCCAGCACCAGTGCCCTCAAAAGGCGAGGCTTTTCTGGCCAGAGCGAAATGCCTAGGCGAGAAGGGCAGAGAAATAACGAGTCGGATAGCAGAGATCAAGGAACGTCAACATAAATTCGAGGCGAAGAAAGACAAGTGGTGGTTGAGTAAGTGGAGATCAGGCGAGAAGAGGAAGGATGGAAACAAGCGGTTAGGTGACCAAAATGAATCAAGTTGATATAAAAGTAGGCTAAGGAGAGACAAGAACTGGCTAAAATCTACGAACGTCCATGAAGCTATATATGGATGATGAATGAGGTTTCCCTATTGGCAACCTTTATCATACCGTCAACCCTTATTATCGAAGATCCAACCCAAATGATCTTTCACATCACACTACCCTGGTAAACATCAGAAGATCGGTATTGCATATAGGATGCTAGCCGTGATATCCGATATTGACGTTCATCGACGATCCCTACCCCAAGATGAGCGCATCTTCCAACCCCACACATTCAGCCCTGATCGTCCGCGTCCGTCTCATGCCAAGCCCGTGGAGTACACGGCCACAGTGGCTGGAACCGACAACCAATGAGTTGTGATTGTGGCGGTGTCTGCTAGCTGAGCCAGTGCCAATGTTGCCAAGTCGTAGAACAAGATCTCGACCTTTTCGCACAGCTGAAGCTTGACCTGTTCTGGGCCTTGTCCCTGATCCATACATCTGAAGCTTGAATCGCAGGCGAATTACGGTTTGTCCTAGTCGACGATCCGATCTATGCGCTGATTATCTGGTCACCGACACCTATCTAAAACCACCATTTGTGAACTACGCACAGGCATCCAGGCAGATTTGGCAGCTTTTACACATCGTGGTGCCGCATTTGGCAGGATTCGGTACATGCTGGACTAAGTCGCACAGAGGTCTCGTTCGTACGGCAAGAACAACAACTCGCCGAGGCAGAAGCAATCACGGCTCAGCTACTCATCTCCATCCCGCATCGCATAGAGAGTAAGCCCGCAGAGAGACCCTGCCAAGACGGGAGGCATCTTAATAGAGGCTATGCTTCACCATTCCCGCTACGTGAGCGCGTTCGATTGGAGTCACGTATTTTAGCCTTGCCATTTACAGCATCGCCATAACTGACGGACGGCGCCACCCAGAGATTGTAAACGCCAGACCTAGATTCCAGACTTTGATAGGTTGGTGGAATGCAGGAGAAACGGTCAGGGATAGGGGCACGCGACACGTTATGAAGTGCTCGCGTGTCGCAACCTTGAACGCGAAAAATCGTTGAACTCGACCTTCATTTCTATCTTTTTCACAGGCGACGATATCTCGTGATGGCGGAGAAGATGCAAAGCACGGCAAACGTGTCGAACGGCACGAATGGTGCATCGACCAGGCCGCCACTAAAAAAGCAAGACAGTGACAAGGACTTTGATGATTATTTTGTATGTCTTTATTGGTGACTACTTGAATAGTCACTAACAGAAATCAGATTGGACCGCGCGACCTCGATCACCATTCGAAATGGCCTGTCTTCCTCCGCGTCCACGGCAGTGTTACACCAGAAATGGTGCTGCCTCTGCTATTTGTAGCTGGCTGGGCAACCATGATTACGCTTATATCGAAGTTTGTTCACGACCGTATGCGTTACACCTACTCTCCTAGCATGGATCATGTATTGATAGCCTCCAGTTAGTGTAAACCAGCTCCTGCTTACGGTTCTTGGTTTTGTCGTCGGTCTGGCACTAAGCTTCAGAAGCTCCACTGCCTACGAGCGATACAATGACGGCCGTAAATACTGGGCACAACTCGCTTTCCAGTCCCAGAATCTTGCTCGCCTTATCTGGGTTCACGTCGATGAACGACATGAAAAAGACGCTGAGCTCGGCAAACAAGATCTTCTCGCCAAGATCAATTGTCTCAACTTGATCGCCGCCTATGCAGTCGCACTCAAGCACAAGCTCCGGTTCGAGCCTGGCGTCCATTACGATGACCTAAAGCACCTCGTCGGCCACTTGGACACCTTTGCACGCGATGCTGATCAGCCAGAAGCCAATAAGCCAGGTATATTCAAGACGGCAGGACAGTTCCTCGGGCTACCCATGGCCGAATCAAACCCACGCAAATTGCTGAAGCGCTCGCGTGTGCCACTCGGCAACCTTCCTCTGGAGATCCTCAACCACCTGAGTGTCTACATGAAGTCGATCTACGAAAACGGCACCTTCAAAGTTTCCATCTACCAAACGCAATCTCTCAACGCGCTCACAAGCTTCAATGATGTGCTTGCGGGGACTGAGCGGATCCTTTCCACTCCGCTCCCCTTGGCGTATAGCATTGCCATCAGTCAAATCGTAAGTGTCTCTGTACGGGCTACATATGAGGCATATACTAACTTTATACGCTTACTTTTAGACTTGGGTGTATATCCTTCTCCTGCCCTTCCAACTATACAAGCTCTTGGGATACATCACAATCCCCGCAAGCGTCTTTGCTGCCTACATTATCCTGGGCATCGCGCTCATCGGTCGCGAGATTGAAAATCCCTTTGGTACTGATGTGAATGACTTGCCGCTAGACGCATTCTGCCTGCAGATCAGGAAGGACGTGGATATCATCATGAGTAAAGCAGCGCCAAGCATCGAGCAAGTGGTCATGCACCCGGACAACCAGCTTCTCTATCCGTTGAGTAACGTGGGTAGTGCAGAATGGGCGGCGAAGAGTGTGGATGAGATTAGGGACGCGTTGGCGACCAAGCCTGGTCTGCATTTCCCGTTGGTCGAACACAACGAGCATCCGAAGCCCGGTCACTCGGTCAGTACGGGTGTTCGCCGGAGAACGACGAGTGATGATCGAGCTGAGATGGGCGAAGCCGGGCACAGCAGCGTAGCCGATGGTGGAGATTAAATGCGCATCGAGTGCGGACAAGAGCACTATGCTGACTGGAAATGAAAACATGAAATCTCATTTCTGAGGTCATCTGTAACCCCAGAAGCCTTGAATGACAGACTAAATCAACCGTGTTTTCTCGAAATTATCTTCCAGGAGTTCACTTGCGATTCGTTGCTTCCCTAGTCATCAAATTTCGATGCATCTGAGAAGAATGCGAGTGTTGTCTTCGGCCACGAACAAGGCGCGTTGCTAGCGTAGACTACAATAACTTTTTTTTGCTTAGCCCACTCATACCTTGGTCGCTCTGCGCGTTTCCGGCTTGGATGTAAAAAACCACTTGCGAGTCCGAGTTGCCAAAGGCAACAAGAATGCAGTCACCACTTGAGAGGCCAGCGAGATTCGATGCCGGCCAATTTTCGGACTTTCACCCACTACCATTCCCCCGATCCCCACAATTCAGCCCTACAACAACTCCTTCCCGGCCATCGCGCCCACACATCCCAAAACTTGTTAGTACCATTCCATCCCTTCCCAATACATTCCCTTGTGGAGCCGAATTACCCGAATCGGGTCCGCGCACGGCCCGTACATATCCTAATCGAGCAATGACGTGCCGAAAGTAGGTGGGCAAAGTTGGCAGTGGCGAGTCGAGTTGCAACAGTTGGGCTAGCAAAAGTTGGCACCGTTTTCAACACTTTGTTTGGAGAGTTACTGGATTGGGAATGTGGATGAAAATGACGGGATGACGACGAGGTTCGTGATTGTAGTGACGTTGGTGGTATGTGACGTCGGAAGTAAATGGTTGTGGTCGAGGCTAGTTGGATGCTAGATGACAGACGGAGGCGACGCGTGGTATTGTGATTGGGTAGGCTGGAGCATCATCGAAAAAATTACAGCATCGAGAATATGGGAAATTGCAATATTTTGTAACTCTTATTGCGAGGAATCATAGGTGCGCAGGTGGTAGCCCTTTCATTCTTCTGCTACATATACCATTATGGATATAATGTGAGACGTGGTGCTCACAAAAGGCCCGACGTGTCCCGCCCGAATCCCTACAACGCCGTTCTCCTTTGAGAACCTGTCACCCCTTTTACCGGCCTGGAGGCCATCGCCTGGGGCGTGCACAACATCTGAGGTATGCATGCAGGTCGTTGGAATAGTGACCCACGGTAGGTCATAACGACAGGCTCTTGTCCCAGTGGGGTGGCTCCTGCGTTTATCGCCTGTGGAGTTCATAGGTCCGTAGCGGCGCCATGAAAAATCGATATTGTGACCATGCCCTGTAATAGGGCCAGTCAAGGTTCTGGAAGACTACATCCCTGGAGCTTTTCACCCAGGCTGTGGACTAGCCATCCCTCCATTGTACGCACTTGCAAAGTCCAATTGTCCAAGTTGGCCGTTGATCTGGTCAATCTCTTTATTCAAGTCTTCCAGGTTCTGCGCCAGACTGGAAACTTCGTCAAATCTTCGGTGTTTGGTAGCGTCGGCAACCATCTCTGACACCATAAACTTCTGTTCCTCAAGCACAATCAGTCGTTCTCTCAGCTCCTTCTCTTCCGATTCCATTGCGGAAACCTCGCTACTGCTCACGACACTGCCGGCGGAGCGGTCGTTGTACTTGATAGAGGCGAGAGCACTGCCTCCGTTCGATCGGCCTTGCGGGGCAGCATGCTTTAGGATCTTCGGTAACGACCGTAAGGGCAACATGTGTAAGCTTAGAAAGCTGTAAGCTTGCTGGTATACTGCTCGCTGTAGCTTCTGTTGTGTCGGCGAGTCTGTAGGTAGGTCTCGTATTCGTTTCGCAGCCACATCGAATTGTGCGAAGCCATCCATCAAACGCTTCCGTACCTTGGTTGCGTCGGTCAACTGCTGCGGCGTAGGCGACTTGTCTGGATCCTGCAGCGCTTGCAATAGCTTGTGGAAGCGTGGAAGAAGTAGTCGAATGCCTCTTTCAAACTGAGCAAGGTTCTCGTAGGCGCGCTGGTCCTTGGGCTTGTCGGCTAGTTCGCGTTCAAAGTCGCCTCTAGCGAACAACGTGTGCTGGCAATCTTTGCACATTCGCACGTCGATGCTCATCTGAGTAGCATCCTTCTCGGTCTTTTGCGCACTGGCGTCGACATTAAGGCCTACCTCCGAGGAGCAGCCAGTCTTCGGATCGCTGCATACTACGCGCCCGCACAAGCGACAATGGGATCTCCTGAAGGTATATGTCGCAAATTCCTGTTGACAGAAGGGGCAGTTGGACACTTTGGCATCTTCCTCCCAAGTGATGATGGATTGCTCCAGAGCTTTCCGTTGGTTCTTGACGCCCGCCAGTGAGGAGAACCAGCCCCCGGTAGTCGGTGTTTCCTCTATCGGTGGTGGGTCTGCGAGGAGCTGCGTCAATTTTGTAAGGCGCTTCTCAAGCCTGCTAACCTCCATGCGCTCCCTGTCCACCCGTTTCCGTCTGATGTTGGTGAAGTCGTCGAAGTGGTCGCGCTCGACACCGTGGTGGTCGTTGTAGCCGTCTCTTGACTTGTAGCATGTCTCACACACCCGGCACCAGATGCCTCTGACAGGGTCATGCTTAGCCTGCCGCGACAGCTTCATCTGGTACATGGTGTGTTCCTCGCAGAACAGCCTTCCACACTGCCTGCAGTTCACTGCTGGCTGATTCCCACCCAGTGCCATTTGTGATGCGGTGATGGGTCTTGCGCAGACGGGATCTGAACACACATCGCGGTATCCCGGCCTCTGCCAATGTGCTCGCGTGACTTCCTCCTCCGGGTCTCGGCGCACGGGTGCGGGTTCGTAGGCAGCGTGGGCGGTCGAGCTGCTGGCAGAGTGGGAGATTGGAGGGGGCATAGGGGCATCGTTGGATTCGAAGACGTCGAGTCCTTTGAGCTTCTGGTTCAAGACGGCGAGGGGCTGGAACTTCTTCGCCTTGTGCATCTGCGCCTCGAACCAGTTCTTGACCTCATCCTGCTCCTCGACTACCAGGTTCTGGTGGTTGTCGTCGAGATGTCTAATAACACTAGTCAGGAATAGCATGTTGGGCTGGTGTGAGGGAGTGGTACCGGTTGAGTTGGAGTAATGTTACCTGCTACGTCAGAATCACTGTACATACTCGGCAGGTGCCATGAACCCACCATTTCCTCATTACATATCGGGCACACGAGTCTACTGGACGCGCTCGCCGCCGCATTTTCAGTCGGCCCAACCAGCACCTTGCTGCTGATGTCCTCCCGGGTCTCATGGGTGCTGGCTGGGCTGATGGACGTCTGCGAGCTCAGCGACACCGAGCTCTCCGAGGGCGATAGCAGGCTCGCATTGCGGCGATGGGCAGGTGCAGTTGCTGCTGGCTGCGGAAGTGGCGCAGCGGGCGACAGGTTCCTCCCGCTCCCCAGTACGCGACCGCCGCCCAGAGACCTGCGGGAGGTCATATTCGGGAGTGTCTTGTGGAGTCGTGAAAGTACATGGGCCAGGATGGGTAGGCTAGAGGCGTGGGTCTTGGGCGCGCCGTTACAGGACACGCTAAGGATGCATGTCCGTTCCGTCGTCGCAGTCGCACAATGGAGACATTGCTAGTGGCCGGCAGGGTAGGAGGCATTGCGTGATTAGACTCTGACGAGTAATCACATGCGATGAGAAAAACTCTATATACAGGCCAGCCCGGCGCGTCCTCTTTCTGCACGGCCTTGGCAATGACGCGGAACAGTCGACATGGCTATCTCCGGCCTGCCTCCTCCTTCTCCGCAACACTCTCCGCACCATGAAAGGACCCTACCCAGAGATCCAAGGCGGCGGCTCGTTGATTTTGGCATGGCAGATCCGCAATAAACGCGTCCTGGTAGTCGGCGGCGGCGAGGTATGTCACAGGCCTCATGGCTCCCTACAAAGTATTGACGGTTGACAAAAGTCTAGGTCGCCGCTGGTCGCATCGTCAACGTGCTCAATGCCGACGCCAAAATCACCGTCGTCTCTCCGCGCGACGGCCTCAACGAAGAAGTCGCCTACCGAATCGAACAGGGCCAAGTCGACTATGTCGACCGCAAGTTCGAGCCCCAGGATCTCGATGGCGTCGACATGGTCCTGACGGCCGTCGACGACCCGGAAGCCTCGTCGCAGATATACAAGCTGTGCAAGGAGAGGCGGATAGCAGCCAACATTGCCGACGTGCCGCCCGAGTGCGACTTCTACTTTGGCAGCGTCCACCGCGACGGGCCATTGCAGATCATGGTCAGCACAAACGGCAACGGCCCCAAGCTAGCCAACATCGTAAGGCGGCAGATAGCAGCCGGGCTCCCATACAACATCGGCAACGCTGTGCAAAGAGTCGGCATGCTGCGAAGGAAGCTGCGAAAGGTTGCTCCCAACATCGAGGAGGGTCCAAAGCGGATGCAGTGGTGCGTCATCTCCATCGCATCTTGAAGAACACAAGCTGACTCAGAATCTGCAGGATGTCAAAAGTTTGCGAACAATATTCGCTCGACGACCTTTGCGCCATGACCGAAGAAGACATGGAGATGCTCCTGGGCTTCTACAAGCCCAACACGGTCCCGTCGCTCGAACAAGTACGCCTGCAGGAAGAGGATGGAGCGTACGATGGGCCTTTCTTAATCTGATCGCATACATGGGTTCGGCGTTGGGTAGACAGCATAATGTAGGTGTAACCGGGAGCTGCGGCGACGCTATATCTCCGATTTTTTTGTATATCAATTGTACACTTTCCTACGCTCCTACCTATTCCATCTCATCTCAACCCTGTCGGCCAATTAGGTAGACTGGCCCGAGCGTCAGCTTTGCACTAATTTGCGGATCCACTGTTTCCATCACCAGAACACGGCACGACAATTCATGACACCCCAGTCAATTCAGTAGTCATGTCAGAAGACGGCACGAACCTCGCACAGCGCCCGCCATACGTCACCGTCGACTTCAAGGCCCTCGCGAAGAGCGATAAAGACTTCAAACAACTATGGCAGCGCACGTCGGGTAAACTAGATTTCCAAGATCCCAGTACTACCCAGGCCCTCTCCAAAACGATGTTAAGAGTAGACTTCGGTCTTGAACTTGACGTGCCAGATGATCGCCTATGTCCGCCAATCCCCAATCGCTGGAACTATGTGGCCTGGCTGCAAGGTCTAATCGACTCCACATCGCCAGACTACTCCAGCAGATATGATTCAAGTCGCCAGGTTCAGGGCTTGGACATTGGTACCGGAGCATCCGCTATATATACCTTGCTGTGCCTAAGATCACGTCCAAACTGGTCAATGTGCGCTACAGATATCGACAAGAAGAGCTTTGACTCCGCAGCCCGCAACCTTGCTCTCAACAATCTCATGACGCGTACCAAGTTACTCCAGACCACGGAGCTAAACCCTCTTATCCCTCTCGCAGCCCTCGGGGTTGATCGTCTCGACTTTACCATCTGTAATCCACCCTTCTTTAACGATGTGTCCGATATGCAGTCCAGCTTGAAGGGTGAGGGAAAGAGCTGGAAGCCCAACGCCGTATGTACAGGCTCAGAGAACGAAATGGTATGTTTCGGTGGTGATCTTGGTTTCGTGACGAAGATTGTCAATGAGAGTCTTGTCCTCAGAGAAAAGGTGCAGTGGTATACTAGTATGTTCGGCAAAATGGAAAGCGCAAAGACCATCATCAACCTCTTGAAGAAGCACGGCATCACAAATTGGGCGGTCGGTGATATCGATGTTGGGTCCAGCACCAAGCGATGGATCGTCGCGTGGAGCTTTGGAGACTTCAGGCCACGAAATGTAGGTGCTATCTAACACGTTTGAGCTACCAGTGGAATATGCTAACCGCATTCAGAGCCACGCACGAATCGAAAAGATGGCTAATGAGTTCCTGCCGTTCCCGACATCTTATCCCATCGCACTACCACCTTCAGTCGAGCCGCAGACAGCAAAAGACGCTATCAACACCCAGCTTTCATCGCTCGATCTAACCTGGATGTGGGACGCTGTTACATCGACTGGCATCGGCGAAGCAAGTCAAAACGTGTGGAGTCGCTCATATCGCCGCGCATACGAGCGTAAGCAAAGAGAAGGTCTCGTTGACATGAAGCAAGATCGAAAGATCGAGCTGGCATTTCGTATCCGGGTCGTGGAGTTGGCGCGTGAGGTAGTCGTTGAGTGGTTAAGAGGCACGGATCAGGTGTTGTGGGAGAGCTTGTGTGGGCTTATACACCGACATTTCAAGAAGACTTGAGCGTCAAAGATGTTGTTCTAGCCTCAGGGGGCGGGTATGTCGTCTCCGCATTTCCTGAATTTCTTACTGGTATACAGTAGCGCCATGCGTCAGCCGTCACATTTTACATGCCCGCTGCCATCACTTCACTCCAGGTTCAGCAAGGGAGCGAATCTTTTTCACCGAGTTCAGAAATCTCCCGTTTGAGTGGTACACGCGAAGATTGTGGTATTGTCACATCAGCATGTGTCAGCTTATCCTTGGCGCTGGTGATTCCAACCACCCAGATCAGGAATTTCATGCCACTGTTACATCCAAATAATCCAAAAGCATTCAAGTTACGTATGTCAATGTTCTGTCCTTGGTAGATCTCATCTCCAATGGACGTACTACGCCGCCTAAGTGACTGTGCCTCAATATCAGCCCGTTTCCGCCGTTGCAATGGATGGACTCCTTGCTTCTTATTGTTCAACTCTCCAGACATAAAGAACCAAGTTCCTTCCCTGTATCTACCTCTTCGTCCCAACTTTTCTTGTATTATCCTCCGAGGTATCCTACATATCTGCAAGCCTCATTCAGCTTTACCTCATTCTAGCCGAACATGCACGCCCGTTTTGCAACCATGATGCTCGCCACACTGGGCCTCATCAAGATCGCGTTCGCTGCTGCCACTCCTTCTGTCGTCGTTGAATGCGGTGCTGTCGCCCCGTGGAACACTTGTGTACAAGGCTGCCCTGGAACCTGCAAGCAGACAAGTAGCCATGTGTGGTGCGACTGTCCCTGGCAGCAAGGAGGTGGAGGCGCATGAGCGGTGAGTCAATTGTCAGTCAGGTTGCGAAGTCTGACTCATCTTGAATCCGTGCTGACCAATTAGAAGAAGAGCCGTGAGGGACGCGGAGGAGAATGAGTGTTGATGTTGAGTGTGGAGGGGGAGTGTCTGGACAAGAAATGCAAGACAGAGTAGCTTGAGTATGGAGCACGTCTCACATAACATGGCTCAGGTTGGAATCATCAGCTGACAATCTGCTTGTCTATAACAACATGTGAACACTCCTGTATTGTAGCAGAATATCTATCCCCACTCATGTTCCATCTTGCTCTACTTTTATGTCTGTCTCGCCGAACAACAGCGCACTGGACAACAGACGCAAAGTAATGATGCATCTGCATTCTTGTTTTCTTCTCTTTTCTCCTGCTCCTCGCCTCAATCATTGCTCAGCCCGGGGGCAGCATACTATCAGGTGTCACATGCGGCATCGTGCGTCTCACCAGCTACTGCATAGCAAACTGCCCTTGCTATTGCGTTGCCTCCGTTACAAATCCATCCTGGATTTATTTGGATTTGACAGTAAGCTCTATCATAAGAGTGTATTTGTTAGTAAGTCGAAGCAGCGAAGACACGGTGTCTCAATGGCTGATACTTTGGCAATTGGCTCTTCGACCAAATCTTTGGATTGGATGATGAAGAACGTGGTGGCTAGCACCTCCGACAAGAAAGCAGTGTCACCCGTATGCACGATAGCGAGGATTGAGGATTGTGCAAGGTCTGCCAAGTGCATGAATGTCTCTAATAAGTTCAGGCTTTGGTAGGAACTACCTAGGTACCTTGTCGAAGCTTGAGAAACATCTTCGTCTTTGGTTCGCGATGAGCACAAGGTCAGTGACTGATGTTTGTCAATTAGGTATCTTTCAAATTGATGATAGAGTAACATCATAGCATGGAAAGGGCTAAGGTTAGTATGGCGATGGTAACATTATGCCATTGTAAAGATATGATAAACATCATGATAGTCGAAATAGTAGTAAGGATCTAATAAAAATATGGTAAATTAATGAAAGACTGAGTTACGGTAGAAATTACAACGTCTTTATAATCCCCCAGAACTCATAAAAGCAGAACAATCTTAACGATAACACAACACACCCGTGCAGTGTTTGCTTAGGCACTAGCCTATTTGAGGCACCTGCATTGCATCCCTACAGCTGTCGTTCCTGCGAGATCATTACAACCATGAGTACTATGTACCAAACCACTAGAAACTAATTGCTGTCCTACAGAACCTTAGGCAGAATCTCTATTCTACCCTTATAAAACTGTTCTATCGTACCGTGCACCGTAGAAAAGCCAAAAGGCCTACGATAGGATAATTAAACCTAGGGATCTTGAAACAGGTTTTGAACCGCAGAACGGGAATGTTTATAAGATGTTGCTAGGAAGCTACATAGAAAATAGTTGACTTACCCTGTGAACAAGCATTGTCCTTAGACAAGTGACATATCCTCGCGAGGACCTTTCGAGGCTTTGGTCCATTTACAACGCTTGGTTCTGATACTCGGAAGAGTATTTTGAACAGTCTAGGTATTTATCCTAAACTACAACGTAGTTGCGTTGAGTCAGAACTACTATATGTTAGTATCGAGGCGTGGACATTGAGAGTTGAAGAAGAGTCAAAGAAGGTCAGTGAACATTTTTTTTTTCATCATTTAGGCCGGAGAAAACCGGAAAAAGGGTTCGTTGTATACTATGAGATTATTTCTCATTTCACAGATAACACGCAGGATGTGTGCCTGCGAGGCCATATCAATGGCAATCAGTACTTTCTTTGAATGACCAAGCCTTACGTTCCATGGTTTTGTATAGCCGCAATAGCCCATCTCCGCCTCCGCTCAAACGATAGGTTCATCCCAAAACATACTCTTGTCCATCTCCTCCGCCATACCCTTAGCCATTGGCGGCGCATCGAAATCCGGCTTCCTACCCGCACATAGTCCCTCCATCAGCCCGTCATCCCTGACGCCACCTCGTCCGGCGCCTCCCGCTCGTCCACCTCTAGCACCAGCTCGACCTCCTCTCTCAAAGCCTCTACCCCTACCACCGCTAAAATCCATCGGCGCCATACACTGCGGATTTGCCGCAGCTCTATTCTCGCGATGCAGCTGTCCGCCGTGTAAATCGCCCTTGAGCTCCTCGCGGCTGTCTACCTCGTCAGTGGTGTACTGAAACGTGTTCCAAGCATGAAGTTGGCTTTCGAGACCACGGGGCGCACGGCCGGCGCGGGTGATGACTGGTCGGTTGGCGTGCAGGGCAAAGTCGCGGTCGCCAATTGCGGCGGTATCTTGGTCGAAGCGCTTGGTACCAAGATCGGCGAGCTCAACGGAATTGTGGTAGAAGGACGCTTCTTGGGTCGTGCCGTGGCCATTGCCGGTCGCGTTGGGGTCCGACATCGTATGAAGATTGGTTGGATGGTTTGAAGAGGAGAGAATGAGTAAATTAAGCGGTTTGTTTGCTGAAGTAAGAATCGGAGTTGACGTTGGTTTCGCCGTAGATTTGAAGGAGTTCAGGTGGTTGCTGGTAGTAAAGCGCAAGTGAGAGAGAATCCACTTTACTACTGGTAATAGGAAAAGATAGTCTAGCAGTGCCTTCAGCATTGGAATGCCCGGTCATGCAGAGTTGACGCTTTTGCGAGAGTTGGTGAGTGAGTCAGTGATGAGATTAGAGATGATTTTGTACTGATGGTGGTGAGGAAGGAGCACTGGAAAGTTGGGGCAGTGACGTGCACTCTCACCACGTTGCAGAGCGCGTCGCATTCCCATACCGCTTCAACACTAATTACAGGAGATTATTACTTAATAGAAAAGTTCACTACATAAATAGAAGTATATGGCAATCTGAATCGTGATGGGCCATCATCATTGAGCGAAATTAGTGACATACCATTAAAACGAAAGACTGAAGAGTGAATGACCGACAAGCAAAAAAGAAGGTTATGTGATTTAAAAAGAAGACTGCGACTCAATTCGAACTCAGAGCAAAAATAGATCGCCTTTTTCGACCCGATACGACTGGATCACACCCTGCACGACAGGGTAGACATGCACGAAGACGTACGCTACCGGATCTTCCAGTTCTCTATGAAATAGTACCAAGTTGATGGATATATGTACTACATTATAATGTCTTTGGTTTGGAGAGGCGAGAGCGTTTGCTGTGTAACATTAGAAAAAAGGCTCCGTAGTACATTTCCACTGAAACAGAGGCGTTTATAACGGCTTAGAGGAGTACGATACATACAGGGCCCTCTTTTTATGGGTTTAGGTAGGCTCCAAATCAGACGCCAGTTAGATTCAGAAATGTTGATACTTACTTCGTTTCTGCTTATTGAACCATACGCTTTGTGCTAGGGACTCTCAGTGATTTGCGGCAAAACAAATGGAGTGAAAGTTCGTTTTAAAAGATTCTGTCATAGTGTAGTTTGTTTGTTCAAACGGAAGCGAGGACACTTCAACATTCACGTACTGTATTAGAATAGACTCCTAATTTTAATGGCCAAGTTTCCAACCGAAAGTCGAGCTGAGACATGCCAGCCATGGGTGAACTCTCGGAAAGACACTACGGGCGTACCAGCTTGGGCTCTTCACCTTGTGTGGCGTCATATTCCGACGGTACACACTTGCCTTAGGCCCGGCCGGGTGTGGTACCACTCTGGCGTTACTGCGAGCACTTGGACCAAGGAGCGTCGCAAGGGTGTCGTACTGTAGTAGTGCCTTGTTTAGATCGACTCGGGCAAACGAGCCGAGTATAGTCTACGAGTACACGTGCCTTGTTGAATTTGCCATGGCGATAGATTACCATCCCACCGAAGGTGTCGGTCAGTACGAGAGCGCCTCCTCAAAAAGGTCAATGCTCCGTACGCTCACCCTGCGTCTGACAGCTGCCCTAACGCTGTCACTGAAGCCTCTTGGCCCACACACGGAAACCGCCATAGCACCAATCTGTGCAAGTACCTCTCCATCCAGTACACTCTGTACCTCACACCGGTGCAGTCTCACATCGAGGTACGCCGGTATAGACCGACCTCCAAGCTCGAAGGAGACCATCCTGGAAACGTAGAGCCGTATGCTCACAACTTCGCGAAAGTGCTGTGTAGCGGCGATCTCATCGAGCCATGACCGCACCCATTCCAACGCATCGAGGTTGGTTATGCACCAGACCAGGGAAATCTTCTGTGTAGCGGCAATGTTGCTGTTGTGCGCGTTCAGTAAATGTCGGACGAAAGACAGCTGGTGTGTGATTCCTACTCCGCCAGCAAAGAGGACAACAGTGCCATACGAGTCGAGCGAATGATAGCCACCATATGGCCCCTCGATCGCTCCCCACAGGTGCACCCGAGCGTCTTGGTGTTTTACCGCCAGCTTGTAAAGAGAACTCGTCATTCCTTGGCGTGAGCGAATAATACACGAAACGGTGCTAGGCCCGCCTTCTGAGTCAAGGTCATCGATGCTGAAGGGTGCCTTTTCCGCCAAAGCATTCGCGTCTCCGGGTGATTGGGACCAAGCCACTGAGAACGGGTGTGACTCCATTAGTGCTATTCTCGGCATGTAGATCTGAACGTGTGATCCAGGGTTGGCGTTCCACGAGTGGGGAAGTGTAAAGGTGACACGCGTTGCCTCACCCGGTAATCTTTCTAGGCCCACAAGGGTCCACTTCTTCTCTTTCCATGAAAAATTGTAACGTAGTATGCGAAGGATGCGAATCGAGGGCTCTAGTGATAGGAAAATGATGACTAAGTAGACCCAGGGCAGTTGTGGCAGAGCATGCTTTGCCAAATGGAAGTAAACACCGAATACCGCGACTGCGAGGCCGATGCGGTGTAAAGAGAGGAATGTCTCGTAAAAAGAGCGTCTGATAGGGCCGATGGAACGTATAATGAGAAACAAGAAGGCAAAAAAAGCTGCAAGACCGCACTGATACGACAGCGATCGTTTTAGAAGCCAGCTCACGCTATGCCAGCCACTGTTCCCATTGTGAGTCGCCCGATATGTGTTGTACAGGAAAGCGGCGGCATGAGCAGTAGCCTCTACTACAACAAGTCGCGCCGTCCATCGATGGAAAAGGTTGAAAGTATCGTAGCTGACTTGAAGGAGGTTTATTAAAGGGTTGTTCCGAAGAGCAAGGAGAACGGCCAATAAAAGGTTGAATGTCGCAAGAGTTCCACACCGGCCGCGAAACTCGGCCACCATCTGGGGACGTGGACGTACGGAGACGACCAAGCAATACGCTATGTTACTGAGGATATAGACGACAATTACCAAAAAATGGACGCGAGTGGGTAAAGAGGCTGATGTTGTACCACCTGTAGAGCCTTTCGCTTGTTGCCGACGTTTCGTAGGCCCGACTGGCGCATAAAACAAGTGCCGCTTGAGTGCTCCCCAGTACACATAACGATCCTTTGCCCAAAGTTCTTGACCTTTACATGAAGCGATCGCTGAGATTCGTCGGCGATCGTTTCGCGCCGCAACAAAAACACGAAAGGATAGAGCGATCAGGATCGGGAACAGGGCAGTTATAATGAGGATTCTGACGAACATGTAGTTCGTGGTCTGATTGACGCCCGCAAGACCTTGGCTGAACTTGAAAGATTCAGAGCTTGTATCGATCTTGTCGTTATGAAGGTCATCGAAGGGCAGTGCATCGGAGAGGGATGATGGATTCTGGGTCGTTGTGGCGTCCATCTGTTATCAAGTGCCAGGTAAACAGCGCGTTTCGCTGACGGTCGTCTATGAGGTGCTTTAGAAGAGACTGTGGAAGCACATTGCAAAGCTTTATAGCATTTTAGCGATTGGAAGGCTTCTGGTATGTGGGTGATATTGGGGCCAGGTGTGGTCTGGACTATGCGTTCTGTTCACAAAAGAGACGCGCGCTATGTTCGGATCTCGAAATCGGATGCTGCGTTGATCGGTCTCGTTCAATGTCACATCAAAGATGTGGTGAGCTTGGTAGTTGGAAAGAGCCAAAGGTTGAGGTCTCGCGGCCGTTGACTACCAGTCAGCACACCTGCACAACCGCGATTTGGGTCAAGTTTGCAGCTAAGAGCATTAGCAGTGGTAACGCAGGAAGACCCTATAGTAACACCACTGACTGAGCCGCGATCTCGGACTCAGTAGCGGTTTCCATGCGGATCGAGACTTGCGAACGTGAGCGAAGCGTGGTCTTATATTATCGGAGTCTGAGGATCAGTTGCTTACTTTACATCCGCGGGGCTGTACTTGTAAGCGATGACTTTCAGATCAGCTTGGCTGTACACAATGCGCGAACCAAATAAGGTCATCGTGACAAGCTAGAGGCATCGTGATTGGTCTTCATGTAAGACCGGGTATATGGCAAGGCGCAAGTTGTAGTACGAAGATCCAAGGACATCGGATAGCGCCGACACGAGCTTCATCTGTCTAAGCCCTACCCAAGTCTGCACCTAGCTGATTCCAGAAAGAAATAATATCCCACTCCAGGTTACCGGTGAGAAAAAGAGTCAATGTTATCCAGGTGATGGACTGCGTTTGGAGAGCTTCCGGTTGCCAAGTGTCTGCTGCGACAGCAGGATGGATGATGAGGACAATTGTGCAATCTGTAGAACTGGGACATGCTTCTGACACCAGCAAGATCGTACGCCGCATAGCTCGTATCAGCCCATGACCCACATATCCGGTACAGCGTCTTGTGAGTGTCATAGGCTCCGTCCTGTACCATGAGTGCTGGAGACACAATTATTGGCGGGATTCTATCCGACTGCCTGCCGATATTTACCGGACGTCTTTGTCGTTGGTCTGCGATTGCAGCGTAAAGTCAATGAATCTAGGCGCCACCTCGTTATAGCTACTCTCGAGAGCTCCTTGGCAGAGTGGCAATGCCAATAGAATCTCCGACGACGCGACGAAATGGTTTCGGTATGTTGCTCCGATGAAGTCGAGATATGCTAGAAAAGTTCATGTGGTTTCGCTGTTAAGAGCCGGCCCAACAGACTGTTCTCGATACAAGAGGGGCAATGAAGTTTGATTGGCGATTGGTGAACCCGAAGTTTTGCCTTGGAGAGCATCTTGCGCCTTGAGATCCGCTGGTATGTGGTACAAGATTTGGTGATTCTATACGCGAAGGTAGGCAGGTGATCCGCGTAGATTGGTGTAGCATATGTGTTGGCTACGAAGGTGACTTTGACCTAGAAATTGCATCCTTCTGGTTATCGTTGAGACGGAAGCTCAAATACTAGGATCAAAGTGAAGAAAGGAATATGGCAGATCGAGGGTTCGTCGTTTGCTTGGCGAGCCATCAGCGCGTGACATCATCACGCGACGCGTCTCCTTCGCGCCTTGTGGCCTTTGCAGTAGTATATGATGGATCCTTTGATAGCAAATCTAGTTAAGCACACAAAATGGTCTAATCGTTCAGGAGAAACGGCACCATTTAGACTTCCAATAGCGCCAATAAGTATGTACATGCTAATTTAAATATTTTTACAAACTCTGACGGTTTTTCCCGAAACGCCATTTTACCCAATGTATCAGTCCCTTCACTCTAAACGCCTTGCCAATAACTCTACATGACTAAACTCAGAAGACATAAACGCCTTTGATGCATCACTTAGCTGCTCCCCAAAATCCTCTCATAAGCCTCCTCCACTTCCCTGGCAACTTCCAACAAGGTAACAATAACAATTTGATGCGTAACATTCGGCAGGCGATCCCTATGCAGCCCAATCCACTCCAATGGTGGCGTCGCTTCGCCCATATCTCTTAATTGCGGCGTCTCAATCAGCGGCGGTTCTAGTGGCGTATACTCGTAGCGCGATTGTGGAACATTGACTACAGCAGTAATTTTCTCCTGGCCGTCTGGTGAAACGGAGGGAGCGCGGGGGCGATTGGACGGTATCGCCGTCTTACCGGCAGCGTTGGGGTCGGGAGCGGAGGCATCTGGATCGTCTTGGAGGGTTTGGGATGTGCTAATTTTGATGTTGGATTCTGGAAGTGGCTTGCCGAGGCGGGAGGCGAGGGTGCGGGAGTGGTTGGACCACATGGTGCGTATGTAAGAGATACGTGAGTAGTTCCAGCCAACGTCGACTTTACCCTCGAGCGAGCTACGGAACAAGTAGTCGATGTGTGTTCCCTTAGGTACCTGCCAGGTGTGCATTGTAGCGATGACCTTGGGTACACGTAGGATTGTGCCGCCACGTGCGGAACTGACGCTTGCCGACACATCTTCAACTGTGAGCTCGGTCACGGGTTTGCTCTTTTTTGGTGTTGGTACAGAAGCCAGTGCGACGGAAAGTTGACCAAGCGTCATACCGAGGCTGGAGTGAATCTTGGTCTTCTTCTCGAGTGCAACAGCAAAGCGTGCTTGCATATCGCCGGCTTCCAGCATCAGGACTTGGTTATCTATGAATGTTGATGGGAATACACCAAATCTGATTGACCGTAGCGTGACGACAACATCGGTATGCAGTGAGATGGGTGCTTTGAAGTTGTCCTTGTCCGGCTTTGCAAGAAGCTGACTGTTCGACCCTGGAGGTGTGAATGGCTCAGGCAACGATGATTTGCGACGCAGGAACTTCTCAATATCTCGGAGAGATTGCTTGTATGCTTGTTGGTTCTCTTGGATCAGCCGTTCAATCGCTTGCCATAGCGCAAGACCCTGCGCAGCACTTGTAGCATGGCAGAATACGTGCACCTTGCCACCATCAAGTATAGCAACCAGCCGATCTTGTGTATCGTCACCCTCGGGGCGAACGTTATACATCAAGAAACCGAAATCCGCGATATCTGCCATCACGAAAGCTTGGAAGTCGAACCCAGTCCTTACACGTAACTGACGGAAAGCAACTGATGCCTGAATGAGTGGTGCTTGACGAGTGCCTGGTTCTTGTAATGGCCATCCAATCGATGTGCGTACTCTGGTCTCATGCAGCTCAATGAAGCCACTCGTGCGACCCGTACTTTCGATACCAATCTTCTCAACACCAACACACAGGTTCTGTTCCGAGGTAGTGGTCTTCTTGGACGACGCCCACAAATTGTGAATGTGTAGCCATGACTTTCCAATCGACTGACCCAAATCTAGATCAACTTTGACGTCTGCGATAGCCACATTGGCATTCCAAGGGAAAGCGGTACCGGCAGCGATTTGCTGATAGCGTTGTATGAGAAACTCTTGTGGTTCTGAATTGGCGCTCGGTGAGGAAGGTTTTGAAGCCCGACGGATCTCTGGCGGCACCCAGATTTCTCGGAATAACAGGAAATCCTGTAGTTGGCGTGCGTTGATCTGGAGAGCGGTCGGGTTGATCTTGAGGATCGCCGAAATACCACTGGTGCCGCTGAGATGTTTGCTGTTCATGAGGGATATGACGATAGACTCCATGTCCAAACTAAACGTAGACTCACGAGAGTATACGTGCCGAACAGTAGTCACCAGTTTCTCAAACGTGGCTGATGCAGCAAAGAAGTGACCATGCTCTTGAGATTTGACGCTGTTGACCGTGATGTATATATCCTCGACCTTGGCGATTGCTGTGACACGGGCAATGGGTTGGCAACTGAGACTGAACTCTTGCTTGCAAATCCGGAGTCCTAAGTTGAGTCTTGTCCTGCCTAAAATGGTGGTAGGGTCTGCTGTGATGATGTTATCTTCTTCGAGTAATTTGGCAGTCGGCTTTGACTGGTCTTGAGACTGTTCAGGTGATGCAGCCTCATCCTCGTCGTCCTTCTCGCGGACTACAGCTTTGATGCTATCAGATATATCAATGATGATAGGCACGACAGTCGGCAGTAACGTATTGGTTGATCCATCAACACGAAGCTCGGCGTTCAGAGAAGGATCGCTTCCGTCATCTGTATACTCGACGCGTACTGCCACACCTGGAGCTCGTAATGCCATACTGCTCTTTGACTCGTCTCCCACGAACTGGCTGTAGCGTCCCTTCTGCTGAGCCCGACCGGAAGCGCCTTGTACTGGCGCTTTATCACTACCGTGGACATGTACAACAGCTCCGGCAAAATTGACATCAGCGGTCAGCGATGCAAGACGTTTGTTTCCGAAAGGATTCTTTCGTTGTGCACCAGTCGTTGTGGGTGTCATGTTCCAATTAGCAGAAGCTTTGCGGAACTTCTTACCAGCAAGGGCAATAGAGCGCTCAATGACGTTTCCAGGCAAGACGAAGTGTGAGTCTAGCTGGAGATCGAGTGATTTGCCGGCAGCATAGAATGCTAGCTTGCGCGTATCTTTTGTAGACGCATACGCTACATTGAACACCATCTTGGGCAACAACGCTGAGTTGGGCGATCGCACCTTCTTGCTCGCCGACACCGGTACCATCTGTAACCGCATATCTTCGACCATCAAGCGCGCGGCATCGTCTTTCTGCGTTGACAGGTCGATCTTTCCGAAAGAAAGCACAAGATCCTGAATATCGTTTTGCGGGAAAGGAGCGACAGAGTTTCCAACGATCCAGCTGACTTGTAGGTCAAGGAGTTCCAAAGAGTACGTCGACGTAAAGAGAGCTCCTGAGCTGATGCTATCAGAGTCTTGATGAGCATCGCTTTTGAGACTCCGGTCACGTCGGTAAGAAATTCTACTCTTCGTGTGCCGGAGACGACGTAGATACTTTTTCTCTTTGGAGAGGTCCAAATCCTTAATCTTGTCTTGGAGATGATTCACCACGTCCACCACTGCTGATGCTGTGTCTGCGAAG